CACGTCGAGCCAAGAAACCGGAAGCGACCATGACAACCAGGTTCGAGACCATACGTATGCCAAATATTCGAAACCATAATATCGACTGAGTGCGTTGACAAGAGCGTGGGTGATCAGGCCAGCTTTCGCCAAGGTTGACTGAAGTCGACGATACCGAACGGGCGATGGTCGGCGGCGTGGGCTCGGGATATAAAAGAATCCAAAAAGAGAAAAGTGTGGCGTGCATGTAGTGTAGGAATAGTCCTACACCGTATCCGTTGTTGGTTGTACGGTTAGTCGCGAAAGAGTACTCGGTGAACAGAACGTGAGACGGCAGTCTCGTTCGTACCTGTTGAGCCTGCAATCTCATCTGAAGCCAAGGGCGGCGTGGTCTACTGATCTGGACATAAGACTAAAGTTTCGTCCGTAGATGGTGCAGATGACACGTGCTGTTGACCGGGAAGTGAGATTGAGGCCTCTGATGTATCTAGCGTGGGACCTGAAGTAGAAGTAAGGATCCCGCTAGTAGGTTTGATGGGCCTAGCATTGAGTCTCAAGTTATCGGGTAGGGCACTGTCATCGACGTGTGCTATTTTGAGACAATCAATGCTGACAATCTCGACGCGGCCATGTCGATCAACCTTGAAGGTCTTTTCGTGACGAGAAATCACGTGAAAAGGTCCTTCGTAAGGCTGTTGCAATGGTTTGCGTACCGAATCTACTCGTACGAAAACATGTGAACAGGTAGATAACTTTCAAGGGAGAGCGACCTGTCGATGCTGTATACGAGTTAACACCGGAGACAGTGTTCGCAAAAATGCAGACAGTCGATGGACGTAGTCTGATTTATCGAGATCGTTACTGCCCCGTGGTGTGAAGAATTCCCCAGGCAAACGCAATGTCATGCCGTATACAAGTTCAGCGGCGGAACATTGGATATCTGCCTTTAAGCTCGTTCTGATACCTAAGAGGACGAGCGGTAAAGTTTCGCACCAATTGTCGTTTTCGTGTGTTCGCGGAGCACTTATAAGTTGGCGGTGAAACCGTTCAACTAAACCATTTGAAGCTGAGTGGCAGGTGGTATTGCGTATGCATTCCGTACCAAGCAGCCGGGTCAGTAATGAAAAATAATGCGGACTCGAATTGTTGCCCTCGGTCAGTCGTGACATTCCACTAGGTACCTAGCGTTTGTGCGGTGATCGTGCACATAGAATAAACGGTCAACCTGGGGGGAAGGGCCGGCGAGTACGACCGCTTATACTCGCCGGCTTTGGAGTTTCCCGCCTTGTATGAGCACGGGGCTCGACAATGAAGGGCGCCAGACCCGAAGGACCGATGGAACCAGCACCAGCCGTCACTCGCTTGCGAAGCCGCCCTTCGGCGTGGCTTGGAAGATGCCCTGGTTGGGCGAGTGATGACGGCTTTGCGGGAACGTGAACGAGCTCGGGGGACGTAGGGTTGGGGTATGTTGCGACGGTCTCGAAAATTAAGACGTGTGTGAACACACTTGCTCCTATCACCTTGAGCCGAGGAATTACCGGCGTCCATGTCTACTTTGGGACGTGCCGTTGAGGCAACTATATAGCTGTATCTGTTACTGGTCCTCGCTAAAATTTTGTCTGCTATGAGGGCTACCTGATGAAGTGGTGCGTCCTCGAGCAGGACTGTTACGGTTGGTCGGATGTGAGCCGGTAATGACTCGAGCCACAATTCTTTGACTATTTCCGAGTCAGTTGTTCTTGGTCCTGCAAGAGATTGTAGGTGCGTGAGGTGGTGGCTTGGTTTAGCATCACCCAGGGGGTGACGTGCTAACAATGTCCTCAATCGTTCCTCCCTCGATGGGAGGAAATGTCTGAGAATTGCCTCTGAGGCGATCGTAAGCATTAGGTACATTGGAATTGAGGACAACCTCACGTACAGCTACTATATGGTCCCCGGGTAGTGATTCGAGAGCGAAGGTGTACTTTTGCCTTTGGCTCGTAATGCGACGAGTCTCGAACTGAGACTCTAATGCAGCAAACCAAACCTCTGGGTCGTGGGGAATGAATGATACAGGTCGAAAGTGGATGGCCTGTACGTCTGAGTCTATGATATTAATACTATTCTTGTCGCTATCCGTCATGTCGTGTATGTTAAATATTAAAAGATAATATGAAAATATACGACAGACGTGGATAGACAAACTATAGACTCACCGAATTGGCTTGTTTGGAAGATTTGACCAGAGGTTGAGGCGTGTTCCAGAACTTGGGTCACCAATTGTAGCGCGGTGTCGGGTCGAAATTGACTATGAACACCGCTACCAAGAAACACGTGCCAAGTAAATCAGAAGGCGAAGATGGAGCGTAACCAGATTTATTTGGTTGGCGATCTCGTGGTATCGAACGAATACCGAGACCGTGCCAAAAGGAGTACAAGTGGAATCAGCGGGCAAGAGTACGAACGTACGAGGTCACAATCCACGGAAAAGTAACGGAGTAGTAATATGACTGTCTTTAGTACATTTAAACAGACGAGCACAGTAAAGCAATCACTGGTACAATTGGTTATAATAATGATCGTTTCCATTAAATCAATCGCGTTCTCTTGGTAAAGGTAGGTCACTACAGAATAAAGAAAAGAAAACGAGAAGAGTGAATGATTGGCATGGAAACGAGGTGAAAATGAATTGAGACGGTTGATTGACATTTAACAAATGAATCATTCACTGTATGATTCTCAGATTTTAATTAAATGATTCTGTAATTTTTTATTCAAATACATTCGGTTGTTTACACTTGTGTTCTCGTTCACTACAGCTCTATGAAGTGTAATATTTTTTGACCTACCTTCAAGATAATATATTTATACATAGTTGCTGCGTTCTTATTTACATCAGCAGTGGTTTATGATTAGGATGCTCAACTTTCGGCTAGATTCGGAAGCCCGCCCCTGCCTGTTTCGGTTTTTGGTAACCGAGCAAGAGTGGCTCATATGTATGTACCTGGTGAATGAACATTGTGTTAAAAGTCTGTATCTAAGGTATTTTTGATAAATACTGGCTGTTCAAATAATTTGTATTGATCTATATACAGACTTGGTTAGAGTAAGCCAATTTATTGTGGTATGCAAAATCAAACAGTGAATTTGTAAAATATGAAAAGAATATATCAAATATACTGTTTGCACATCTTCCTTAAATCGTCTCTTACAACTTTATCGGTCTTCCATTCCAGTTGTTATCTCGATTACTCTTTGTTTCTCTTTCTTCTCAGTTTATTTTCTCCTTCTGTCCTTAAGAATTCTACTTTAGGTTCCTGATACATACTACTCATATTTGTCTGTATATATCATACTCGTCCCTCTTTTAATAAGTCGTTCTAGCCGCTGTACCTCTTTCTCCGTCACAGTCTGTACTCCACTCTTCGTCGAGTTGTCAATCCTGCAGGCTCACTGACCCTCATTACTCTGTCGACAATCTCATTCTGATTTCCGCCCAATATTCCGAACGTTCCACCTCTCCTCTCTGTCGACAACGACAGCTACATCTAACTCTACCTTGTCAGATCATTACATACAATACTTAACTTTTCTCTAATTTTTTATTGAGAACAAAAGCAAAAAAACGATGCATTTATAGTCTCTAGAATCAAACTCATTTGATCTTATCATCGTACATAGTTCATGAATGATTTGGATCAAAAATCAATCGTATTGTTATCTGTAAGTTAGTCACATTCAAAGTAAACACAATTGTATACCCAAAATAAAGATTCCTACTATGTTACAATGTACACAGAATACATACACAATCGAAACTATTGAAATCTCTATAACAAATTACATTTGAATAATTCATTTCATTTAAATAGAGTGAATACATTTAGAAAATGTTCTTGATTTCAATCATAAGAACATAATAGTAAGATTATGTAATCAACAATCTAAATGAATTGATTCATTCAAACTGAATATAGAATGAGTTTAGTCCGTAGGTCAATAAATTTACACACACTAAAAGACATTTTAACAATGAGATTTATTATCATTTTAATAAAAAGAACCTTATTGCTACTTAGTCAAAAGATAAGTATATTTAAATTAAATTCGATCATAACTACATTAAGGGCCCCCAAATGCCACAGTACGGTCGAGAGTCAGCTCTGACTCTCCAAGTGCTCTCATATAGTCACGTGCGTATAATCAGTCAGCTTTCTCGCACCACGGGTGATGTTTACGAAATTGAGAGGACGAAAAGACCATGTTTGGTGTTTTAACCGGGCTGGTGGATATGGACGATTCACCTAGGAGAGTTGGAAAACCCTGATTCCAAACCAATAATCTTAAGGGAACAAATGGTGTATTAACCTATTACTGGTTACCGACTACCATAGGACTGCATCTCCTTACGATGCTCCACTGTCTTGTGGATCAGACCTCTTATTGTGAGCTTTATTTTGACCTATGAACTATTATCATAAGACTGACTATTCTTAAGTTATGCCCTGTCTATCAATTACTATCTCCCTCATCTACAGACACTTTTGGCCAAATATTGTACAAATGTTATTTTCTATTTTATGGTACGTTGTGATCTGTTTGATTGGCATATAAACTCAGTATGTTTGAAATATAAGGATTCATATTGCAGAGGCTCAAATTGGTGTTCTGGACTTAACTGGCTGTACTAGGCGGGAAGCAGGACCAATAAGGACTCTAGACTGCTCGCACGTGTTTTACACGTTCACTACTCTCCAATTGGCGGTATCGTTGGGTTATCCAATATACAGGGCACACAGGTTCACAGGTTAAAACATCAATAAATATCAGGAATAAATTTATCACAAGAAGAACAACAAAGAAAAAACAAGTCAATACTAGAAAGAAAGTCAAGAAAATGAAAGTTTGATTATTATGCATGTTTGTTTTGTTTATATTTAATCCCATTGATAAATTGAAATAAAAGAGAATGAAAGAATCACTATGGAGGATTGATTACACCAGATGATAAACAGTAACACTAAACCCAGAATAATGAAGCCTGGTAACAACAGTAAATAATGATTGATTGAAAAATAAATGGATAAATATATATGTATGTTTCTTTGTTAATTGTTCATGAAAAATCACTCACTTATTGATTAATTACATTGGATTAAGTTTCATTAGATCATTTGAAGGTAATTGAAAGGTGTTTTTTTATAGTTTTTCTCATTACTACTAATAATACTACTGCTATCCACTACTACTTAACTTTTACTCCAGTTGATTTCACATCAGTACTTTGAACTGAATCCAATTGTTTACCCAAATATTCCCTGTAATAAATAAAACAATTTTAGGAAATATGATGATATATATCAGTCAGTCAGCAACAACGTAGAACTTCGTGCGTACGTACATCAGTTCAAGTTGCTATACCACATTAGCACAAAGACACAATTGTCGTTTTAAATCCCATAGTGGTAGAGGAAGTAAAAATATAAGCAATAATCGATTGATTGAATTTGGACATTAACATCGTTTGATGCCGACTCAGTGGTCTAAGGGTTAAGCATTCGTGTGCGAGACCGAAGGTCATGGGTCCGAGTACTGTGCGCAAGATCATGGGGGAGTCCTACACTAGGATAAAACAGTCGTTCAGTGCTTCCAGGTTTTCGATGGCTGTCTAGCATAGATTGACTCATGAATTTAACTATTAAGATTATGTGTTCACCAAAAAAGGAGACTCAGTAATTCTATATCCGGTTTCATCCGTATGGTAGTGGGGTAAATACCAAAATACTGAAGAGTACTATATTAGAATAAAACAGTTGTTTTATTGCCTCCACATCATTTTTAATGTCTTATAACGGATTATTTTATGAAATTAATATTGAGAAAACCAATGACTAAAAGTCAGTCATCATCAAGTTACAGACTGGAACAGATGTCAGTCCAAGTTGCAGATTATCTTAACATGACGTGATAAAATTAACAAAGTAAATGGCAAAAGAGATTGGAACTATGTAATAGCAATGATAATGAGAAAGAATCGATATTGAGAATATGGTTCAAAAAGACAAAATGAAAACGTATGCATGACAGAATACTGGATTTCAAGATCAAAAGAAAGACAAGGAATGAATGCATCTGAACTGGAGTGAACGGTTCTGAGTGATATCACCCAATCTCCAAAAAACCGATCGTGATTAACGCACAGTTTCCCAAACAGGTAGTCCGAATCTACTAACAACGTTTAGACCAATAGTCAATGACTCCATAGACTGATGTTCTTTCTGGTCAGTCATTCTAATTTATGGCTTAAAACAAGGCACATAGAAGTAAGAGAAATACGTAGTCTGCAAGTAATTTGTCATGGGTGTTTTCGTCATTTTTAATGGAGCAACTGAATAAGCAATGCCGAAATGAAAGTAAGCTTACTAGATATATACGGTAAATCTTCATTGACTGAGGTGGTTAGTTATACATGCCTAAACACCTCCTGTTACCTATACCTGCAATCTTGGCTGGTGTCGGAGAGAGTTTTAAAAAAAGGTAGGAGCAGTCAAGTCAACATATGGCTTTAGTGTACGAAGTTACTGGCCATATTAGTGCACAATACTTAGTTAGGAGTCGCACGGTTATCGTGACTAATAGTTGAAGACACTGAGTGAGACGATTCGGAATTGGTGCCAATAGTGCACGATGATGCACTCTTTCTTCGTCACACTTTCTATTCCTGGAATCTATCCATTCATTTCGTATCGTATTCTTCTATATTTAGCTTCTCTGATTATAATTAATACTACTGTTATTTCAAGTATTTTCACCATTTCGTTTTGGTGATGTGGTATAGTAAACTGGACTGATCGACATTTATGTCAAGTATCATGTTGATGATGACTGATTGTTCATTTATGTTTTTTTTCATACTAGTAATAGATTGATAAAACAAACACCTACACACACTATCGTCGTAAGTCCTACTAGGAAGCCTTTGATTTCTTCACTTTAACAGATAATAACATGATATTACATCACAAGATCAATAGGTTATGTATCAGTCTTAGGATGTCGGTCATGAGGTAACGTGTTCGCTTGAGAATTGAAAGTTTGAGGTTCGATCTGCGGGGGAGTTGTACACTACTGATATACTTCTAACTAGAATTAAACAGCTAAATGTCAGTTCATAACAAATATTGTATGAAATGTACACATATCTATCTACTTCTCTATATGCTTACCAATTATGTACCATTATCTTTTGTAATGAAACTAGTGCATTATAACGAACATTTGGATCATCATGCTGTAGTAAAGCCATCACTAACTGTTTACCGCCAAGTGTTTCAATTATTCTACAAGTGGAAAGAAAAAGAGGAACAAACAATACGAGATACATAAATGTTTAACATGAATACCAGTGAGGAAAAACATGAATTAATCAAGTAAATGGATGATTAGTCATTGGTAAAGAACGTAAATACTCCTAAAACAAACATGATGAAACGATTAATATCCTCCAGAGTAGCTGCTACCTTGATGTAGTGGCTGGATTTGCTTACAGTGATGATTCAGTCGAGTTATACTGGCTGGAACACCAGTCCCTTCAGATTCAAAGGTAACAGGTAGGTCGGTTGGAAAGTAATGAGATGAAATTGACAGACTTAAGGTACGACGGAGAAGTCGTTTTGTCGACTGTATAATCGTATGGAAGTAGTAATGTGTTTCCCTTAGATGACCACTTTTTGTAGCAGTGCTGCCTTTTCACTAAAGAAGGTAACAATTAGAAAATGTAGACCTTAGACATCTTATATCTCATCTTAACCACACAGATTTACGCCACCAGCGGTACGAGCTTTAAATTACTGAGCTAAGTCGTCTAAAACTACCTGAAAAAAGCCCGTACGTGACCGGCATTAAGGAATTGTTCCATAGAGACTGAGGTTACGATCCTGGGTTGCCAAGATCACTCCTAACCCAGTTTCTTTTCCAGAAGTATCTTTCCATGGTGTAGGCAACCGGAAAAAAGTTGTCCCCATACTCCTAACGGTATGGGGAAAAATTCGTCATTAGTCACAAAATTTATATCAACACAACACAAGCAACAAAAGAGGGTAATTGTCAAGATAGAAAGCAAAGAAGTGATACTCATAATAATAAAAATCAAACTGATGAACCAATTATTTCGAAGATAGTTCATATCGAAAGAATGAAATCGGTAAATGAGAAGTATAAGACAATGTTTTAAAAGTTATGAATTCAACTTTTACTGAACCCCGCGTAATAGGATCAATAAATTATTAAGTTCACCAGTAACGAATCCGCCTTATGTCAATAACATCTGCGATGGTGAAGATTTGTAGCTCATGTGGGTGATTTTGATGGAGTTTTGTTCTCTGAGCTGGATAGTTTGGTCATGAAGCCTTCATCGTTCTTCTGAACGACATCATCAGCACAAACTTCAGGTGGAATTGAAATGTTCGAATTTCTCCATATGTGATTCACAACTTGTCCTGTAGACTTTGGTGTTGATTGGTACTTGTTGACCTTAAACCTATCATTGTTTACTTTTTTGTTTTGGCTGTATCTCCCATTGGTTTGATTTTTGTTCCTCTATGTTTGTGTATAATTTTCCTGATGCTGCTAAAACTACACTGATATTCAACCTTTATAATTTCATCTTATTGTGTTGATGCGATGTAATAAGTTGGTTTGCCAGGTTCTATGTTGCTTATGACTGACTGTCTAACTTAGTTCGGACACTGTAATTTGTACATCAAGAGTTACATTAAAATTTACTTGACCAATGTCTATGAATAATTCCGTACAATGTTGAAATATACGTCGAAAATCGAGTATATTTATCTTGTGATACCGATCCAATGATCGATAGTTTCTGTGATGTATTCAACAATGTGAAATCTTGAATTAAGAATTAAATATTTAGTTGATTTATAATTTCGAAAATATCGTGCTCGTGGAAGGACTTGAATTTCTAACGGTTAATCATCATCATCTTGGGTGGATATAGTGTACATAAACTAAGAGTAAGTTGTTGTAATAAATGAAGGAAGGATAGATGTCTTTTCAAAATAACATCGTCTATGAGTAATCTGTATAGAATGCATATATGTCAAGACAGACTAATCAATTGAAGTTCTAAACACAAATGGGAAGATTTAAACAATCAATACAAATGATATCGTCTATGATTCAAAATCAATGATGTTGTTATTATGATTTGAATTCCATTCCTATTAGCTAGTTGCGAGGTGGAACCTGGTATGTATGTATATCGGTTTAAGTTTCCATATCTTATTGGTACAGGGAGATATGATTGACAGATTAAACCTCAGAATAGCATGGGTAGTAACAGTATCAGTAGTAATAGAAACGATGAGACATTGAACATACGATTCGAGAAAAAATATAAATTAGTGAGATAAAAAGTAAAACAAAAGGTTATGAGGAATTCAGAAGTTTAGAATTTGGGGGTGGGAACAAAGAATAAATGCATCTGGGCCATTGCAAACGATTTTGAGTTGTGCCATTCAAAGTCTCTAGCCACTAGCTACAATAAACACACGGAACTATGCATTTTATCAATTTATAACTCGTTGTACTAATGTAATGAGACAACACTTTCAGTCAATACACATTTGTATTGGACTCAATGATTGTGTTTATGACTAACTTATTGACTGCAATAGAACACAATTTGAATTTGTAATCTAGTAGTTGACATTTAAAGTTAGAATAACGCTAACAACATTTAATAATGAACTTACTGTTTACCACGTGGATAGTGTCTTACAAACTCTCCAATATCGTGTACAGCCACAGATAATGTTAATGGATCAGTACCCAGTTCGACTAGTCGTACTAACATTCTAAATGGTGAAAAATCAAGAAAGAATATTCAAATAAAGAATTCATAAACACAAGTAAATTTATAATATGATATCCACAAAAAAACATATGCTCACTGGCTTTAACAGGTATTTCCTGGAGTTTTAGTGAGAAGCAGTGACCAGTGGAGTTCAACCGGGTCTATTACGCGAGAGTTACTCACTGAAGACACCTGGCCCAGATGACTTATCTCCGGTTCTTTTTAAAGATGGTGGTGACTCTCTAACTAAGGAATTGACGACGTTGTTTACAAAGGTTTGGGAACTAGAGAGTGTACCAACGTCATGGAATCAGTCGATAGTTGCCCCTATCTTTAAAAAGGGTTCACGTCGTTCCTGTAACAACTATCGGGGGATAAGTCTACTTCCGATTGCGTCCAAGCTATTGGCTTCCGTCATACTTCGTAGGTTGTTCAAAACCCGAGAAAGATTGACTCGCGAGGAGCAGGCTGGGTTTCGTTCTGGTCGAGGATGTATTGATCATATCTTCACCCTCCGCCAAATGTTAGAACACCGCCATACTTATCAAAGGCCAACAATCGTAGTGTTTCTTGACATCAGGGCTGCCTTCGATTCGTTGGATAGGACTGTTCTCTGGGGTTGTCTATTGAAGAAGGGTGTGCCTGAGAAGCTTATTAACATCCTAACAGCCCTATATACAAACACCTCAGGCAGTGTGAGGGCATACAACCACCTCTCTCCATTGTTCCATTCGAGCAGTGGGGTTAGGCAGGGTTGCCCAATCTCACCATTCCTCTTCAACTTTGCCATCGATGACATTCTGGAAACAGCTCTGATGGATGTAAGTAATGGTGGTGTGGGTCTGTTGCCTGGAGAAAGACTTCTCGACCTTGAGTATGCGGACGATATTGTCTTACTGTGCGATAATGCCCAAGGCATGCAATCCGCACTTAATCAGTTGGCAATCAGTGTCCGTAGATATGGTATGTGCTTTGCACCTTCGAAGTGCAAAGTACTTCTACAAGACTGGCAGGATTCTAATCCTGTACTCACCCTGGATGGTGAGCAGATAGAAGTAGTGGAGAAGTTCATGTATCTGGGTAGCTGCATAGGTGCTGGTGGTGGCGTGAGTGATGAGATCAATGTACGTATAGTGAAAGCCAGAGCGGCTTATGCCAAGCTGAGCCATCTTTGGAGCCTTCGTGATGTTAGTCTGGCCGTAAAAGGTCGGATCTACGACGCGTCGGTGAGAGCAGTTTTGCTCTATACTTGTGGAACCTGGTCTCTCCGAGTTGAGGACGTTAGACGACTCTCTGTGTTCGATCATCGTTGTCTCCGAAGGATTGCTGATATCCAGTGGTAGCACCATGTCAGTAATGCAGAGGTTCGGCATCGTGTGTTCGGGCACAGAGATGATAATGCAATAGATGTCACCATCTTGAAACACCGACTTCGGTGGCTTGGACATGTTCTCCGAATGTCACCCTATAGAATTCCACGTCGTGCATTATTTGCCGACTCTGAGACTGGTTAGAAAAAGCGGAGGGGTGGTCAGTATATGACATGGTGTCGTGGCATGAAAGAAAGCTGCAAAGGACTGGCTTCTGTCGGTCCTTCACGACTCTCTGGTTGGGGTCCGAGAGATGGTGCTACATAGTAGCCAGAGACGTTATCAGATATGGTTCAGAATAGGAGCCAGTGGCGATCCTGCTGTAACCTTCTTTTACTTTCTTCATAAAAAGTGGTTGTGTCTTCCTTAACTGAAAGATTTCTTCTAATTGTACCTTTCCGTTCCCCCATTTTTACCATTATTATTACTACACCACCTTGCATCAATCTCTTCGTTATTATTCTTTTTTTCCTTCCCCTTAAATTCTCATTATTTTGTGTGGCGCAAATATATTTGGCGCATTCTTGTACCAATATTTATGTGTGCAAATAAATAAATAAATAAATAAAATAAAAACACTGAAGACAGTGGTGGATGTGTCGCTCAATTTCGTGGATTGGTTGAAGTTAGACATTAACTCTGTTGGATACCGACTCAGTGGTCTAGAGGTTAAGCGCTCGGGCGCAAGACTGACAGGTCCTGGGTTCCAATCTCGAGAGGCGGGATCGTAGATACGCACTGCCGAGGAGCCCCACAATGGGACGAAACCACCATCCAATGATTCCAGGCTTTCTATGGTGGTCTAGCTTTAATTGACTCATGACCTCATGCAATAAAGTTTACCTAATTATTGAATTGAATTTATTTCCAATGAACAATGATGTAAGAAAGGCTTTATTTTAAATGTTTTTTATTTTGTTAAACTTACTTTAACATTTCATAATTATTATCTGTAAATTTTACTGCATTTTCATACCAAAACTTTTCTGATTTATGAACAGGTGACCATTCTAATCGACCAGATTTTAATTCAGCCATATATTCGTCAAGACTACTTACATCTTGAATACTAGCCGACAATTTCTCCTTGAAAAAAACAAGTGAAGTTTAGTAAGAATACGAAAAGTTGATATGACAGTTGATTTTCTTGTTGCAAGAAAACAGTAATTAAGAAGCTAAATAAACGTCAAAAAACCTAACTGAAACTCAAGGTACATGGAATACACATTACAACATTTTAGAGATAAAGCGTAGCAGTATATCATATACAACATAGAATTTAGGGTAAACATGACTGGATGACCATTTCGTCCTAGTATTAGGAATCCTCACCAAGAGCATCCACGATCACGTACGCGGAGCTTGAACCTAGGAACTTCGGTCTCACACGAACCAGTTAGTATGAACCTAATTCTAAATGGCCCAATTCAACAGTTCATGACTTCATAGACTAATAACACACCCTGGTTTCGCCCCAAAACCAGGTATGCATATAACTACATAGTTGGTATACAAATAGTAGTAAAAATATTAAAACCGTTTGACATGAAAACACCCAACAAAGATTGATATGAAGAGCCGATCAGAAGTGACCTAAAGGACAAGTGCATTTCCTTGGTTAAAAAAATGGCTTAATTTCCTAAGGATTAGAGTATTTGTACATTTTATTCGGTAGTTCAATACATTCAATTTCTGTGGGGCCCGTTATTTTGTCGTCATTTAGATCGGACGATGTTGTTGAAAGGGCTCTCCACTTTAGTGGCCCGGGATCTGACTCCAAGTAGATCGTATGAATGATCGTTGTCGAAACATATATGTCGCCTATCCTCGTGTATAATCATCGACTTAAATCGCGTTAATCAATAACGGAATTAAATAAGTCAACAAACGAGAATAGACTTTTGGATACATATATTTTGTATATGAAGCGAATGGAACAGAGAGAAGAGAAACGACGCGCAGTGGAGATGGCGGGTAATCCAACTCCCCTTTTAGTCAAGCGTTAATCAATAATTATAGGTATACAAGAATAAGTTACAGACATGTGATGAGTAATGGGATAAGAAGTGTACACACATATATGCACTCATATAAAAACAGTCAGGATTGATAAACGAATAATTAACAAGGTCAAAATGTGACTCAAGTAGAATGAATAGATTGGGCTGTCCGAAAGCGAGAATAAGGTATATGGGCTTAACATAATAACCGACACTACATTTCTCACTCAAGTAGTCAGCTGAGGAGGGGGTGTTAGCACATAGCACACCATATATCAGTATCAAATTTTAGACATCGTCCGTGTTATAACTTGTGAAGTGAATGCTGATTGTATTAGCTCTTTTAATGTTACTTTTTGTATCTGGTCGTCGCTGATTGTTATGTCGGAAACGCTTATCACTTATACTTGGAACGAGGGACCTCTGCAATTCCCACGATGCGAAAGTAAGAACACAAAGACTGGTATAAGTGATGACTTATTAACCACAAACCAAGACGACGACGATGATGATTCTAGAAGAAAATACACTCATTTATATATTGATTGTACACTTATTTTGATTAATAATTAGGATGAAATCACATACTGAGCATAGTTCTAATCAATGGAATACAAGAATATCGCATATTATACAGGATAGAATATCATAAGAGAAAAAAAAGCAAATACTGCATTGGGTAATCATTACATTGAATCAAAAACGGAAATAATCTTGAACAAAACTCATAATGAGTAAATCAATCGAAAATGGACTTTTCTTTCCATCATATCAGTCCATCACAACAAAGATAGTATAAGATCTTACAATGAAAGAAAGACTTAACTTACATTTAAGAATGCAATATCTTCAGTTAGTTCAGGATCATGACTAAAATCTTTTTGATTAAGCAATTCTAATTCTTTTAAAACTTTATATTGAACTAAGCGTAAACCACAATCTCTTTGTTCAGCGTTTGTAGGTAATTTTTCTAAAATACTCTGTAAAAATAGTTTTATATGAAAGAGAACAACATTAAGGAAAGAAATAAGTAGATTTTCTTCAAGATTAAATTGGGATTAAACGTTGGGATATGGCTAAACTTTACTTTAGCTTAGGCAATTAACTAGTGTAATTAGGGTCGTAAATGTAATGGACATTATAAACATAGAGCGTTAGCTTACCGTACATAGATCCCAACTATTGGATTAAAGTTTGGGATATGGCTACATTTACTTTAGCTTAGGTAATTAACTGGTATAAAATCATCATAATTCAGTGTCTTTTAAACATGTGATCAGTTAGTCAATAACATTATGTAAATAAAACTATATCTGTGGAGCAGAATGCATCGTTCTACAGGGGAAATAGTGAATAGTACATTCTAAGTGAATGTTCTTAGTCACATAAGTGATCGTATGCGACGAAAGTTGTGTAATGATGTTACATCCAATCTGCGATGCATGAACTATGGAAATTAAGAGATATACGTAAAGCAAAAGTACACGATTATCAATGTCTTCGATTCATGGTACATTTTTGGTGATAAATCAATGAATTAGGTAACACTAATTTTAAGAATATGATATTGGATCAAGGTAATAAATAAATCGACGACAATGGGAACTTTTATAAACTGAATTAGCAAGTAGCGTTCACCGTAGTTTGATATCGATCCCTACCACAGCCATTGATATTATTGCTTTCTATCATGTACAACCACATATTTCTACACGGTAAGTAATCCAACTTATGGTAACTATATATATATATATATATATATATATATAGCCCAAAAATGCTGTGGTACGGTCGGGGGGTGTGGAGAGTCAACCCACCATCTCCTAAATGCTCCCACAAGACCACGTGCACACAATCACTGACACGAAAGTCATACTCAATGCCTTCTCGCACCACGGGTGTTGTTTACGAGAGAGGACGAAAAGCGAATGTTCGGAGCTTTAACTGGGTTGGTGAACACGTAGGACCGATCTATTAGAGTTGGAATACCCTGATTACAAACCAATGCTACACATAGACTACAGTATCCTGAGGGAACAAATGGTATATCAATTTACTGTTAGTCACCAACTACCATGGGACTGCATCTCCTAACATTGCTCCACCGCCCTGTGGATTGGACCTTTGAGTCAAAGGCTCGGTGAGTGGCCACTTAAGAAAACCACGTGTTTCGGTATGGGCGATCGAGCAGTACTCCAGCCCTCACACAAATCGAATGATTTATGTAGCGCATATATATTTGTTGCCTGTTTGTAGCAATATTTATGCATTTAAATGAATAAATGATAACTATAAGAAATTATACTGTGACATTTCTGTGTATTAGTTCGTTAATGCAATTTTCATATAGCAATATTTGCTTTTTAATAAAAGCGAATTTTGTCAGCTACGATAGGATTGTAAGAGAAGCATGATTTTGTACGAAAAAAAACATTTTGAAGCATACATTACAAAATAAAGCCTAGAATTTATTTTCATTGTTCTTCCAAACAACATCATCAGCACAGACTATACAAACTTCTACCTGAAGTTTGTGCTGATGACGTCATTCAGAGGAACGATGAAAGCTCCACGACTAAACCATCCAGCTCAGAGAACAAAACTCCATCAAAATCATCCACCTGTGGTGTTTATGTTATTCGTACTTATCTCGTTAAGTTATATGAGAAATAGTACTTTTTACAGAGGTGGATACTCGCACTACTTGAAATTTGATTTCATGAAACAATGAAGCTTTTAAAACACAACTCTACGATATATGCCGCATATATGTACTAATATACACCTATAAAGCATAGAAAATAAACTACATAGCAACATTAAGATACTATAAATGAATCAGAATCAACTAACTTACACGAAAGAATGCCAATGAAATTCTAGTGATTTTTTCTCGATCTGCTTCAAGGAAAATATCAGCTACAGTAGCCAATAATGCAGAATTCTTACATATATCAGTTACATGAATTGAATCAAAACTCATACACCATAAGCAAAAAATTAACTGATATTGTAACTGACGACTAGTTGATTTTTCTTGTAAAACATCTCCAATGCTTTATAAATGAGAAAGAAAAATCTAATCAAAATAATTAATACTAAACAATGATGAAAATGGATTTAATTATGCGAATTCCAAACGAGAGTTTACAGGGGTATATTCGATGGAAAAGAAAGGTAGAGATAGTTAGTCAGTCAGCTACAACGTAGAACCAGGTACATTTGTGCATCAGTCCAAGTTGCCATACACCATTAGCACAACAAGATGAATACGGAATTCATACAAGTAGTTAATTCAGTGGTGGTAATATATAAAAGAAAGATTATATGCAAGGATATAATACAGGAAGAATTGGTTGGTAGAAAGATATAAAGCGATTTTGACCTCAGTTTAAGGGAAAACAGAGAGTGTATACACCGACGCCATTGTGATCGGTTCTGAGCCATGTCACACAGTCTCCAATCATTGGTTACGATAGTCACACGTACCCCAACCACATAGTGCGCATCTACCAACATGGCTAACACTAGAATTTAGTGACTTTAAGGACTGATGCTACGTTTTGGATGAGATAGTAAAATATCTTAGTAAGATATATACAGGGAAAAATGGTCGTAAAGTGTATACAAGAAACGGGTTAATGGTTATTATAACTGAAAAAAACACATCGCAATAGTCAGGAAATAATTCAGTGAGGAATCGAAAAACTACTTTTAAGCAATTGCTCTTAGTTTCAAATATGACAGGATAACTTCTACAAATAACGTAAGGCATTTTAATTAGTAACAATAATCAGTTCAATTATGTAGTTGATAAAACTCACTAACCAAATACAAACGTGATTATCTATTGAGTTGACATATCTAGTTAGCAATATACACCTAGACTCCTCAATATTTACTACATCATACCATCAAGCGCATGGAATCACCCAAAGATATGTATGAATTAAATAACTAGCAAACGATCAATGCTTTCTACTTTCATAGAAAACCCCTAAACAAAATACACAATTCGGTATGTAGATGGACATTTCATCTAGAACACAGGTAGAGTGAAATGGGAAAACTTGAGCTTGATTTTTACCTCCTACCAGAAGTAACAACACTTTCAAAGTAAATGACATGGTGATGCCCTTGACTATCACTTGTTTTGGGTGTCTTTATTGTACTAGATCCACACTTTGAAAACTTGCTGCCAACTCCAAAAATAAGTGAATCAAAGAAAGGATATTTAACAGCCGTCCTTTTCCTAAATCACCTTTTATTTGTGATAGGACATAACTACTGATAATATTAGCCGTTTGTGCGGCATAACTAAAACTAATGAAGCAGGCAATGAAACTAAGCCCTCTAATCTGAAAATTGCTGCCTTTGATCTTAGTAATCGTCAAGTGACCCATATAGCATGGCAGGATTTTAATAAATGTCCCAACCAATCTTAGTTAGGATGCTACGAAATACAAAGTTGAGCACTAGATAAAGGTGATCACTAGACAGTTAGAATCCAGTAGAAACAAGATAATAGTTTGAATGAGATCACTAGAGAATATCAACTAGCTGAAATTCACGAAAAACCAAAACATGACCTGTTAACGCCTATAGCTGATATAAAAACAATTCATAGGAAGTAGAGATATCGAATAGGACTCAGGAAACGTTATTGGATCGCAGATAGATGCAGAAACATTTAGATCAGCAAAGGTAATCTCAATCACTTTTACTAAAATGAAGATAATATCGAATTCAGAGATAAAAACAAGGTTAACGTGTCACATTTCAACCCAAACCAGCTGTGTTAAGATGAAGGATAACAGGCAGTTCATACAACAGAATTGGTTTTAAGTTTATGATGCAACTGCGGATGTTCGAAAAGTCCGAAATGATGAATAAAAGATTCAAATCCAAAAATACATGGATAGTTTTCAGGTAGTTGTATACTGGTTTGCAAGAGACCAAAACGTTTATTTTAGCTACTTAAAACCTTAAACATGTGTACTTTAAAACGAAATGAATTATCATAAAGTACTGTTAACAAGTCTCTGATCTTCTGGAAGACGTTGTTACTTCGCCATAAACAGACTTGGCTTTAAGCTATGCTGTGTGAGGGACAGTGTAATTACGAACGTATCCAGGCCGAAGTAGATGAAAGGTGATTCAAACTTGGAGCTTACTGGTTAAAAGTTAAGTGCATTTAACATAGTAATTAACCATTAAACAGATTAAATACATTCAAAAACTTCCTAGAAAGCTCGTCTTTCTGTAGAATAAAACTCATGAAACATATAAGAAATAGAAAATTTTTCATACAAGCAGTAACAAAGAATGAAACACAAACGTACGTCTCGATTCCTCCGACTTTAGCGAATTGAGCACGGTACTCTCTGATACGAAGCATCATTTGAAGATTTCGAGCCACAGTTTGATCATACTGATTATTCTGTAAAGAATAAGAAAAACAACCATTAGCTCAATCCGGTAGTCAGAAAGGATTTTAATTTAATATGTAACGATGAATATAAAACACGAAACGACGCGACATTAACTAGGACTTTACAATGTCGCGCCATCGATGTGTGCTGCGTCTCCGAAACGCGCATACAGGATCCAAGTAGCGTCATTCATTTGACCTCACCATGCCAAAATAAAGAACCGACTCGATTTACGCTTCGTGTATCTGGGAGCCCTGATTCTGCTTCCCGCGGCCTTGCCGGCGTAGGTATAGCATTGAGTCCTAGGGCAGAACTAGCTCTCTTAGAGTGGATCCCAGTAGACAGTCGTTTGTGCGCTGTCCGACTGAACGGAACAGTAAGAATCCGGAAAGATAGGGACACTCGTCGTTGCCTCTTCGTCGTCTCTGCCTATTCTCCCACTGACTGCAGCTCAGATGATGTAAAAGATGAGTTTTACAGAAAGCTTTCGGACCTTCTCCGAAAAGCTAAGCGCTCGGATGTAGTAATTGTGGCCGGTGACTTTAATGCTCAAGTAGGTAAACTAAGCGATAGGGAGAGACACCTGGGTGGATCTTACGGTGTCGTGGCTCAAAGAACAGATAATGGCGACCGTCTGTTGCAGCTATGCTCAGATAACCGCCTGTTCCTTGCAAATACTAACTTTAAACATAAGGAAAAACATCTTTTAACATGGAGACCCCCTAATTCGTCCCAACGTTGGACCCAAATAGATCACATCGCTATCAGCCACCGATGGAGGGGCTCGATAGAAGACTGTCGCTCATTCTGGAGCACATGCCTAGATTCAGATCATGCTCTAGTGCGAGCGCGTATTTGCTTGCGTCTAACTGGACGTAGGAAAGACACTGCAAGAAAACCTCTTAGGGGCCTACTTAATGATAGTCAAGCTAAGAGTATATTTCAGGAACAACTAGGAAAACAGTTAGGCAGCCATGTATGTGATGCCCACCCCGATGCAGCATGGAATGATATCCGAAAAGCTGTGGAAACAGCAGTGATATCTGCTAGTAAGGTAAACCAGAAGGTTAGGGAGCAACACTGGATCTCAGCAGCATCTATCTCACTGATAGATGCTCGGAAACTCATTCCACCTGGCTCTGAACATAATGAAGAGCGGAGTCAGCTTAAGCGCAAGCTGACCAGAAGCCTACGCAACGATCGCGAACAGTGGTGGGTAGCGAAAGCAAGACAGATGGAAAAGGCAGCGGCAATAGGTAATAGCAGACAATTGTTCAGACTCGTTAAGGAAACCGGAATTAGGAACCCGACCGTTAGCGAAACAATCTCAGAGAAAGATGGACATATTATTCATTCTCAATCCAGGAGATTGGATCGATGGGCAGAACACTTTAGGGATCAGTTCAACTGGCCTTCAGCCACACTTCGGTTTCCCACGATCTCTAGTCAACCTGAATGGCAAGTTAATGTAGGTCCTCCGACTTTTTACGAAGTTGAAAAAGCCATAGGAAATCTGAAACGAGGGAAAGCAGCAGGCCCTGACAGGTTTACTCCTGAGATTTTTAAGGATGGTGGTCCAGTATTAGCAATGAGATTAACCGAGGTCTTAAGTAGAATTTGGGAACTGGACGTAATCCCATCTGACTGGTCTCAATCACTGATTGTGCCAGTCTATAAGAAAGGACAAAAGTCCTCTTGTGACAATCACAGAGGAATCAGTTTGACTAATATAGTGTCTAAAATATTAGCTTCAATAATACTTCGACGCCTAATCAAAGCTCGTGAAGAGCAGACTAGAGAAAATCAGGCTGGTTTTCGACCTGGACGTGGTTGTATAGATCAGATATTCACACTACGTCAGGTTCTAGAACACAGACACACATTCAGACGCCCCACAATGGTAGTATTTCTCGACCTTAAGGCGGCATTCGACTCTGTTGATCGTGAGGTTCTATGGCAGTGTTTGTCACTGAAAGGAGTACCAAAGAAGTACATTAACCTTATAAAGGCTCTCTACTCGAACACAACTGGTAGAGTGAGAGCTTATGGCGAACTGTCATCAGAATTGATTACCTCAAGTGGTGTTCGTCAGGGCTGTCCACTCTCCCCATTCTTGTTCAACTTTGTCGTGGACATACTTCTAGAGATAACACTTTCCTCATCTAGATTTCCAGGGGTTGAACTTCTACCGGGAGGTTCACTTGTTGACTTAGAATATGCTGATGACATAGTTTTATTTGGTGAAGACGCTGACAAAATGCAGAGTCTTCTGACCACTCTAAGCAACAATGCAAGCATGTTCGGGATGAGATTCTCTCCCTCGAAATGCAAAATGTTGCTTCAGGATTGGGTTACATCGACACCCGAACTAGTGATAGGGAATGAAGTAGTTGAGTGTGTCGACCGCTTCACTTATCTTGGAAGTCTGATCAGCCCTTGTGGTCTGGTGTGTGACGAAATCTCAGCACGGATACAGAAGGCTCGACTAGCTTTTGCCAACTTGCGTCATTTATGGCGTAGGCGAGATATCCGTCTATCAACCAAAGGACGTGTTTACTGTGCAGCAGTTCGTTCCGTCCTACTTTATGGCAGTGAAACATGACCGGTAAGAGTAGAGGATATCCGTAGGCTACTAGTATTTGATCATAGGTGTCTTCGAAACATTGCTCGTATATCATGGGACCATCGAGTAAGTAACACAGTTGTTAGGAAACGGGTACTGGGTAAGGATGGCAAATCAATTGATGACGTAGTGAAACTTCATCAGTTGAGATGGCTGGGACACGTGTTACGTATGCCCAACGACCGACTGCCTCGACGTGCTATGTTCAGTGGTATAGGAGTAGGTTGGAAGAAAGCTAGGGGCGGCCAAACCAAAACATGGCACAAGTCCATGAAGTCACTGACAAGTGAACTGAGTCATGTTGGTAGGTGTAGACTACCTGGTTGGGGACCGCGAGATGATAGCAACCGATGGTTAGAGACCCTGAATGACATGGCTCAAAATCGTTTGCAATGGCGCAGGTGCATCCACTCTCTGTGTTCTCTCAAATTCTAATCTTCTGAATTCTTCATGTCCCTTTTTTCCTCTTTCCAAATTTATTTCACTGGATTATACTCTATAAATAACATCTCCAAACCCTAATCTTCCCGATTACTGCTTATACTCTTGCTACCTCTACCACTATGGGATTTGAATGGACAACTGCATCTCTGTGCTAATGTGGTGTGGCAACTCGAACTGATGTACGTACGTACGAAGTTCTACGTTGATACTGACTGACTGACTGACATTATCTTGGCTTTGGGTCCAACTGTTGGCTATACGGTTAGTGAAACTACCTGACTGTTAGAACTGAAGTGGGTGTTGTGTGGCACGAAACATGAACATAAATGTACAATATACATTACGATGGATACATCCTCCTCTATCTGCAACAAACAGATACAATCTGCCTTTAAACCATCACTGCCCCCCGATGCCCTGGTACGGTCGAGAGTGGGGAGAGTCAGCTTTTCCTCTCCAAATGCTCTCAAGTGACCACGTGCATACATCCACTGACACGGAGGTCATACTCATTACCATCTCGCACTACGGGTGTTGTTTACGAAATTGAGAGGAAGAAAAGCGAATGTCTGGCACATTAACCGGGTTGATGGATATAGAGGATCCACCTAGGGAAGTTGGAAAACCTAGATTCCAAACCAATGGTGCATATGGACTCCAGTATCCTGAGGGAGCAAATAACGTATGAACCTATTGCTAGTCACCGACTACCATGAGACTGCATCTCCTGACGTTACTCCACTCTCTTGTGAATCAGACCTTCGGGTCGAAGTCTCGAGGTGTGGTCCCCTAAAAAAATTAGCTGCTCCGGTTTGGGCACCCGGGCAGTATCCCAGTCCTCACATAAATCGAATGATTTATTTGGCTCATATCTATTTGGTGCCTCCTTGCACCAATGTTTATGTATTTAAGTAACAATAATAAAGTATTACTGAAGGAGGAATTGAGATAAAAACTTAAAAATAAGGAGACTACAAGACTACTGTTTTGTTGTGATCGATGATAGGAGTTAAACAAACGAGTAGTCTAAATGTTTGTTTCAGAGATTATGGTAATGAACGATTTGCAAAACTGCACCAATATGAGGTTTTTGGTACAAATGCATCATAGACCCTTACTTTCAGTAATTTTTAATTATTCTACACCAAAACTGATGGCTTGTCATGACCATAAGTTCTCATGATACACAGGTTTTCCAACGACGTGATTAACTGTCGGAACATACAACCAGAAGTGGTTTCCAGACTTTCAATCACCTATTCAGGAGGTTAGACAAAAACAGACTTCCTAAAATAGGAATAACACAGGCTCCTGAACTTATATTCTCAAAGTGTAAGTTTTAACCTGATGTATAATAGCTTTGATAACTTGGATTATAGATTTTATATACCAGATTCTATGGTGGTCCAAACGGAACTACGGGAGCAAGTGACGAATATTTATAGACGAGCTGAAAGGCCAAAAATTAGCTTAAGTTTTAGAGCAAAATATTGTGTACACCTGACACTCTCTGAAGTGTAAAGAAGCTTACGGTTATTGTCAGTTGTTCACGTAGCCAATTTAAATAATAAATCAAGTCATTTTCCTCCATAAGTTGGGAAGACCAACATGCAAACTTTGCAATTATCCGGGAAGCTTGGTACATACAGAAAGGATCCCCTCTTTGGAAAAATCCGAAAAAATGAGACCAAAGTGATTCTTTTGATTTGGAGAAGTAATCACGAAAGATTTCAACACGTAATTTGTCTTCCTAAAACTCAATGGCTGGTGAAGTAACAACATACCTGAAGCATATCATCAATAAGTGTAAGGATATATCGTAATGTTTGTTCTTTTGAGATTTTATTTAGGATAAATATAAAAACCCTAGCGGTCTTTCGAACAATAAGGGCTGAAAAGCCCACTTACCATGTTTTCATCAGCCCTTATTACATGATTTCGTGCTTCCGCAGTGGGAGCATTATCAAGTCGTGTTATGAATGAATACTGCTCATCATTAATTATTTGTCCTCTGAAACCAAGTTGTACATCCACACATCTAAGAACTTACTGAAGGTAAGATTGCCAGTTTACTCGTGTTGATCTAACCTCAGCTGCTGTGGCCTGTAGAAAGCTGGTGGTTGAACCGACTAGATGTAAGTTAATGTATGGGAATGAAGCTACTTGACGTGATATCTTCAATATTACCAACGCGAGCGTATTCTAACGACATCCCTGAAATTTCAAAACAGCCACCAAAATATTCAAAATTTCAAATATGAAGCAGATATGCTAGAAAGAGTCCAACGACGAGCTACTAAGATGGTACAGGGTCTATCTGGCCTATCTTATGAAGACAGACTGAGACACCTTAACTTATTTCCGTTATCTTACCGTAGAGTACGGGGTGATCGAATATTGGCTTATTGTATACTGAACGATGACCTTGGTATTAACATGTCTTATCTTTTGCTTCCGTCTAGAACCGATCATTTGAGAGGACATTCGAAGAAAGTTCAAAAACCGAGATCAAACCGTTTACGTCTGGAGTTCCGTTTCTCGCACCGAGTAGTGAATAACTGAAATTCTCTACCGGAACACGTAATATCAGCACCGTCTGTTAATATATTCAAAACGAGATTGGACCTCCACAGTATTACAAACTGCAAGGATTAATACAGGTCGACAGACCTCCTATCCTTTTTACTGATGACTGAAGACTGTGAACGTTGTTTGATCGAAACACAAGAAAAACTTCAAGGCTACACTAAGCGTGGGTTGTTTGAAGACTAAATACCGAACCATTGTCTATTATTTCTGTGGTTGTATTATGCTATCATCATTCGAATGTCATATTTATCATGTTTTATCACAGTTGTTACCAGGCAGTAACTACATAGTAGCATTATTCATCGTGTGCGATCATTGTTAACTTTGAAAACATCGACATTATCTCACTTAGTATCTGTCAATGCCAGACATCTCGGAATACCGACTCGGAAGTGCATGTAGAATAAACAACTCAGATCAGTTTTCAGAAAAAGATTCTGAGGCTTCTATTCTGGACCCATCTGGTTCGATTGCATTGAAACTTGAAGAGTGTATAGTTTCTGTCCAAGAATTGCATCATGTAGTCAATGATAAAGCATCTTCTGACGATAACGGTTCTAATAACAACAATCCAAATATGGAGGACGTCACTTGTTGTTGTCACGACAGTAAAAGTAAGTTATTTGCACCGATTAATATAAACATTTTGGTAAAACTATAACATACAGGCGGCTTCTAGTTAACAAACCAGATTTACTGTGATGCGTCATGTGTTCCGCACAAAATTTAAAGCGCAATGATAGATAAATTTTATGTTGTGGTGGACAAAACAAATATTGGAAGTAGATTTGAAATCGTGCTTAAGCTGAATTACAATATGTACTTGTCTTCAAGCTTGAATGTGCGGTACAGTGTTTGATGTGATTCAATACGTAGTCAGTTTTGATTCATGAGGCTAAGTAGTATTTCTCCACATCAATACTTTGCATCCCAATTTCAAGCTTCTTAAGTTTGTAAACATAGGGTTGACAATGCATGGGATTACCAATGATATCAGTTCGTGATGAGAACTTTTACCCCAAGGTGTGAAACTATTTTATACCTCCAGTTTAACTCGTTATACTTTATCCTAAGTTTTTTCATTGTCTCTGGTGTTAATTGGTGACGAAAACCCCATGGGGTGCTAATCCTGACTCACAACTCTATTCCTAATCCTATTCTACGAAACATCCTTTTTCTTTTACTGCCAAAAGTTTTTCGACATGAGGGTTGGTTATTAAGATCAGAGTTATTATTCCAGTGTAGTAATGTTGCTTTTTGTTGTCAATTCTTTGTAACTATGCCCCGTCTCCTTATTGGCTGACACCGCTCAAGGTCTTCAGTATGTTACACCTATACTAACGTTTCTCAAACCCGGTGTTTTTATGGTTTCGTCTTTTTTTTATGGGTTTCATTTTACATTAGCTAAACGTCATACGTACGCGTGATGTATATTTGGTAATACGGTTACTCTAGCACTCCATGTGGTCACTCACCAATACGAGTATACCTCCGATATTTTAGGGGTATTCATAATCATGTATGTTTTAGTTATTATTAGAGTTCATTAAGAGATTGTCGGTACAGATAAGTCAATTGGATTCGGGGCTCTTACGTGATTTTTGGTGGGTTCGGAAATAAAATATATTTTCGTTTCACAGTGCTACATTGTTTACTGACCACATTTCCATTTTCATGTATTTATGCTAGTAAAAAGTTGGTATACGATGAAAATTTTCTAGAATGATATTTTTCGTTTCATGTTTTATGAAGTAGGACAAGCGAATGTCTATTACTAAAGCCATCATGTGTTTTTTATATCCCCAGTTTTTCTAAACTTCCAATTGGGCAGTGAATGCTGTAATGTGCCGGACATTCTCTTTTCTTCCTCTCGATTTCATAAACAACACCCTCTCCGCGAGGTAGTTAGTAGGAATTTACTGTCAGTGGTTGTATGCACGTGGCCATGTAAGAGCATTTGGAGATGTAGAGCTGACTGTCCCCACTTTCGACCGTACCAGGGCATTTGGTGGCACAAAGTTGCCAACTATAAAGCTGTTCAATTCGTTTTGGTATGGATTAATTCAAGTTTGTTTCACGTCGATATACGGCTCTTCAGAATCAACCACTTAGGAACCTGATGCTATCTGCACATATCGAAACGCGTAGAAGAAACGAACTACTGTAAGGAGTTCAAGTCTAAAATTAAGGCGAAGAGAATCATTTATTGCATGTATAGAAATATCACAAACATGCGAAACTAACTCCCTTATAAAAATCTAATCTGACACTATGAGTCTGTTTTAGGAGCTGCTCTAATATTATTTGGGGTTAAAGTTTTTGTATGGCCTATGATACTTCATGAATAAACAGGTCGAATTAGGTTTTCCTTGGTAGTTTTAGTCGATTTCAAAAGAATTTCGGCTTATATTTAAGGACATGGATATGTACTCTGGTAGTAAATTACACGACATTGAATTTGACCCGAACTTTTAGACTGAAAGTCGGTATTAAAGCAATATCAAGAGCTGCATCTATGCTGTGGTTGGTGTCATTTGTTCCGGAGTCTACGTAGACCATTACTTCGGAGTTAGTTTCTTAACTTCTGTATTTTCCAGTCTGGTTTATTCACCAAATCTTTATGATTTAACTTATTTAAGATCATTCTTGGCAAATAAAATATTATAGAGGTTGAGTTTCAAATTCACCGACAAGTTTTGGTTGTTCAAATAATAAATAAAATGGCGACAGAATGGTGATACATTGGGGTAAAATGGGACTAACAGCTGATGACGAGACCGGATTATTAACATTAACCCTCAAGGTGATTTGCCTGCCCAGCAAAACAGATTTCTTCGATCAAGTAACACTTACGTACAAAATATCAAACATAAGTAAACATGATTACGCGTCATTTAGCATATAGACGATCATAGGATGCTAGTTCTGTTCACCATATACATTTCCGTCGAACTATTACAATGAAATTGTCCTGCAATAGTTATTAAGCATACAGACCATCTTCTTTTTGTGTTTTCTAATTCTTCAGTACTGTCCGTGTGTATTATTAAAAGTATAAGTAATGTGCCTTTCTTGTACTGTCTATCTGTTTCAATTGATTTAAGTAATCCTGACTGTTGTCTAAAATTGTCTTCAAGTTTTCTGCAAGTTCGGGTTCAGTTATATTGTGATACTTCATACCTTTTACCAAAATCAACCATCACTGTTTAGTGGCCGGACTACTAATACTTCATATATATTCATGCTTTAAAATTTCCTCACCACTTAAATAACAAACATGATATTCCGTTTCACTTAATAACTAAAATGTTTCTTGATCCTACTAAACCACAGCCGTTTTGTTAGAGCTAATTATGTTACTCGGCTTCTCCAACTAGGTTGTGTGAAGTTGTTCCAAAGTTTTCGTGACCGTTTACCTAAATGACGATTCAGAGTTCTTCCAACTGACAAAAACAGTGAAAATAGAAGTATTTTAAATATCCATAAAATAACAGCATAAATATTCTCTAAATATCTATTATTATCATTATTATTACAGATGAATGCGGTATACTCAATGATTCAAATTCATCATCTTGGTTGCGACGTCTATTTACGTCAAGCTTATTTAATTTAGATATGACAATTCAATATTTATTTAAATCAGAGGATGTGAATGTACAAATGTATTTGGGTAAGTTTGATTTATTGATAATCAGTAGTAGGTTCGTGGAAACACTAAAAAACTCAATTATTAAGCACTTGGGTATAGGCCACATTAAAAGTGCAAGGGCTAATGACTACCCGGTTACCCTAACGGAAGTTGATGGAGTGGAGTCCAAACCAGTGTCTTTCTGATCGAAAGCCAAGGACCCTGACCAATAAGTCACCACTCCACGTGGCAACCATCCAGCGACCATAGGTTCCCAATTGATGTCTAACTTAGATCGATTCATGATCCAATAACTGAATTTATAATGACAATATTTATTTCTCAGTTATGTTAACTGCCCAATGATCATTTTGTTTTAAACTATATGTTAAGGCTGATTGTTTCATAATGATTTGTAAATCAAAGGACTGTTGCTTGTGTGATTACAGCAGTTGGCTTTTAATTACTAGGTTGCAGGTTCTCATCCCACTCAATCTATTTCGGTTTGGGCAATGAGGTATAATTCAAAGCCTTGTTGATAAAAATCCACTTGACAAATTATCCATTCTTCATTATTACCACACTTTATTTATTTATTATTTATTTGAACACATAAATATTGGTACAATAGAGCGCCAATATATATGCGCCACACAAAACAATGGGAATTCGAAGAGAAGTAGAAAGAAGAAAAAAAAACTAAGGAACGCAAAAGAAAAAGAGAACAATGACGAAGAGATTGGAGTAAGGTAGTGTGGTAGTAACGCCGGAACGAAAAGGTACAGTCAGAAGAAATCTTTCAGGTAAAGGAGACACAACCACTTTTTATGAAGAAAGTAAAAGAAGGTTACAGCAGGATCGCCACTGGCTTCTATTCTGAGCCATATCTGATAACGTCTCTAGCCACTGTGTAGCACCATCTCTCGGACCCCAGCCAGGGAGTCGTGAAGGACCAACACAAGCCAGTCCTTTGCAGCTTTCTTTCATGCCACGACACCATGTCATGCACTGACCACCTCTCCGCTTCTTCCAACCAGTCCCAGAGTCGGCAAATAATGCACGACGTGGAATTCTCTGGGACGACATTCGGAGAACATGTCCAAGCCACCGAAGTCGGTGTTTCAAGATGGTGACACCAATTGAGTTATCATCTCTGTGCCCGAACACACGATGCCGAACCTCTGCATTACTGACATGGTGTTGCCACTGAATGTCAGCAATCCTTCGGAGACAGCGATGATCGAACACAGAGAGTCGTCTAACGTCCTCAACTCGGAGAGGCCAGGTTTCACAAGCATAGAGCAAAACTGCTCTCACCGACGCGTTGTAGATCCGGCCTTTTACAGCCAGACTAACATCACGAAGGCGCCATAGATGGCCCAGATTGGCATAAGCCGCTCTGGCTTTCACTATTCGTGCATTGATCTCATCACTCACACCCCCACCAGCACTTATGCAGCTACCCAGATACACGAACTTCTCAACTACTTCTATCTGCTCACCGTCCAGGGTGAGTACAGGATTAGAATCCTGCCAGTCTTGTAGAAGTACTTTGCACTTCGAAGGTGCAAAGCACATACCATACCTACGGATACTGATTGCCAACTGATTAAGTGCGGATTGCATGCCTTGGGCATTATCGCACAGTAAGACAATATCGTCCGCATACTCAAGGTCGAGAAGTCTTTCTCCAGGCAACAGATCCACACCACCATTACTTACATTCATCAGAGCTGTTTCCAGAATGTCATCGATGGCAAAGTTGAAGAGGAATGGTGAGATTGGGCAACCCTGCCTAACCCCACTGCTCGAATGGAACAATGGAGAGAGGTGGTTGTATGCCCTCACTCTGCCTGAGGTGTTTTTATACAGGGCTTTTAGGATGTTAATAAACTTCTCAGGCACACCCTTCTTCAATAGACAATCCCAGAGAACAGTCCTATCCAACGAATCGAAGGCAGCCCTGATGTCAAGAAACACTACGATTGTTGGCCTTTGATAAGTATGACGGTGTTCTAACATTTGGCGGAGGGTGAAGATATGATCAATACATCCTCGACCAGAACGAAACCCAGCCTGCTCCTCGCGAGTCAATCTTTCTCGGGTTTTGAACAACCTACGAAGAATGACGGAAGCCAATAGCTTGGACGCAATCGGAAGTAAACTTATCCCCCGATAGTTGTTACAAGAACGACGTGAACCGTTTTTAAAGATAGGGACAACTATCGACTCATTCCATGACGTTGGTACACTCTCTAGTTCCCAAACCTTTGTAAACAACGTCGTCAATTCCTTAGTCAGAGAGTCACCACCATCTTTAAAAAGAGCCGGAGGTAAGTCATCTGGGCCAGGTGATTTGTAACGCTTCAAGAGTTGGAGTTCCTTGCGGACTTCCTCCTCATTTGGTGGATCAGTCGTCACCGGCCATGGAGGGCAGGACAGTCTGACCGATGTTGCCGGAGCAGCAGGCCAGTTGAACTGCCCTTCGAAAAATTCTGCCCATCGTCCAAGACGTCGATGGATGTTAGTGATTGGCATCCCATCATCCTCGCAGATTGTTTCACTCACACCAGACTTCTTGCTGCCAGTGGCTCGGATGAGCTGGAAGAGCTTCCGGCAGTTACCAGATGCAGCTGCTGCTTCCAGCTCATTAGCACGCATCGACCACCAGGCTTCTCGGTCCTTACGCAAGCTTTGCCCAATTTCCTTACGTAACATCCTTCGTTTATGGTCAAACTCACGGTCACCCGGAGTAGACCGACGGGCTTCAATGAGTTGTAAGGAACCAGAAGAAACCCAGTGCTTAAAAGCGGGACGTTTTGCAAACCCACAACTGACTGTTCCCGCCATTTTCATGGCGTCATGCAATTGCAACCAATGCTCATCTATACTTTTCGGTGGAGTGGTAGCTAGCCTAGAGGCTAGCTCGGTTCGATACTTACTTGCAACAGAAGTTGCAACCAGCTTGCTAACATCAATCTTTTGGTGGTGGTCACTTCGTTGGCCACTGAAAAGTAAGGCAAGATTGGCGCAGACCAAGGCATGGTCAGAGTCCAGATAGGTACTCCAAAAGGAGCGGCAGTCTTGTACACAACCACGCCAGCGGTAGCTGATCGCGATGTGATCAATCTGAGTCCAGGCTTGAGATGCAGAGGGAGGACGCCAGGTGGCACATCGGCGATGACTGTGCCGAAAGTTAGTGCTAGCCAGAAACAGGTTGTGGTCTGTGCAAAGTTGCAGTAGACGGTCCCCGTTATCTGACCTGCGACCAACGAGTCCCCATCGGCCACCTAAACGACTCTCTTCTGTGCCTAGACGCCCGACCTGAGCATTCAAGTCTCCGGCTAGTACTACAATATCTGTCGAACGCACTTTCTGGAGAAGAACTGATAACTGGTGGTAAAACTCATCCTTGATTGCATCCGGGCTGCAATCTGTCGGGGCATAGGCGGAGATGACGAAAAGACATCGTTTCTCACGCCGATTTCTTCTCACTTTGATGGAACTTTCTAATCTAACAGCACATAACCGACTGTTAATGGGGATCCAATCGACTAGTGCTGCCTCAGCTCTAGCGCTTAGTGCGACACCAACGCCAGCAAGACCAGACGAAGATGCCACAGGGTCCCCGGATAAGCGCACGTAAAACAAGCTTTTCGAAGCGACAGATGGAGATCGAATTTGTAGTACTTCGCCAGAGTCTTGAGTACGGGTCTCGGATAGACAACACACGTCGATATTAAGACTTTCCAAAGACATAGCCAGCCCTATCTGTTGTCCGACCTGCATAAATGTGCGAACGTTGAAGGCAGCCAGTTTGAATGGTGCACGTGGTTTCAGAAAATCTGCTTCAGTCCTCGTATTCGGTGGTAACATACGATTTTCAACCGGACAGTGACTCGAGAACGTTTAGATACAGTCGGATTTCCACCAAAGACGAGCCGCTGTATAAGTATAAAAGAGGGTGAATAATGTGGAAAATAATAATAATAATGATAATAATAACAATAATGACAATAATAGTAGTAATAATAATATTAGTATTAATAATGACAATAATTGTAATGATAATAATCTGAATCAATTGTTTGTTTTTCAAAGCGAGAAAGGTAATTTCCATAGGCATAAAGAGTTCATCAATTTGTGTGTGGGCTGTGATACTGCCCGGGTGCCCAAACCGAAGCAGGTGGTTATCTTAGGGGGCCACTCCCCGAGCCTTTGACCTAAAGGTCTAACCCACAAGGCAGTGGAGCATCGTAAGGAGATGCAGTCCCATGGTAGCCGGTGACCAACGATTGGTTCATACGCCATTCGTTCCCGCAGGATACTGGAGCCCATGTGCACCATTGATTTGGAATCCGGTTAAAGCGCCGGACATTCGCTTTTCGTCCTCTCATTTTCGTAAACAACACCCCCGCCACGAGAAGGCAATGAGTAGGACTTCCCTGGCAGAGGCTGTATACGCGTGGCCGTGTGAGAGTATTTCGAGAGGGAGAGCGGACTCTCCCCACTCTCGGCCGTACCAGGGCATTTACCAGGGCATCTACTATTCAAACGAGTTAAGTATTAGAAATAACTTTAAGTTTTGATGAATAAAACATACAAATGATGAGAATGTTGTACACTAGAGTGTCAAATCTCTTCATTAGTCTAGAATATACACTTGTCAAGCCCGAAATACAAGAATACTTATCTCTATCTATATATACTTTCATTACCAAAACAATGAAATGCTATTACAATTATCCATTAAAGGTTTCAATGTATATTCTATTGTATATGAAAAGGAGTTCAGCTGTTGATCAGTTCATATATATGTAGTTTTTATTCATTTTCCTTCACTTTATTAACAGCTGATCGATTATTTGGTTTTCCAGAATCTGATGTAGACTTTTACTTATTACAACTTGTTTCTCTCTATGAAAAATCACCTTCATTAGCTGAACACTTAACTAATTATTTTATATATCGGTAAGTAATTTCATATTTTTATGTCCATGATAACATATGTCGTATTTTATGGTATGGCAATAACCATAATAGTGGTCAAGAATAATTTTCTGTCTGACCTGGATGCTTTCATTGTGAAGCTCCCATTATCTATTCAGGTGTCATTGTTAATTACAACCCAAAATAGGGTTATTGAGTCTTTTTCTCCATAAATATTATATTAGTTCATTCTAATGACCTTGTCTAATTGTCCTTAAAAGTATCCAGATTGATTGTTCCACTAATTTAATCTCTGATCATACAACTGGTTAACCTCCATTATATAAACTGAATCTATAGATCAGAGTATTTTGTTGAGTGTTTCGATGGAATTCACATGCTCACGGATCAATATTAGAGATATCTTGTTGCTTGACTGCTGACCTATATCTCTAGGTTCATGGCCGAGATGAGTTCAAATACAGTTAGTACTTGTCTCCTTTCTGTATAATTTTACTTGTGAATACTGTTAGGTTTATGGTACGGCCGAGTGTGGGGAGAGTCCGCTCTCCCTCTCCAAATGCTCTCACACGGCCACGTGTATATAGCCTCTGTCAGGGAAGTCCTACTCACTGCCTTCTCGTGGCGGGGGTGTTGTTTACGAAAATGAGAGGACGAAAAGCGAATGTCCGGCGCTTTAACCGGATTCAAAACCAATGGTGCACATGGGCTCCAGTATCCTGCGGGAACAAATGGCGTATGAACCAATTGTTGGTCACCGGCTTCCATGGGACTGCATCTCCTTACGATGCTCCACTGCCTTGTGGATCAGACCTTCAGGTCGAAGGCTCTTGATGTGGCTCCCTAAGAAAACCACCTGCTTCGGTCTGGGCACCTGGGCAGTATCACAGCCCTCACACATATCGAATGAGATTTGTGTGGCGCATATGTATTTGGTGCCTCTTTGTACCATTATGTATGTGTTGAAATAAATAAAACTAATTTCAAAAGATTTCGAAACTAACCAAGAAACCTTAATTCACTACTTTAATTGTTTTCCATCAAAAACCCACTTCAAAATATTTATTCAGTTTGGTTATTTACATTCTAAAATGCAATTATCTTACACACTGTCAGCCAATGTTATCCTGTTTATAGTAAAGAATACTGTCACTTCACAGTTGATTGATTATTGAGTATATAGCGATGTCATGTTTGCCTTTGGTGCTGCTCGAATTTTATTTGTCAAGTTGCACTATAGTCATTAATCTAAGTGACTTGACATTACTTGCACCATGTTGAGATGGTAGTTGACCGAAGGTAGCTGACAGGAAACCCTACTTGGTCTAGGTTTCGTGCTGGCGGGTACTCATCATCAAGACGTAACTGCGGTCTTTAAGGAAGTGATATTCCCTGTGGTATGTTGATATGTTACCACCGAGCTATTCGGGTCGCGTTTGATCTCTTGTAAGGCTCAGGTGCCTAATATTTTAACATAATACAGAATATATCGATTCATCTAGACTAGTGGCCACATCACAACTTGATCGATGGAACATAATCAAAAGTAAGTTCTTTGGTATGCATAAAATTCATTGAAATGGTTGTTTGTTGACAAAGGATTTTGGAATCGTAGTTATACTTTCTGAAATTTTGTTACGTATGTATTTAGATGGTCGATCACCTCCCAGCTTAAGATTTTTAGAGATATTTAAGAGATAATAGACTGGTCTTACAGGGATTTATAAATAAAACTGTGAAAACAGTTATTTGTGTGGAGAAAAATTTGATTGTGAGTTTTTTCATGTTTGTCCTGTAATGATCTCTCACTCCTTTGAACAGTGACTGTCTTGGAATCCTGTGTTTTACTCAGTTGCTTCTGTTGTAGCCAAGTATCTGACCCCTGTTCGATCTGTTTGTGTTTTCTGATAGTTTTCCATCCATCGTTTGCAAGGCATCCCCGTAATATTGAGTATACTGGTGTTTCTTATGAGATTTGAACCTGCGTCATTTAGCTTCATAGTCTGAAATGTTACCACTGAGGTACTCGGGCTGCTGTTTACTTTCCATAGAACTGAGACGTATTTACAAATGCATGGTCACTGCGTAGTGACCAATGTTATGTTTTTCTAATTCTTTAGTGTTGATCAAATTCTGTCGATCAACATAGGCGTCTATGGAGGTTATTGAATGTTATTGGTATCATGAACCAATCTAAGTTAAACATCCATTAAAAGCATATGAGCAATGGACAGCTTAACCTCGAGATCATTGAGTTGATGTCCCATGATGTGCTTGTCTGATTTCAATCAATTGGCGTTCAACCATCTTCCTTTGTATTTGATGGTTACCTTCTTCACATGTGACACTATTGAACTCCACTAGTCATGGTTTCTCTCGATTAAGTTACATGTATATATTGTCTTTTTTTCATCTACTATTTATCCACATCATACATTTTTATCTTTTTTCCCATTTCAGATGTACAAAATCTGTTTCATTTGCAATAAATCTTGTTTGGTTATTGGACTCATTCAGTTCACATTCATATAATCCATTGAAACGTGTTTCATCAATTCTACTTAATCGTCCATCATCAGTGCCAATATTCTCTTATGTATCTAATCAATTGTATTTAATGAATTCCAGTGATAATTCTCAATCAATCAATAATAATAGTAATAATAGTAAATTTATTAAATTAAAATCTAGTTCATCGGCTATTACACCTTTACAAGAATTAGATTATCATAATAGTAACAATGGTGATGAAAATTACAATACAAATGTAGTTCCTACTCCTAATACAACCACGACTAACAATTCGACAGAATTGTCCAATGATAATCGATTCGTGTATACTGCACAAACTTTACGGGATTTATTACTACCAATTGATGAGACTACATGGGGTAGTTTTATTCCACAATCGATAGTTAATGGAAGGTGTGTGCGTGTGTGTATCTATGTAAAATTATAATTTTTCCTGTGTTATTGACTAATTTCTGTTCATTAGAACCTTTTTTTTCTAACCTAAGAAGTAGTAAGTATACTGATACATTATAGTTCCATCTTGGTGTTATATATTGAACAGAGTGATTTGTTAACCGAAAAGCGAGTATGATACGTAACCATTCATTTTGTGGCTGTAAAACATAACTTTTAAAAGTAGAAGATACTTATAGGTTATTAGTACTGCCTGAATACGTTTGGACTACCGAGTTAACGATTATTGGAACTAGATTAAATGAAATGATTGGGGCATGTATTATATGTGCTCAAACACCACATACCTCGCCATGCAATGCTTGTTAGTGTAGCAAGTTTGAAGTGACTGGGATTAGTTTATGAAGTCATTTGCTGTTGGACTGAGCCTTGTTAGTAGATGTTGACTATCTGGTTGACTATCTGATAGGAGTCAGAGTTTATGGTATTCATTTTGGCGATTTCTACCCCCTGTACTGATGTGTAGCATCACCAACCGATGCACATATGGGCTAAGTCCTACATTGTATCTATTTGACTGATACAATATATTCCGTTGGTCTTTAATATTACTGATTATTATAAAATAAAGCAAGAGTGAATTAAGCAAACCGTTCACTTCATACAGATTACTTTACCGTGTTACTTTCGTATATATTTATTTTAGCTACAACATGGGATCGTATAATAATGTTAATACTCACTATACACATAATACTTCTTCTCCATCATCTAATTGTAAATTATCTCCAAATATTCATCATAATATCGGGCATAAACGAAGTACATCTGATGTAACAAGTAAGTAGGATATTATTCAATTACTTTAGATGTTTTTTTTCCAGTGATAAATTATTTTTTAATCAATACTTAGATTAGTTATGTTCTGTAGTTTACATCACTAACTGATCTTAATTATCTAATCATTGAAAACTAAGAAGTAGTGGGAAGCTATTACATTCTGATACGGAATTCTCAGAAGCTTGCATCCATAACCTCATCAAGGATCGAATCCAAGCCTCTCGGCGAACACATGACCTTAAGACTACTAGGCAGGAAAATGTTTCGCCTATTTATGAAAATATAATGATATCATTTTGTATTTTCTTTGTTGGTCTTGTTAAATTTCTATTTGCCTATATGCGGATTAATAATTAGGTCGTTCAGCGATGTTTAAAGCTAAGACTTGTCTTATATTTATTTATTCATTTAAACACAGAAACATTGGTACAAGGAGGCACTAAATATATATGCACCACACTTCATTCGACTTGTGTGTGGGTTGGAATATTGCCCAATTGCCCAAACCGAAATAGGTGCTTTTCTTAGGGGGCCACTCCCCGAGCCTTTGACCTAGAGGTCTAATCCACAAGACAGTGAAGCAACGTTAGCAGATGCAGTCTTATGATAGTTGGTGATCAACAGTAAATTGATATGCCATGTGTTTCCTCAGGATCCTGTAGTCCACGTGCAGTATTGGTTTGTAATCAGGGTATTCCAACTCCCCTAAATGAATCCTCCGTGTCCACCGATCCGATTAAAGTGCCGGACATACTCTTTTCATCCTCTCAATTTCGTAAACAACGCCCTGTTTGCGAGGAAGTCTGTAGGACTTTACTGTGAGTGGTTGTATGCACGTGGCCATATGAGAGCATTTGGAGGTGGAGAGCTGACTCTCTCCACTTTCGACCGTACTAGGTCATTTGGGGGCACTTGTCTTAAAATTGGATGATTTCACTTTTAATCCCTCGTACAAGAATGTATGTTTGTGTTATTAAATTCTTGTCCTATTTTGGAAATTCTAACAAGTACATGTTCTCAGGTAAATTAGGTATCGTGCACAAGGCTATCTTATATTATTGATGAATATCATAACTTTAGACCATAATGTTCCACATTTTTAACTTCAGTCTTGACGTTCATCCGACCGAGGTTAGTCCCTGGTAAAAACCATCATAGAACTGATGTAACGTCCACAAATAACTAGTTAAACTATTATTATTGTTTCGTCGAAGGGGTTTATGTAAGCTTACATAATTTATAGATGATCTACGTTAAAGGCACCAAAATCAAAGCGGGTGACTTTCTTAAGTGGGTCGCTCCTACAACCTTTAACCTAGAAGTCTGATCTATAAAGCAATAAAACGATGCCAGTAGATACAATGCCATAATAGCCTGTAGCAAAATAGGTTCGTTCTTCATTCGTTCCGTTGGTATCCTGGAGCCTATGTATACCTGTACTTTAAAATCAGGGTTTCACAACTCCTCCCTTGTAAACCCTTTGGGTCAACTAACCTGACTTAAGCACGGGTCCATCCATTCTGTGCTGTCATGCTTTCTTTAAAAAAAAAGAACACCCTCTTCATGTAAAGTCAGTTGGCAGAACTCCCCCTAACATAGACTATAGACACATAATTTCATAAGAGTTTTTCAAGGTAGGAAAAGCGGACCTACTCCATTCTCAACAGTTTTTATTTATTTATTTATTTAAACACATAAACATTGGTACAAGGAGGCACCAAACAGATATGTGCCACATAAATCTTTCGATTTGTGTGAGGGCTAGGATACTGCCTGGGTGCCCAAACCAAAGCAGGGGGTTTTTTTTAGGGGGCCACACCCGGAGCCTTCGACCTGAAGGTCTGATCCACAAGGCAGTAGAGCAACGTAAGGAGATGCAGTCCCATGGAAGCCGGTGACCAACAATTGGTTCATACGCCATTTGTTCCTTCAGGATACTGGAGCCCATGTACACCATTGGTTTGGAATCCGGTTAAAACGCCGGACATTCGCTTTTCATCCTCTCATTTTCGTAAACAACACCCGTGGTGCTAGAAGGCAGTGAGTAGGACTTCCCTGGCAGAGGCTATATACACGTGGCCATGTGAGAGCATTTCGAGAGGGAGAGCGGACTCTCCCCACTCTCGGCCATACCAGGGCATTTGGTAACTTCTCAACTGTACCAGAATATTTAAAGGAATAAACACCACTCTATAATGAATATTTTTCTTAGTTTTTCACAATTAACGTTGTATTGCAATCCATAACACAAGTTTATCAACTTAGAAAGAGGAAAGAAAAAAAACACTAAAAGCATAAGAGAGATTTAAAGTTTGTTTTTCTTTTTAATCAATAAATGTTTGTGTGTTAATTACACCATTATTGTCGTTGATCATATTCCTTCTACTTTTTAATGATTGTCATTAATGCACTGGTTTATTCTATTTATTGCTATTATTATTAATCGGTTTTTACTCGTGTGTGTGTTTGTGTATGTGTGTTTATGTGGTAAGAAAGTGAGGAATCGATTTTATTAAAAGTAATAAACACATTTGTTTTACTGTGGGTACTTAGGAAACACACATATTAGTAACTATGTATATTTGTGACGGTTAAGAAAATCCTATGAACATCAGACAGTCATCTGATGATGAATAAGTGGCAATTTAAAAAAAATTATACACAAATATATATGTGTATGTGTAGCGCTCAAACATTGAATAATCAATGTTATCTCATAAGTCAGGTGAAAATAAAAAGTCAGTCAGCTACAACGTAGGACCAAGCACATATATGCATCGGTCCAAGTTGCCATTACCTCATTAACACAAGAAGATGAACATCGGATTCATAGACGTCGTCATTTAGTATCGACAAACACCATTCCAACAATCAATCACTTTATAATTTGATATCAAGGTTTAAGTAATTAGTTTTACTGAGATATTGAATGGAATTAGAATAGAACAAGTATTTGTTGATTAAATCAACTCTAGTATGCTGTTTTAGTGGTTCTCGGATTCATATCTAAGACAATAGCTTTCAATATAAACGCAACTGTAGCGACAGTTCTACCATATTGACATAAACTACCGGTGTAAGTAATTGGTTCATATTGACAGTTCAACTTTATCATAGCGGTAGTAACTGTATTTTGGCCGTTCATTCTATTCTGCTTACTATGATTGTAAGCATAGCTTAGTGCATAAAGTGATCATTAGAATTCAATAATAACTGTCTATAAACTATGTTACATATCTATCTTCTGAATATATTTATTCTGTTGTTCATCTATTTCTTAGTACAACATAATAAATGCTTTTAAGGGTTATTACTTCAGGGGGTCTGTGGAAACTATGGAATTTTCGTAGCTTTACATCACAGATTGATTACAGTTGGGCACAATCAGTGAAAATCAGGACAGAGTAGATAGTTGTTCTTCTCAGGTATAGGGCTCCTTAGCAATGCACATCTATGACTTCATCAGGTATAAAACTAAAGACCTTAAGGTTTTGCGAATAGCGCCTAACCATCAGACCATTGAGCCGACATCCACTGGTTTACATGTGTAATTTCAATCCATTTACGATATCATGCAACCGCCATCCAATATCCTTGGTAAGTGACTGTCTTGTTACAACATGTTCGAACTCCACTGGTTACGGCTCCTCATCATAACTTTGGAAATGACTTCTCAAAACTAGTCATTGGTAGCGCCGCACTTTCTGAGCTGGTTAGTAAAATTACAAACATCTGAATATCATCCTAGACAACATCGTCACTATCTACTTCAAACTAATTCCTCCATTGTAAGCTGAGTTGAATGATGGCCAGCAGTGAAGTCCAGGTCTCCCGTTTCGTCCTATTTGCGACTCATCGGCTGAATATAGCTATATCCCGGTGTTGTTGTTCACTCCGGGACTCGAAACCAGTACCTTTCGCTTCAAATACTAACACATTATCCAATTAACCACCTATTTCAGGTAGCCACTGGTTTGTGCAATAGGTTGAATTTTGATTCGTTTGTATTGATTATTTGAATCTTCCCATTCATATAAAAAACTGCAATCTATCAGTTCATTTTAGCCTATGAGCATCCCGTGCGGATTACCTCAATATTCTCATTAAGTCACAAACATTTTGAGCAAAATTAGTCGTTCTTTATTGTTTTGCTCTACAGTATTCAATGTTAAATTGAAATTGCATTCCATGTTTTATCTTTTCTTTTCAATACCCCCCACACACACACACATACACACGCACACGCGTATAGGTTTAAGAAATTATCATTATTATGTAGATAAATCTAGACATCGTGTTGTTATGGATCAGTTAGATCTAATGAATAATACTGAAACTAATCAAACGATAACAACAATAACTTCTAATCCAAATCGTTGGTCATCATCACAAGATTCAGCTGTTTGTTTATCAACTATTGATGATGTTGTAAACAATCCAATAACAACTCAATCTAATCATATCACAAATCAAATATCATTGAATTCAATATGTCCTATCATAAATCATTTATCAAATCAAACAAATCCTTTATTAAATGAAAATCGACATTCATTACATCAATTACATTTGAATAATCTTAATCAAAATCCAATTAAATCAAGTATGAGTATGAATAAGGTATGTAGAAAAGTATTGACAAATGTAATTTTTAATTAAATAATTGTTGTATAGAGATTTGATTTATATTTTGAATTCTTCAGCACAATGTATTTACTTACTTACTTATTGCCCAATGGAGCATAGTCCGCACACCAGCATTCTCCAACCAACCCACTCTGCCCTGCGCCTTCCTTTCAAGTTCTATCCGTTTTTTGTTCATTCTTCTCATGTATTTCTCTATTTCTCTGCGTAATGTGTTCTTTGGTCTTCCTTTTCTCCTTTGGCGTCGAAGATTCCATGTGAGGGCTTGTCTTGTGACGTGGTTGCGTGCTTTCCTCAATGTGTTTGTCGTATACACTTCCAGCGCTTACTGTTGATTTCTTCCTCCGCTGGGATCTGGTTTGTTCTCTCCAACAGTAGGTTGTTACTGATAGTGTCTGGCCAACCGATCCGAAGTATTTTACAGAGACAACTGTTGTTGAACACTTGTATCTTCTGGATGATGGATTTCGTAGTTCTCCAAGTTTCCACCCCACACAGTAGAAGTGTGTTGACATTTATATTGAAAATTCTAACCTTGGTGTCGGTTGACAGACAGTTGTTTTGAGTTCCAGATCTTCAGTCGTAAATATGCTGTTCTTATTTTGCCGATCCTCACATTCACATCTGCATCAGATCCAACGTGTTAATCAATAATGCTGCCCAGATATATAAATGTTTGTACATCTTCCAAATCTTCTTCAAGTGTGATTCGGTTGGTGCATATTGTGTTGTATCGGAGAATCTTGCTTTTCCCTTTGTGTATGTTGAGACCTACTGATGCTACTGCTACACTGGTCGTCTTCTCCTGCATTTGTTGTTGCGTGTGCGACAACATACTCAGATCCTAGATCTGTTCTTAATTAAATCAGATATGAGCAATGGTTGTGTCACAGACTAGAATGAAGCGGTTCGTCATTTTCTTCCTACGTTAAACATTCACAAAATGCAATGTAGTTTTAAGAGAACCATATGGTATGGTTAACGAAATCTTTTAAAAGTAATATTTGTCAATCGTTTATGATATTTCTTTATATTTGTTTCTTTTTCTGGTTCTTGAGTGCTGATTATATCCTACCAATCAAGTTACGATGTGGTCACTTGTTTAAGTAACTAGACATCTTGTGCGGCACGTTGATATATTAGAGGACAGCTGAAAGTAATTGACAAGAAACTTTTGACCACTACTCAGTAATAAATCAGTTTTGCAAACGTATCAATCCCACAAAGGAAATCATGCACAACGTGAATAACTTGATAGTAATGTTTCGGACTGTGAAACTGAGTAATTCGCAGTCGAATCCTCTGGGAAGCATTAGTTCTGTCAAGGTTACTGATGAGTGCCTGATAACACGAAACCTAAATCCAGGAAGTTTAATTCTAAATGATACGCGAAACAAGAAGACGAATCAATCTTTTTAACATAATAGTTAAGATTTATTAGTATTAGGTCTTGTAAAGAAACGGGGTGAAATTATAGATGATAATGAAGGGACAATAAATAACAATACACTACTATCAAGTGATTAATAATCAACGATCCTAGTTGGCATGAAGTGAAAGTTAACGTCGCGAGGGAATATCAGTGGGGTTTTTCTACCTGAAGTTGTAAACCTTAGTAAAGAGATAATGTGACTGACAAACGTTAAAGTAACAGAACTATTTTACTATGGTAATAGGAGATTTACCCCAATTTTTCTCTGCATACTAATGTCAGGACGAAAGCGTTTAATGCCAATGACCTCTGCAAAGCGAAGCAAATGTGTTCTCTGCCTGTTAATTATCTTAAACACTTCTGAGTCACCTATGCTATGTTCATTATTCATTAAATATCCAGTGATCACACTTACAAATACTTCCTTTCAGACATAACTGACGGTGAATATGTTACGAAAACCTTGTTGATGCACTTCTGCCATTCATTCGAATGTACATATTTTCACAACTATATGTAAATTTGTAAATAAATTTGCCGGTGACCTCAGATCCACTCTTGATTTTTCTAAGGAAAATCTGATGTTAAACATCAAAAACAATTAAACAGGAGGAACGCTCCTCTTTAGCGCTTCGTCAATCCTTTTGATAGGTCTTGTCTATGAAACGCTATATACGATTCCTAAGCTATTCCGGTAACCCGCAGTCTACAACTACACAGCGACTTGAACACCAGAGAGAAGACACAAATATGAGAGAAAATACTTTATCCCAAGGTTCATTTTTGTACAGAAAATCATAGGTATTTATAGATGTTGGCGTCTGTTAAATCAACATCATATTTCAGCCAATCCGTTAACGACATATTATGCTACCGACCAATAGTAGCACGCCACGTTGGAATTCCAGAACGTTCCATCATACTCTGATTGGCTAGGTCCCTTCGGCTCCTTTTGGGCCTCTGGAGGCTCCGTTGATGTTCTCCGGAAGCCGACTCAACACCTTTTATCGATCCTGCCTGATATCTCCTCACCTTTGAATGCAAGACGGATGAGGACTGGTTTTTTTGACAGTTGTTTGTTTTAGACTTCCTGTACTACTTATAAAAAAATGGGTATCCAAAGAATGGAACTCAAGCTCTATTTGGAACTCAAGTTGGATACACTTACATTCCTGGTGAATATTCAGAATGTCTGTCTTAATAGAAATACACATACCCAACAAAACTAAGCTGGAATGACAACGCCAACAATAGCCCAGTTTTTTGGAAAATCTAAATTTAATAAACCAAAGATAACAAGTTTTTGATGTTTTAACTCACAGACTAATCTTAGACCACCATTTGAATCAGAAAGCACTAAACGTTTGTTTTGTCCTCGTATGGGACTCTCCTATATTGCCTATCCACAACTTCATCAGGGATCGAAGTCAGTATCTTCAGTGATGTAAACAATTTCCACAAAACTATAATAAGTTTTAACGTCAGTTCTAGATATGTGGGGGAAGGTTAGTAGCATAATCATAATAGTAAAATTCATAAAAAGTATATATCAATGAAGTATACCGTAAAAATGCAGACAAAAAAAGCCAGATGGTTCACGATAATTGCGATTGATGTTCTAATACGCTTGATAATTTCAAGTTACCCAACGTCTACTATCAATATGAATTAGAATCGTGTTTTTATATAGGGGCTCCTTCATTTGCCACAATCATTTTGATTAACATTTAGATTAAAGCTGTCGTTAACGAAACTAAATCGACTAAACGAAATAACTTCAAAGGTTGTTTAAATTGTCCGTTGTCATTAATTGTATGACTAGAGCCCCCAAATGCCCTGGTATGACCGAGGGTGGGGAGAGTCTGCTTTCTCTCTCTCTAGATGCTCTCATATAGCCATTCGTATACAATTACTGCCAGGGAAGTCCTACTCACTGCCTTCTCATGAACAGGGCGTTTACGAAAAGCAAATGTCCGGTGCTTTAACCGGGTTAGTGAATATGGAGGATCCACTTAGGGGAGTTGGAATACCCTGATTCCAAACCAATGGTGCGCATGGGATACAGGATCCTGAAGGAACAAATGGCGTATGAACCAATCGTTGTTCACCGGCTAACATGGGACTGCATTTGCTGACGCTGCTCCACTACCTTGTGGATCAACTTTCAGCTCGAAGGCTCCGGGTATGGCCCCCTAAGTATACCACCTGTTTCGGTCTGGACATTTGGGCAGTATCACAGCCCACGCACAAATCAAGTGACTTGTGTGATGCATGTGTATTCGGTGCCCCTTTGTACCAATATTTATGCGTTCAAATAGATATATATGATTAGAGGGCATCAAATAACTGTTTTGCCATTATTATAGATTCCTCAACCAGTCTGTAATCATTTTCATGTTGAGATCGTGATACTATTTAACTGTTAATTTCAGATTTATTTATTCATTCACGTAAAATCTGTCTATGCAAGTAATAATTATGTATGTAGTCTACATTGCTCACTGTGCATTAAAACCGAAGCAGGTGGTTTTTTCAAGGTATTAATTGCTAAGCTTTTAGTTTCAAGGTCTAATCTACCAGGCAGTTGAGCAGAATAGGTTCGTGCATTATTCATTCTCCTACGATCCTCGATCCCATGTATGTAATTCGATTGAAGTCATGGTTTTTTTTAACTTCGTCAAATGAATCCTTCATAATTTGAAATTTATAATAACAACACAATTGTTTTAAATTTGATTTATTTAGTTTGTAAGTGTTTGTATCCTTCCGTTGATACAATATGAAATGTGATTGATTCGTCTCTTTTGGTATATGTGCGCTTTGAATAATGGGCTTCTTTGTTCGTGCTATATCTTCATCAATTTTAGGTAAAGTTATATAACTTCGTGGCTATATGGATTCATTAGCTCAGTGAATAACACATTAAGCGTTTAAAAGAGAACTATAATATATATATATATATATATATATATATATATATATATATATATATATATATATATGTGTCTCTCTGCATTAGAACATTAACACTGGAATGCAGTTTCATTCGATTAATGTGTCTGAAATAAGATGAAACACGCGGTCTGAATTCCAATGTTAGTGACTACTTCAATTTTAATTTAATCTATTTGTTTTTCTTTTCAATGATATTGTTGTTTTAAAAGGGTCGAAAACACTGTTTTACAACTAATTTTTACCAAACTTGCGCACACATACACATAGATAAATAGACAACTAGATAATGTTATAAGTTCAGTAGACAATTTGATCAATTAAAGTTGGCACACTTCACAATACCAACACCACTCATCACGGATCAATAACTATAATATAACATATGTAAACAAAACAAAATGTACCTTTTGAACAAGTTAGCCGGTTATTGTACATATCCAAATTTCAATATGAACAATTAGGGTGGTAAGGTGCATATAATTTAGCTGACTAATCATTCCTATACTAGACAAAATGAACGTTTCTGACCACACTACTTTTTATCCATCCAAAATGTGCTATATAACTAATGTAAGAAATAGTTTGTCCAGATTATATTATGTTTCATAGTTTACAGCTTACAAATCGATCTTAGACATCTGTTTCATCTTAGTATGAGATTCATCATGATTGTATGATCGAATCTAGGAGTTCTAGATCTCACAGTAGTTGCTTAGTTTTCAGGTATTCAATGATTTACATTTGTTATTTCAATGAGTTCGCAATTAAAAGTGTAAATAATGCACGAATTTGAACCACTGTGTTCGGTTGGGTAATACACGCTTACTTACACCTGTTACACGTGGAGCATAGGTCAACAACCAAGAATCTTCAACCTGCTCTGTCCTGGGTTCTTAATTTTTTCCCAAGTGCTGTTTTTGCTTTTGATTCTTGCTTCCGATTCCCGGTGGAATGTGTTTTCTGGTCATCCTTTTCTCTTTTTGCATTGAGGATTCTTAATTAGGGCTTGCTTTTTGGTGTAGTTTCATGGTTTTCGCTATGTGTGTTCTATCCACCTCAAGTGTCTTTTCGTAATCCCCTCTTCAGCTGGCAGTTGGTTTGTTCTCTACTAGAGTAGGTTATTACTACACCTAATCTCAGTTATTATTCACTCCAACTGTTTTTAAAGCTTAAAACATACAATTACACGGTATTGTACAGCTTTACAAACGGTAATCTCATTACTAAATCTATCAAATCCCATTAAATAACAGTGATTAGAATAATCATATCACAAATAGTTACAATCTTTATCCACATTAACGTATCATGATCCACGGTGTCTGAGAGACACCTGGTACTCGATTTGAGAGATGGTGCAAGAAGAGTTTATTGGCTACAAGTATAAAAAATTGTATACTTATTTATATATGTACAATCTAGATATATCTATATCCCTTAGGTAGTTGAATGTTCCAATGGTTTATGTCTCATCATCCTTCAACCGATCGCATACACTCTTCATCTGGTAGTTTCTAATGCACCCTCTGTATCATTCTGTATGTTACGTATATTGTACATTATAGGTGATTTTTTTTACAAACTTATCTCCTAGACAATCAGAAAAATCTATTCGACACAAAACTATAATTTAATGTTGTCTCATGTGATCAAGATACTTGAATTACAATTTGAAGATCAATATAAACTATGTCTGTCATCTGTGCCGCGTAAAATGATACTTTTCATATCATACTACGTTGTTTTAATATAACGTGAATGGAGATGATCTCTTTGTGTGTGTTTCGGCTTATGATTTACCAGCGGTATATAGGATGGGCCTAAGTTTAAAACCTTCATACTTTATCGATTTCTTTGTCTTCTGTTGGAAATTTGACACCAACAAACAGCTTTCGAAAAATAGTATCAGCTTCGCTATTTAAAGTAAACATTTGAGATTATATGACTGTGATAATAAAAGTTGCAGATTAATACTCAAATCAAGAGTTTGCTGCTTTTGTCGATCCGAAATTAGACTCGCCATCTTTAGAAATTGAGAACAACATTTATAATTGACTGACCGATGAGGGATAAACTGCAGGAAGGTGAATCGAAGACACTTCACATCCTTAAATATTTTATAGCCGTAGGACTGCACAATACCTCTCTGCTTACGTCCAAATTCTACTCAATAGATGGTTTTTCTTCTTTTTGAGCTTCGCAGAGGTTTTCTTCTATTTTTCGTTCCAAATTAATTCATTCCAAACTCATTTTGTCTTTTTTTCATTCATGTTCTATTAATGCTTGTAGATTATTACAAAAGAAATTCTGCCACAATCATGTCTTCCGAAACATTCTCGTTCATCAGTTAATTTACAACGATTAAATTCATCATTATGTATCATGAATGATGATAATTCTGCACAAATTAAATCATCATCGTCTTTAAATCAAACTGCCACTGTTCGTGGCGAGAATAATCATAGGAATGATGTTGATCGCAACTTATCATCATACTCTACAAATAATATAACTTCTGATTTAATGCTTGGATCCTTAGAAGGAGTACCAATACTTACAACGATAACACTCACTAAAACAAAATCAATAAATGAAGCAAGGAAAAATCCAACTCACACTATGGAATCTTGTAGTTCCACAACAGAATCGTCAAGTCCACTTGATAGTGGTCTTTATATGACAGCTCCTAATCGTTATATACATAGTAGTTGCGATGGTGTTGGTGTTGTTGACCATGGTGATGACGATGATGATAATGATAATCATGGTGTTAAATTGCAATCACCAGAAAATTCATTTCATTTACCACATTGTCCACATTATCACACTACTTCATCAGTTATGTATCGAACTTTAACATTACGTAATTATCTAGTCCCTAGAATAATTCCTGAATGGGATTTTGTTGATGGTCTTTTGAGAATAGCTCGTCGATTAGTACCAATTAGTCCCAAAGAGCAAAGAAGTAAGTGTTTCTTCAAACTTGATTATACATTGAGTTGTTTCATTCACTAATCGATTTCAGATTTAAACCTGTGGATTGTATATGAGAAACAACAGATAACAGAAAACCTAATGATTACTTCACCGTTTGAATTTATTCACGAATTAATTTTCCTCCTCAAGGATTCTCTTTTTAACTCAGACTATCTAGATGATATGATCTTGTTCACTAAAGTTGTTGACTAATGGAATTTCAATACAAAATAGTTCCGAGATACATTTATTTTTCTCTAGATGAAAGGTGTTACTTAAGGACACCTACTTCAATGCCTAGCTTGACTGTAGTGAGTGGAGCAGTCGATCATGTTGAAAAACCCATTTATTTTTAGGGTATCATACTGTCCTAGTAGGTTGGTTGTAGACAAAATAAAAATATTTTTGGAGGTATTCCTTCTGTTCCTTTTCGCTTAGACAACTTGTGATACAGATGAAATGTCTGTCTGCAATTATACTATATAAACAGTCCACCTTATATTGTTGTGTGGTTGTGCAGTGTAACATTTGACGCTTGGTAACATGTGTGTCTCACTTATTCTGTTGGAGATTTCAGAAGATTACACGCGTATGGTGAAACAACGAAGCATGTGATACCTGACGTGCCATAATGGCTCGTATGGGTGTAAACTTGAGGGTCATCTAAACGAAGGCATAACTTCCATGGAGTAAGCCATTGACATGTTGACGCTTATCGTTACCCTTTTGTCATTTCCGTCCATACTACCACTCACTGAAGCTCGTATGGATGAATAAATGAGTTTCACAGGAAGCTTTCTGACCTCTAGAAAGCCAGGCGCTCAGATATCGTACTAGATGTTTTTAACACCCAAGTTGGTGAGTAAAGGCAAACTGAAAAACACTTAGGTGGGTAATTTGTCGTCTCATCTCAATGAACGGGTAGCGGTAAATGTTTATTGCTGTTATGCACATACAACCTCAATATTGCCTCAATTCACAAGCATTATAAGCAAAAATGAATGGTGGCTAGCAGTGGAATCCAGGATGCGCATTTCGTTCTATTTGGACTCGTCAGCTGGATTCACCTGCATCCTAGGGTTGATATTTATCCCGAGATTCGAACCCAGTACCGTTCGCTTTAAGCGCTCTCGTGTTATCCACTTAAGGTAATATTGAAACAATCTGCACAGAATGCACGTTTGCTAGGAGATCGATCAATACACGTGGCCATATGAGAGCATTTCGAGAGGAAGAGCTGACTCTCTCCACTCTCGGCATAAAAACTCAAGTTTTAGTTTAATTCGGTTATATATTCTCTGGAGAAGTGGCTTAAACTGAGTTACAAAACGTCAGAACTTATAATTTTTCTACTCATTGGGATATCTATAAATATATTATTTTTCTTTATAACAATCTACCCAATGCTCAATTTATTTGAAATTATGAAGTTAAACCTTGGTAATGATACCTACAATAATAATAGTGTTGGTCAGTTGTGTGTACCTTACCATTTAGTCGATTTCTGATTGACTCAATGTATTAAATAAAGATAGAATAAATGGATTATAGATAGAAGCGTAATTAAAGACATATGTTTCATCTTGTTTGAGACTTTTCAGTTGCGTATGCCAGAATCCAAGTATATTGATGTTCTGACCTAGTATATTTTACTTCAATTGCCAACGAATTTTGCAATCACCTACTACTAGCCTGTTGAGTGGGTATTGTATTTACGTTATCATCAAACAGGGTTTGAATTATCCCGTTGTTAACGTTCAGAACTGAAATTTGATGAGTGTCATTTTCTATAAAACGTGTATCGAAATGACTATATCGGGGCAATAGACTTGGAAAGCACACTGCTGAGGAGTCCCAGTGCTCCCAGGTTTTCAGCAGTGGTCTGACTTTGATCGGTTCATGATTTCAATGAAATTCAATAATCTCCACAACCTCATGTTAAAAATACCAATAGTGTTAAGAAGAGATCAAGCGTTTTTGTTATTACATGTTAGTTCTTTCTTGAGGAGATAACCTCAATAACATTTTCCTAATTCACATGTCATCAGTAACATTTGCTATCAATTGATTAGTTGTTATAGTCTTTGTTTTTGTAACCTTGTTACGTGTCCCCAGGGTCATTGCAAGGTACTATAAAAACGGGGTTTTTCTGTTTCACGTTTGACATCTGTACGAAATATAGAGTAAGATTGAAAGTTCTCTCTTCTCTGCCATCGTGTAAATTACTAACGTTAAAGTGTTGTTGTGTGATATAGGTATCCAGTCTGTTCGAGCGCCTATTAGTTACGATTGATTAGAAGGATCCTCAATCGTTCGTTTATAGAATTTATCGTAAGTCAACCAGAAATCCCCAAGTCTTAAATGTACTTACGAGATTGAACTGAATTTTGGGAATTGATAGAAAATAATAGGATAAATTTAGAATCAATTCGATGACCAAGGAAAAGCGAGGAAGGTTTTAAATCATGAATAGCCCTGACAATTTCACCTTACTATGCTAATGTGTGATATGACAACTTGAAGTGATTTATACATCTGCCATGTTCTATTTATTTATTTAAACACATAAACATTGATACAAGGAGGCACCAAGTAGATATGCGCCACATAAATCATTCGATTTGTGAGTGCTGGGATACTGGTCGGGTGTCCAGGCCGAAGCAGGAAGTTCTACATTGATTATGATCGATTGATAATAGAATAACAAACTGATTTATATATAATCTAATCAAATAACATAGTAACATAATCTCATCGTTTTTCTTTCTTCTTTTGTTTCTTATGCATTTTATTTCAAACAAATTACAGCTGCTCATTTACAGGCAGAATTAGCAAATTTAAATCTTCATTTACCTGCACGTGTATGGTTACCAGTAAATAAAGCTGGTCATATTGTTTTACGTATTCCACCAACTGCTGCGGTATGTTTAAATTCTAAGGATAAAGTAAGTCAACTATGTATATGATCTGAGTGATCCTATTTTTATTTTTTAAATATCTGTACATTAAATAATTTCAATGTTGGTTTTCTTTTGTAAGATCATCCGTTCATAGTGGAATTTCCATACTGAGGTTCTGTGTAAGGTTTCATGACGTGCAATGCTAACCGGTGTAGGGGATGGTTGGAAGAAAGTTAGGGGCGGCCAAAGCAAGACATGGCATCAGTGCTTGAAGTCACTAACTTCTAGTCTGAGCCATGTCGGGAGATGCAGACTACTTGGTTGGGGTCCGCGTGACTATCGTAACCAATGGTTAGAGACTCTTGGTCACATGACTCAGAATCGATCACAATGGCGTCGGTGTATACACTCTCTGTCTTCCCTTAAACTAAGAGATTAAAATCGCTTCATATGTTTCTTTCTACAAATTAACTCTTCCTGTACCATATCCTTATATGCAATCATTTTTTTATATATTACCACCATTGACTTAACTACTTCTATGAGTTCGGTGTTCATCTTGTTGTGCTAATGAGATAATGACAACATGGACCGATGCACATGTGCACATGTGCCTGGTCCTACGTTGTAGCTGACTGACTGACTCATAGAGAAATGTTAGATCAATCAAACATTGTTATAAACTTTGATTCAGATTAAAGGATTCATGAATATGTTTCATTTATCTTGTCACTCCTTATCCAGATGCTTGTTTATTTAAACATATAAACATTGGTATAAGGAGACATCAAATATAATATGCGCCACACAAATCATTCAATTTGTGTGAGAGCTGCCTAAACTGAAGCAGGTGATTTTCTTAGGAGACCACTCCTCGAGCCTTTGACCCAAAGGTTCAATCTATACGGCAGTGGAGAAATGTTAGAAGATGCATTCCTATAGTAGTCGGTGACCAACAATGTTAGTACGCTATTTGTTCACTCAGGATCCTGTAGTCGATGTGTAGTATTGGTTTGGAATCAAGGTATTCCAACTCCCCTAGATAGTTTCTACATATCTACCAACCGGGTTAAAGCTCTGAACATTTGCTTTTCGTCCTCTCAATTTCGTAAACAACACCCTTTTCATCAAAAGGCAATGAGTAGGACTTCCTTGGGAGTGGCTGTATACCCGTAACCATGTGAGAACATTTGGGGATGGAGAGCTAACTCTCCCCACCCTCGACCATACCAAGGTATTTGTAGATCTATCCAAACGTACACAATACTGCTGGTTGATAGAATTATGTTACGGAAAGCTAATGTAGGTTGACCAGTATATAATATCAACTCATTGTTAAACTAATCCCTTTCAGTATATACAGATTTCCAAGTTTAAGATCTGAAATTAATCACAGTAGTTTAGTCTATCACATTATTTGTCCTCATTCTAAATGTTTTATAAGATCTCATTTTTCATTTGACTTTATTTACTCGTTTGTAATAGTCTAAATGATTCCTCCTGACTTTGTTGTACTGCCTTGTGGATCAGATCGAAGGCTCTGGGCGTGCCCTCTTAAGAAAGCCATCTGCTTCAGTCTGGACATCCAGACCGTATCACAGCCCACGCACAAATCAAGTGACCTGTGTGGCACATATGTATATCTGGTGCCTCCTTGTACCAATGTTTATGTGTTTAAACAAATAAATAAAATACTGTCAAAGTATTCATATACACGATAATGACTGTGTTGGATTTTAGCATAAAATTCAATATGCTATCCTGTCTATCAATAGATTAGTGAATAACTTTACAGTCAAAGAGTTTTAAGAATATTTAAGAAAAGCCTACAATCGAAAGAATATTTTTGTTCATCCTTCTTCAGATCTTGATGACCATTGGCCTGCTAAAACGCTTGTAGGCTGTGCAAAAGTTCGCTGGCTACGAAACATAGCTTATGAATGTAAGAGACATGCGTAGGCTTCACAATTATGATCATAGGTGTCTTCGAAGCATTGCTCACGTCTCATCAAACAACCGACTGAATAATGTTGGCGTTAGGGATAAGGTATTAGACAATGATGGCAAATCGGTTGATGAGGTTGTGAATCTCCTCCAAATGACGTGGTCAAGACGTGCGTCACATATACCCAAACGCTGTTTATCTCGGTCGAGGATGTTTACTGATGCAGGAATAGGTTTAAAAATAGCTAGGGGTTGCCAAACCAAGATATATTATCAGTCCATGAATTCATTGGTTAATATCCTGATACGTATTAGTAGATCCATATTTGCTCGTCAGGATCCGTTTGATAGCTGCGATCAGTAGGTAAAAACTTCAGTTGTCATCATTCGGAATCATTCACAAAGGCACAAGGATAATCACTTTATCTTCCTCTAAATCTTAAATTCCAGTATTCATTCATACTTACCTTCCAACTATGTATTTTCAAGCCATATTCTTAGTGTTCAGTCTTTATTATTACCATTGCTTCTACACTATTTCTATCTGTTTTGGTATTCATTCTGTTGTACTCATCTCGTACTAATGTAGTATGCCGACCTAGGTCAACATAAATCTTTTCTAGGTTCTACATTGATGATGATTTACTGAATTGCTGGAATTTCCTCAGTAACGTGAATTAACAAGAAGCAGTAGCTTTCAGATCCCACCAATTCTGGTCAGATTTAGTCACTGTACACATTCTTAATGCCTAACTGATGTGCCTATGTGGTGATAAAATGTGTCTAGAGTGACGTCGGCAGAGACTTGTGTGGTCTTGATGGAACGATCAATTCAATTACGTAAAATAGACTTCCCTCTCTTGAATCATTCACTTACCTTGTGTCCCCAAAACAATATGCGATCTGTCCAGGTATGAACCACATCAGAGAAAGTTTACACGAACCTAGCAATATTAATAGTTGACAGTAAAAGCACCATAACTCTGATTGGATTACTGTCGTTGTTCTTTATTTTAAGTTAATTAAAAGAGAACTATGTGCATATTCTACAACTCATTTCACTTCGTCAATCCAAAATAAAACTATTTATCTCTTAAGAACTCCTACTGACTACTATTTGCAAATTCCTTGAAGTGTTTACCAATTTTATTGCACCTAAGGCTACGCTACCATTTTAATCGATCGTTGTTTTCTTGTTTGTGCATGTGTTTATCCCTCTGTCTGATTGTGTGTATTGTTTATTTATGTGCGTGTTACTGAGTTGTTTATGTCATGGTTTATTGATTTTTAATTCTGAGAACCATTTGCACTAGTATGTGTACGCGTCAGGAAAGCGAATGATACAGATTGGTATGATCATCACACTCACATTTGAAAAATTAATGATGTCTTTTTGTCAGTAAGAAGTTGTAGAGATTGTTGAGTTTCATTGAGACCATGAACCGAACTAAGTTGGACTACCATTAAAAAATCTGGAAGCGCTGAAGGGGCGTTTCGCATCAGTATGAGATTCCTCAGTTTTGCTCATCCACAATCCCGTTCACACGCGAAACTGAAGGTTCTCGGTTCAATTTCCTTTTATGAAGTCGTGGATATGCACTGATAAGGTGTCGTATACTAGGATGAAATGGCCATCTAGTGCTGCCACGTTTTCAATGGTGGTCTAACGTAGACCCGTTCATTTTTTTTCCTGTTCAAACTACTTGTTTAACCAGAGTTATGTTCAAATCCACTCATATTAATGACCCGACAGGGATGTTTGTTTTAAACTTGTGACATAATAGTGGTTGAACAATAAGAATTTACCGCTATAATTATCACATTATTACTCAAGGAGATCGTAAGTGCTAGTTAAGGTTTGGAAATGAAAGTTACTGCCTCGTCGCTCACATTGTGGAAGGATATTTCTTATGCGTAATATCTCTAAAAGGGAAATTAAATTAACAGTGATCTTGACATCTAGGGAGATATAACACAGATCCCAAAGGATGTCTGCTTTAGGCCGATCACACAGAAACGTTTCTGTGTGTAATATTAGATGTACTAGGTCAGTAGTTTTAAGGCCTTACTGCCGACTACAAAAATTCATGTGACAAGATGAGATGTGATATTTTTTTTAATATCAATACTTCCTGACCCTGACCCTCTTCCATCATGAGAACAACAACGTACTGTGGGAGAGAACAAACCAGATCCCAGCGGAGGAAGAAATCAGAAAGAAGCGCTGGAAGTGGATAGGACACACATTGAGGAAAGCACCCAACTGCGTCACAAGACAAGCCCTCACATGGAATCCTCAAGGCCGAAGGAGGAGAGGAAGACCAAAGAACACATTACGCCGAGAAATGGAAATAGACATGAAAAAAATGAACAAGAATTGGATGGAACTAGAAGAGAAGTCCCAGGACAGAGTGGGTCGGAGAATGCTGGTCGGCGACCTATGCTCCATTGGGAGTAACAAGTGTAAGTAAGTAAATAACTTCCTGACCCTCTTCCATCATGAGAAGACAACACGTCTGCAGATGCTAGTTGTTTGAAAGGAATATTTTACTACCATCATACTCCAGTATAGTCAACTATAACGTTTCTCTGTTAGATCTTAAGTCCATGACTTCTAGTCTTATCACTCTTCAATTGATCTGCCTGACAAGGTTGGATGTGAAGGAACTAGTGTTTTAATCATCAAGATTTACAAACATATGACCATCACATTAAGGTACCAACTACTATTGAGTACACCATCATTATTGTAAATCAAATTCACTTGATATTGTTTACTTAAATCTTCCCATTGATGTTTAGGACTGCAATTGATCAGTCTCTCTTATTGGCAAATGTACATACAGTGCGCATTGCCTCAATATTGCCCTAATTCATAAGCGTTATAAGCAAAGATGAATAGTGGCAAACGGTTGAATCCAGTATGCACGTTTCATCCTATTTATGACTGATCATCTAAATTTACCCTCATCTCGAAGTTGATATTCTTTTCGGGACTTGAACCCAGTACCGCTTGTAATTCTTGTGAATTAAGACAATACACACAGTATGCACATATGCCAATAAGAGACTGATCAATTGCAGTCCTAAACATCAATGAGAAGATTCGAACAAACGGTACAAAATGAATCTACAAAATGACCCTATCGCACAAGAAAGTTCCTATCAGAACTCAGTAGCTAAGTGGATAATGCAATGGCGTTTGAAGCGAACAGTTCAAGTCTCGAAGTGAACATCAACTCTGAGATTCAGGTTCATCCAGCTGACAAGTCTCAAATAGGATGAAACGCGCATCCTGGATTCCACTACTAGTTACTATCCATCTTTGTTTATTATTATTATAAATCATTCCATATATTCTCATCATTCTAATGTTCTCAATTTTGTAATTATCTGTTTACCATTGTTTTACTTTTTGTGAATGTACGTGTTTGTATATGGGTATAATGGGTATAACAGGATTATTTACATGTATGTTACACACATACATCTTTTATATTCATTTTGTAAAGTTCATATTACGTAATCTATGTAATCAAAAAACAAAAAGAACCCAAAAGAATAGGATATATTGATACTAATAAAAATGGTGTTTTTCGTATGATTGAAATTTCAGTCAGTCAGTTACAACGTAGGACCAGGCACATGTGCACATGTGCATCGGTCCATGTTGTCATTATCTCATTAGCACAACAAGATGAACACCGAATTCATAGAAGTAGTTAATTCAGTGGTGGTAATACATGAATGAGCGATTGTCTATAAGGAAGAAAGAGTTAGTTTGTAGAAAGAAACATATGAAGCGATTTTAATCTCTTAGTTTAAGGGAAGACAGAGAGTGTATACACCGACGCCATTGTGATCGATTCTGAGTCATGTGACCAAGAGTCTCTAACCATTGGTTACGATAGTCACACGGACCCCAACCAACTAGTTTGCATCTACCAACATGGCTTACACCAGAATTTAGTGACTTCAAGCACTGATGCCACGTTTTGGTTTGACGTATCGGTGAGTGACCATATGAAGTGCTAGAGTAACCGTATTACCAATTATACATCACGCGTACGTACGACGTCGATGAAAATTCACAGTGCCAATAACTAATTTACCATCATTCCCTAATACCCTGCATCTAACTTCATTGTTACTTACCCGGTGATCCCAGCAGATGCGAGCAATATTTCTAAGGCATTTGTGGTCAGATACTACTAGCTTACGAATATCGTTTACTCTTAATGGCCATGTTTCGCCGCCGTAAATTAAAACAGAACGAACTGCCGCTTAGTATATTCGTCCCTTAATTGAGAGACGGATATCTCACCTTCACCATAGGTGACATAAGTTGAAATTCATTCGGATCTGTTAGTTTAGAGTATCATTTAATAGATTCATATTAATATTATGAAGTACAAATAATTAATTTGTGATTCATTCAGATCAGATCAGTTCTACAATCTTCATAAACTCTTTACACTTATGATAATCATATACTCACTGATTACCGACTTCAAGAGTTCTAGTGGAAAACCTTGACTATTACAGTTCAACCACACCCGAATGCGAGGCAGTTATACGCCACATGCAATGGAATCGATAATATGTCACCCAACACTAACAGATTTGAGTCAACTGTGAATGCTTATTGGTCCTCAATATAGTTGTTTCTCGTCTAGCCCAATCAGTTCAGTCCGGAACACAGTATTCAGCTTCTATTATATGAATAATATCTTTTAGACATATGTGGTTTATATACAAGCAGACAAGACCGAATCACACCACAAAATGAAAAATAGTAGTTATACAAGATCAAACCAAAAATGATTATGAGTATAGGAGACTGTAGCTAATAGATTTGAGATAACTTAAAAATGACAAATCGTATAACAGTAGCCAATAGATCAAATGCCCTGGTACGGCCGAGAGTCCGCTCTCCCTCTCGAAATGCTCTAACATGGCAACGCGTTAATAGCCTCTGCCAGGGAAGTACTACTCATTGCCTTCTCGCACCACGGGTGTTGTTCACGAAGTTAAGAAGACGAAAGGCGAATGTCCGGCACACTAACCGGGTTGGTGGATATAGAGGATCCACTTAAGGGAGTTGGAATATCCTGATTAAAAACCGATGGTGCACATGGGCTCCAGTATCCTGAAGGAACAAATGGTGTATGAACCAATCGTTGTTCACCGGCTACCATGGGACTGCATCTGGTGACGTTGCTCCACTCCCTTGTGGATTAGACCTTTGGGTCGGTGGCTCCGGGTATGGCCCCCTAAGGAACCCACCTGCCTCGGTTTAGGCACGTAGTTCAGTCTAAAATTCATGTAATGGTAGTATAGGCTAATTACTTAATTACACATTAGCAGAAATAGGAAACATACAATCTACATACAACTAGATTATAAACGAAAAAGAATTGATTAACAGGTCCGTTGTAAATAAACAGTAACAGAAAGGCACAACACAACAACTTCTTACTTATACAATGTAGATCAATGACCGATTGACTCTACGTATGACATCTTATATCTATTTTGTTTTTGTTTTAACCAGCGTTTCTTTTCCTTACAAATATAGGCACCATTTTTAATCTATGTGGAAATATTGTGCTGTGATGATCCATCAATTATTTCTTTACCAAGTCGACCGATAACAGCAGCCAGTTCAAAAAGTTCCAATTCATTATCTGCTGTTTATCCATGGAATCCTAATTCACATACAGTAAGTATTTGTTGAATAAATGCACTTTCTGCATTGTTCAAATTGGACAAGTCAATTGAAATCATAAGACTATCTAAGTTAGACCACTATTAAAAAGCAATTAGCACTGGACGGGCGTTTTGTTCGAATATACGACTACTTAACAATGCGCACTCACAACCCCACCATAAGAATCTAACTCAGGACGTAAGCACTAAACCCCTAGACTACTGAGCTGGGGCCCGATGATGTACAATTCTAACCTTAATCAATCCACAATATTGCACAACTAGTGCTTCTAGGCTTTTTATAGTTGTCTAACTTGGATTAGTTCATAATTTCACTGGGGTTCAATATACTCCACAACCCTATACTGAATAATTTAAATTTATTATAAATAGTCATCTTTTTATTTGTTTACACAACAGTAGTCAGTAAGGAGATCGTGGACATTGAACACATACAAATAATGTTGTTACTAGTCACTGTTATTCATTCGTTAGTCTAGGACACTAAATGGCATACCCATGTGTTTTTCAGACTGACTTAGCCCACCGATCTATGCTACCAATTCAACATTGGAGTATCTGATCTTCTGAAGGACATCAGGAAGCTTCTTGAAAAACTCACCTTTTACTCTATCAAAAACAATGTTATACATTCAGATTTTTTCTGCCACCGAGTCATTCTACATGGTAGTATATATGCAAAATCGTAGTTTAAAAACTTGATGCTTTGACTAAGTATTGTTATGAAAAGCTAGTACTTACGTAAGATTTTAAAATAATGAAGAAAACTTACATCCCAAGTGATGAGTTGTTTTTAATAGTAAGTTAGATAGTTCAATTGCACGGCACTCATTGTCGTTGTGTACAACATCTCGAACGCCTAATTCATCTAATAGTACATATACGAGATCCTTTAACTCCGGGCTTGTGATTGGTAATAACCGTAAAATGATTCCACGTGGAGTCGGTTCACTAAACTGATCAAGTGAATTTAGGTTAATGATTACAATTTCGTTTTGTTAGCGAGTTTTTTCTACATACACACTAGCTTTGATTTCTTGCACTAGTGGCTACCACAATAATGATTATACAGGCAATATTCCATTTTGTAAAAATGTAATCGTGTATTTGATAATAGATTCTTAGGAGACTAGAAATGTCTTTTAACATATAAGGATAGATTACTACAGCCACATAAAGCCTGTTAAACACAGACTTTTTTTCCATGAATATAATCATTCTTGTCTACTTTACTCCTCTCATTTGTAATTTGTTTTTCCGATTTCCTGTTCATATGTACTAAGCTTTAGAGCACACTATTTCTGTTCAGATTAATACTGGCTGACGGTTAGTCATACATAGGTATATTCAGTAGGGTTCGAACCATGAACCTACTGAATAAAAGCCAATTAATCTAAAAACAAAGATGCAATTACAAGGATTATCATTCCTACTTCTCCTTATTGGTAAATGATTCCACCCTTAGTGTTGAAAGTAATAATACCTATTAATGAGAGGTTACAAAATTAAATAAAACATCGTTCTAACCTCTCTTTCTCTATCTAGTTTTCAATTTGTCTTTCAGCTGTGATATCCATTACATTGTTAAAACGTTCAATTATAATATTCATAAGTTTCTTATTGTGTAGATATTCCTGATTACATTGATTAGTATAATATGAAAGCTTTGACATTCTATCAATTATGTTCTATAATAACATAGAACTAGTTCATGTCCAAAATAAGTAAGAATTTTTGGTATTTAAATGTCCAAATCTAGAATCATCGATACCGTTAAAGTTAATCTAATTATTGTCTTAATGTGAATTCAAAACTTTATTCCAACGTTCCATTGTATCAATAGATCCTATCTATTGTGATTAGTCCAATGTTAACCTTTTCAACTGTCCAACGGTATATGTTCCGATCCCCAGAGTTAGTAGCATCCCCTTTAATATTTCATGTTCATTTTGTTCAATCAGAATGAAACTTAGGTTTTCCTAAATGGTCTTATACAATGATTATAAGCAAAGATGAATAGTGGCTAGCAGTGAAATCCAGGACGCATGTTTCATCCTATTTGGAAATTACCAGCTGGATGTATTTCCATCCCAGAGTTGATATTCAACCCGGGAATCATACACAATACCTTTCACTTCAAACATCATCGCGTTACTCATTTAGCTACCGAGTCCATACAGCCACTACTTTGTACAGTAGCTAAGTAGATAATGCGTTGGTGTTTGAAGCGAACGTTACTGGGTTTGAGTCCCGGAGTTATCGTCAACTATGGGATGCAGATACATCCAACTGGCGAGTCCTAAATAGCACGAAATCTGTCTATGTTGTGACGTTTCCCAAGGACATTTTTGTGTTGTATATATATACACTTGAGTTGTACTTGTTTTTATTCGTGCTTTTGGCTGCTTGTGGAATACATTTTCCCTCTTCTGAACTTGAACGTGTCCCCTCTAGTTAGCAGAGCTGAGACGCATTGAAATATTTAGCTTATCTTATCATTTTATCACTAAGTCTTCATTTCGTTCTCCAATTTTAGGTGATCTCCTAATCTCTTCAAACATAGCACATATGAATTGTAAATCCTCTCAAGATTACAAATGCTCTTTACTAAAAAGTACTAATCAGTACGAAATCCATGGGAATAGGACATTTCTGGTTGATTACCTTTAACTATCTAGCATAATTGGGTTATGTTTTATTACAAATTGTCTTTTTTTTCATTGACAATCATTGTGTGTGTGTGTGTGTACGTAACTTTATTCATGTGTTTTTTCTTTTGTTTCTTTCAAATCATTCATGAAAAGGGTTGTTTTTCATCTAATGAAATAACAGAAAATCATGAAATCAATGTAAATACACGTACATCAGATGAATTAAGTCTTCGTTCCTCTTCTATATCATCTAATGTTTCTTTAAGTGAAGAATTAATAAATCCTATAGAATTTAATCATCATCATCAACATCAACATCCTCATTATCATTTAACTATAGATGAAATGGATGAAAGAAAAGAGCATACAACTAAATGTACCCATGATCAATTTGAACTTAATGAAACTATAATGAAAGATGATTCTTTCACAGCTACTGATTCAATAACAGTAACTAATGCTAATCGATCTAAATCTCCAATTTATATTGGAGCTGGTGAAATACGTAATCGACTTAAAGAACAATGTGAACTTCAACCGCATAAATCGTTTAGAGTAAGTATATCTGTATAACCCGTTTATTAATGTACATCATATAATTCATTTTAAAAAAGTTTGGATCTAATGTTATTCAGGGAGTTTTAAATGAGCTGAGACCTGGTAGATATCAGAACAATGCAATGAAATTATCAAGACATATATGAGACTAGTATGTATAGTAGAAAAGTTCTAACTTGGAATCCTGAAGAGAGAAGGAAATAAACAAGAACAAGTAACCTATTGCGTCTGGAATTAGAAACAGATATCAATAGGATGAATAGAACTTGAAAACGTCTGAAAAGGATTTTCCAGCGTAGAATTCGGTGGAGAATGCTAGTGGGTGACCTATGCTCCTCCACGAGTGGTAACTGGCGTAAGTAAGTAAGTAAGATATAAGCCACATAAATCATTCGATTTGTGTGAGGGCTGGAATACTACCTGGGTGCCTAAACCGAAGCATGTGGTTTTCTTAGAGGACCACACCCGGAGCCTTCAACCTAAAGGTCTGATACACAAGGTAGTGGAAAAATGTTTGGAGATGCAGTCCCATGGTAGCCGGTGAACAATGATTGGTTCATACGCCATTTGTTTCCTCAGAATCTTGGAACCCATGTGCTCATGGGTTTCCGACTCCCTTAGGTGGATCCTCCATTTCCACCAACCCGGTTAGTGTGCCGGACATTCGCTTTTCGTCTTCTAAATTTTGTAAACAATACTCGTGGTGTGAGAAGGCAGTGAGTATGACTTCCCTGACAGTGGTTGTATGCATGTAGCCATGTGAGAGTATTTCGATAGGGGAGAGCTAACTGTCCCCACCTTTGGTGCGAGAAGACATTGAGTATTACTTCCGTGGGAGTGCCTGTATACGCTTGGTCATATGAGGTCATTTGGGTAGGGGAAAGCTAACTGTCATCATTTTCGGCCATACCAGGGACTCCACAGTTCCCATTCACGATCCTTCACGCAGAACTCAAACCTAAGACCTTCGGTCTCACACACGAACGGGAACATGGATGCTCACTACTGAAAAGTCTTATGCTAGGAGTGCTTCCAGGTTTTCAGTGGTAGTCTAACTTGGATCGCTTCATGATTCCAATCATATTTTCAGCGTTTAATCTTTCTCGATATCACTGCTCCTGCTGCTCTTATTTCGACTGATTTTCTTTTCATCCTGATAATTTCATCTCGTCATGTTGAAACGATATAGTAGTTTGAGTTACCATATATTTCTTCTTCCAGACTCTACAATAAATCCGTATTTATGTATTTATATAGTTTTTTATATTATTTTTAGTGTGATCCAGAAGATCCAAGTGCAGCAGTGCTAAAAGAACCATGGCATGTGAAATGTGAACGTATACGTGCTACATCACCATGGGGTAGTTTACCAGGATGGATTCTAACCAGTGCAATTGTAAAAGTTGGTGATGATTTAAGACAAGAACAATTAGCTTATCAATTACTTACTGTGTTAAAAGTAAGTTTTATCTTATTCCAACCGTTTTATATATTCGTATCTTCTTATATTTTTTCTTCGACTAATAATTTACGTCTTATTGTTTACCAAACGAGAAATCATATCATGAGTTCATGTGTTTTCTGGTGATTTCGAACTCCGTGACTGTATCAAACAAGCATCTACAACAATGCTAACCGAAGGAGGAAGTTGAAAAACGTCGGCTGTAAAAATAGCACACCTTACCTTGCCATACGGATTTCTATCTCAGGTGAGGTAAAGTCTGATCAAAAAGATACTCGCAAAATAGGTCGTTTATATCCGACCTCAAGCGATTGTCCCTGCTGCTCCGCGGTTACACTCACAGGTTGTCAAAATCCACACTTAGTCCCATTTCATTTCTAGGTCCCTCATGAAAAAGTAGCCTTGCACAATGTGGCGGAATCATACACTTCAAACATCATCGCCTTATTCATTGAGCTACTGAGTTCATGTAACCACTAGTTTGTACAGTAGCTTGATAGATAATGCTATGGTGTTTTAAGCGAAAGGTATTGAGTACGAGTCCCGAAGTGGTCGTTAACTGTGGGATGCAGATACATCCAACTGACGAGCCCTAAATGGGACGAAATGCGCGTCCTTAATTCCACTGCTAGCCACCAATCATCTTTGCTTATAATGTTTGTGACTTAAAGCAATATCGGTGCAATCCGTACAGGATTCACATATGCCAATTCGATTCTAAACATCATTGGGATGAATCAAACAAACAATAAAAAAATGAACCAATGATTCTTAATCGTTTAAAATTAGAACTTATTGTAGTCCTTAATTGTAATCACATCCCAATTAATTTAACTTCTATAATGGTTGATAAACTGGAGTACTGAAATCAGCCATCGTCACTTCCCGGATTCATAGTTTCTAATAGTATAAAAACAGTTTTATATTTTGATCTCATTATTGATTGATTTTTATGATTGAAAATCAATTAATAAATTTATTGCTACTTCTTTCTAAGTTCATCTAAATTTCTTCTCGTTATTGATTGATCTTAAACTTCTTATTAGATCACAAGATTTTAGGTGTTACTAACTACTAATTTGTCTTCTAACATATTGATTATGATACAAGAAACATTGAACTTTCAAGATTTTTGTGCTCACTAGTGACTAGCTTCGTGGTGGAATTCTCGGAGTTCTAGTGAGAATTCGTGACCAGTGGAGAGAATCCATTTCAGGTAGAAACAGGTATCTCCCTCAGTACAGTGAAAGATGGTCGTGCAATTTTGTAGATTGATTAAAGTTAGACATTTACACCGTTGGATGCCGGTTCTGTGGTCCGGAGGTTAAGCATCGCTCACAAAACCGAAGGTCCTGGGTTCAAATCAAGCGAGTGGAATCGTGGATGCGCACTGCCGAGGAGTCACACAATAGGATGAAACGGTCGTTCAGTGCTTCCAGGTTTTCATTGATGGTCTAACATCAACCGGTTTATGATCTCAATCAAAAACATGATCATCTCCACAACCCTATACTAATAATAAGGATAATCGTTCTTCATATTTTTATTATATAATAATTAGTCGGTCAGTAACAACGTGGAACTTCGTACGTACGTACGTACGTACATCAGTTCGAGTTGCTACACCACATTAGCACAGAGATACAATTGTCGACTCAAATGCCGTAATGGTAGAGGTGGTAAGAGTATAAGCAGTAATCGGAAACATTAGGGTTTGAAGATGTTATTCAAAGAGTATAATCCATTGAAATAAATTTAGAAATAGAAGAAAGAAAGAGACTAGGAGAATTGAAGAGATTAGAATTTGGGAGAACACAAAGAGCAGACACTTTGGTTATTCTTTCCGTCATTGTCTCTTTTTCTTATCACTTACGACTAAGTTGTGATATATACATATTGTAACTTCGTTTTTGTTATCAGAGAGTTGAAATATTATCATTGTATTCATTTTGAGTCATAAATGAATAGGAATACAACAGAAAGTTAATCTGTTTGCTATCTTCATCTTCTGATTGAAAAGAGTTTGAGAACTAATAAACATTAAAATTCTCAAGTCATTCACTACTACTAAGACGTTAGTTAAGAGAAAGTTATGTCACAAGGTGAAGGTCACTGATCCTACACTCAATATAGACGAATATGCCAATAATCGGATTGAAAAAAATACAACTGCTCTCACAATAAACAGTCTGGTCATACCAGTACAATTCAAGATACAACATTTATGCTTATCATCAATGCCGTAATCTTCTCTTCAACCAATAACACTTAGAAATACAACTTCGTACTTATCTAAAGAAGCTTCTTCTCTCTATAACAGCCAATTTAAAGAAAAAAACGACAACAGCAAACTGATGTATCTTTCATCATTATGATTTAAAGATTTGGATGATGCTATAGATCAATTACAGGACTACAACTTGTCATAAATACAAAATCATCATAACCTATATATAACTGGTATCTGTCCAAAAGGGTTCATATTTAATGAAGATTGGCACTGAAAGAGAGAGGAAATAAAAAATTTTAAGCGTTTGAAATTTGGTCAGTTTCTTGTATTGCCGCCAATACACACCTCTAAGACTAATCATCAACGTAGTTCATAAAACTTTCAATAAAGTGTCTTCTTTCAACAAATACTGTAATTCTCCGTGTTACAATAGGATGAATTTCATAGAAGTTGGAACTGGTTTTCCAATTATTACTATCACTATTATTTATATTTTTATTATGTAATTACCATGTAACTAGATTATGATGTCTTTTCCGTTTATCATACATTCTCATTCAACTCACTAGCTATCCTAATACTATATACAAAGTTAAGTAGTGGCTAGCAGTGGAATCTAGTTTGACGTGCGTTGCGTCCTATTCGGGACTCATCCGTTGGATGTATCTGCATCTCAAAGTTGATATTCACTCTGGGACTCGAACTCAGTACCGTCCGCTTCAAATGCCATCACTTTATCCACTTAGCTACTGAGTCCTGACGAAACGCGCGTCCTAAATTCCACTGCTAGACACTGTCCGTCTTTTCATATAATGCTTGTGACTTAAGGTAATATCGAGGCAATACTCACAGGATGCACATATGCCAATAAGCGACTAATCAATTTCAGTCCTAAGCATCAATAGGAAAATTCAAGTAAACCAATACCAAGTGAATTTATCATAATACTGTTTATTATGCTTAATTTATTACCAGTCGGTTATTCACAGCTACTTTTGGTTTGTTCATGTATAGTTGTGATTTTTTTCATTTTACGATGAGATACGGTCCAGTATGTCTGTATATAAACCAACATATGCTTGAAATATGTTATTCATAGAAGCTAGTTGTTGACTCGAGGAAGAATGTAGAGAAAAGCTTTCGAATAAAATGGGTCAATATTAGCTTAACTTGTGTAGATCAGAAGGATAATCGGTCAAGTCTAGGACATACATTTGGTTGTAAGAGAGAGAGAGAGAGAGAGATGTTAGTGTAAATACGGAATAAACTGAAATTCAGACTAGAATTCTAATTGATAACTTAAGCATATGATTTTGGTTAGCGTTCAACAATACAATATTTTCGAATATGACCTTATAATTCGGACAATATTGAAACATTATATACCAATTATTTTTAATAATTACATAATAATAATGATAGATATATATCAATATGAGATTGTAGAGATTGGTAAATATGATTGACATCACATGCCGATTTATGTTAGACAACTACTGAATAACTGTTTTGTCGTAGTATGGGACGCAGTGTGTATCCATGACCACCCCCCAGCATTGAGTCTCGGAACCTGAACCTTTCATCTTATGGTGAATGCCTAACCTCTAGAACATTGACCCAAAACCCAATGTAGGAAGCAATTTCCTACAGGTGTAACTTTAAGATATTCTCTAGACTGTTGAACACATAGTCTCGGTTTAGCCAAAGTCAGAACAAGTAAGCTATTTGGCTTGATAAACTTTATCTGTTTCTAAAACATAAATTAAAACCGTTAGTATACAAAATAAACAACACAGAAGGGTTTTTGTGGAGATTGTAGTAATTTTAACAGTTGAGATCATGAGTCAATTGAAGCCAAACCACCATGAAGAACCTGGAAGCACTGGACGGCCGTTTCGTGTTATTGTGAGACTCCTCAGCAGTGCTACTACAATCTCCACAAAATCCCTTCTGATATTAATCAGCATATGCTCACTAGTGACTGGCTTCAAGAGATATATCCTGGAGTTCCAGTGAGAAGCAGTGACCAGTGGAGTTCAACCGGGTCAGTTGTGAGATGGTAACTCACTGATGACAGTGGTGGATGTGTCGCTCAATTTCATGCATTAATTGAAGTTAGAATTAACACCGTTGGATACCGGCTCAGTAGTCTGGTTCGTCAAACGCCTGGCGCGAAACTGATAGGTCCTGAGTCCGAATCCCGCGAGGCAGGGTCGTGGATGCACACTGCTGAGGAGTCTCACAATAACACGAAACGGCCGTCCAATGCTTCCAGGTTTTCCATGGTGGTCTAGCTTCAGTTGACTCATGATCTCAACTGTTGAAAATAAGCAATACAGTCTATCAACACAGGGAAAAACAGAGACACACCGAACAGTAACTAGAGAATGGGAAAAATGAGTCAACAAGCCAAATATTGTTTTATAATGAACATAAAACTGTGATTGCTGAATAAACAAGACATATTCATACAAAGTCAAAGAAAGTTAATGTGGTGGTGGGCGTTTCACTTTATCATTGGTAAGTTCGTTTATCGATGACACTTTACACCCAGTATCACAGATTGATTGAACTTAAACTTGTACACTTTTGGATTCTGGTTCACTGGTTTCGAAGTTATGAATTCATGCAATAGACCAAAGTTCCTGGGCTCGATCCTTTGTAGATGCATATTTATAAATAATCCCATACTTAGAAACAAAAAAACAGCTTTTTAGTGCCTCTAGATTTTGAGTTATTATTTATTTTAATACATAGATATTGATACAAGGAGGCACCAAATACATATGCGCCACACAAATCTCATTTAATATATGTGAGGGCTGTGATACTGCCCGGGTGCCCAAACCGAACCAGATGGTTTTCTTAGGGGGCCACACCCGGAGCCACCGACCCAAAGGTCTAATCCACAAGGGAGTGGAGATACGTCAGGAGATGCAGTCCCATGGTAGTCGGTGACCAACAATTGGTTCATACACCATTTGTTCTTTTAGGCTACTGGAGCCCATGTACACCATTGGTTTGTAATCAGGGTTTTCCAAATCCCCTAGGTGAACTCTCCATGTCCACCAACCCGGTTAAAGCGCCAAACATTCGCTTTTCATCCTCTCAATTTCGTAAACAACACCCCCGCCAGGAGAAGGCAGTTTTCGAAATTGAATTAATTTGCTATCAGTTTTAAACATTTCACCTTTTCCAAATAATCCATTCTTTTATTACAAATTTACATTCTGTATTTATTTGTTTTTCATAAATAGAATATTTGGTCAATGGAGTATGTTCCATTATGGTTACGTCCATTAACTGTAGTTGTTATATCATCTGATAGTGGTTTTATTGAACCTGTCCCTGATACTGTATCATTTCATCAAATCAAACGACATGCTCATTTATCATTATTAGATTATATGCATCGTGAACATGGTGGAGATAACTCTGAGGAGTTTTTAACTGCTCAACGTAATTTTCTACATAGTTGTGCCGCTTATTGTTTAGTCGGTTATTTGTTTCAAGTTAAAGATCGGTAAGTCATTAGTTTTGTTTTTTTGATAAGTCTATTGCATAATCATTTGTTTCGTATTCACTTAAGAATATCAGTCGAATTACTTATTTAACACATAAACACTTAACAAGAGGCTGGGATACTGCCCGATCGCCCGAACCGAAACACACGATTTTCTCATAGGGTTACTTTCCTGAACCTTTATCTTAGAAGTACAATCCACAAAGTAGTAGAGCAACATTAGGAGATGTAGTCCCATGATAACCAGTGACCAACAATAGGTTCATACACCATTTGTTCTTTTTAGGCTACTGGAGCCCATGTACACCATTGGTTTGTAATCAGGGTATTTCAACTACCCTAGGTAGATCTTCCATGTCGACCAACCCGATCAAAGTGCCAGACATTCTCCTTCCACCTTCCTAATTTCTTAAACAAAATCCCAACTGCAATAAGGCAGTGGACAGGACTTCTCTAGAAGTAACTTTATACGCGTGGCCATGTGAAAACACTTCGAGAGGGAGAGTGATAAATATTTCCGTAGTTTTTTTGTTCTAAATCTCAATCATAATCAATACACGTTGGTTCAACCACATTACCACGACGAGATGAATATAATAAGAAATGTTGTAAAAGAGATTGGAATAGTACAGTAATAGTAATAATAATGATAAGGAAGACTGAACATTGAGAATCGAATACGAAAAGACGGAATATAAAGTTATATTTGAAAGAATATTGTAAATCAAAACTGAGAAAATTATAGAAAGTGAATGTATCTGTGCCATGTTCACAGATTCTAAACTATGCCACACAAAGTCTTCGACTACTAATCATGAGGATCTTAACCAGGTAATTTGTATCTATCGACATGACAATCAACGAGTGCATAATCTGATGCCATGTCTTGGTTTAGACATGTATACTCATTCACCATGTACTTGAGTATATGAAGGATAATGATACAACTCCGTTGCTTTAAGCAAACTAAATGGAACGAAATGCGAACCCAAGACATAATTACTGGAAGTTGGACGGCTTAACTACTAAGCTATTGCTCTATATATATGTCTTGGTTTGACCATTCTTAGCTTTCCCCCAACCTATTCTTAACTCGACAAACATATAACTTCTAAGTAAACAATTTATTGTGCAATAATATGTGTTCACACAATCATCCTATATCCACTAGAATGTAACTAATGTAATTTTAAACAGAGATTGATAGTGGCTAGCATTAGGATCCAAGATAAGCATTTTGTCTTATTTAAAACTCGTCAGTCGGATCTTTTATTTTAACACATAAATATTGGCGCAAGGAGGCACCAAATAGATATGCGCCACGCAAATCTCATTCGATATCTGTGAGGGCTGTGATACTGCCCAGGTACCCAAACCGAAGCAGGGGGTTTTCTTAGGGGGCCACATCAAGAGCCTTCGACCTGAAGGTCTGATCCACAAGGCAGTGGAGCATCGTAAGGAGATACAGTCCCATGGTAGTCGGTGACCAACGATTGGTTCATATACCATTTATTCCTTCAGGATACTGGAGCCCATGTACACCATTGGTTTGGAATCCGGTTAAAGCGCCAGACATTCGCTTTTCGTCCTTTCATTTTCGTAAACAACACCCATGGTGTGAGAAGGCAGTGAGTAGAAGTTCCCTGGCAGAGTCTATATACGCGTGTCCGTGTAAGAGCATTTCGAGAGAGAGAGAGCGAACTCTCCCTACTCTCGGCCGTACCAGGGGGGGGGCTACTTGTATCCGAAAGTGTATGTTCACTCTAAGACTCAAACTAACTACTTTACGCTTTAAATCCCATTGCATTATTCATTTAACTATTGAATCCAGATAACCAACTCTAGGTTGTATAATGTAAGTTTTCATCACTTATTTATTACTGTGATTTATGTTATATCTTCTTGTTTACCATTGTTTCTTTTTTCTCTTGCTTCATTTTATCTAGACATAATGGTAATATACTATTAGATAATCAAGGTCATGTAATACATATTGATTATGGTTTCATTTTATCATCATCACCGGGGAAAAATTTAGGCTTTGAAACAAGTCCATTTAAATTAACATTAGAACAAATTGATGTTATAGGTGGTTTAAATAGTGATTTATTTGAATATTTTAAATTTCTTCTATTACGTGGTTTATTAGCTGCACGTAAACATATGGAACAGGTTAGTTCTTTGAATAATCCATTTTTGTTTACTTGAATCTTCCCATTCATGTTTAGGACTGAAATTGATCAATCTCTCTTATTGACATATGTACATACTGTGTGTATTTGCCTCGATATTGCTTGAATTCACAAGCATAGTGGCTAACAGTAGAATACAGTTTGACGCGCGTTTCTTCCTATCTGCGACTCCTCAGCTGGATGTACCTACATCTCAGAGAGTTGATGTTCACTTCGAGACTCGAACCCAGTACCATTTGATTCAAACGCCATCACGTTATCCACTCAGCTACTGAGTCTCGATAGCCAATTGCTTGTGCAATGGGTTAAAGTTATATACACTTGGTGTTGTTTGATTATATTTTCCCATTGATATTTAAGACTGAATTGATCAGTCTTTTGTTGGCATATGTGCATACTGTGTGTATTGCCTCGATATTACCTTAAGTCACAAGTATTATAAGCAAAGATGGATAATCAGTTCTTTACCTTCCTTCATTCTTTTTGGTTTATCTCAGCTATGATATTATACATTTCTTATGGTGTACAAAATTTAATTATGTATATAAGAAGTTTGAAACGTAAAAAGAAGTTTAATTGGTGAATACAATAAATAAATAATGATACTCGAACGTGTAGAACCTCATAGTTGCAAATCGGAAGGAAAACGCATGGGGAGGTGATTATTGAGTGTTGGTTATAATTCAGGCAACTTTTACTGTTGTCCAATCGTAGCATGCCACGTTGATATTTTAAGAAGCTCTATCAGGTCCTGATTAGATAGAATCTCCTTGAGTCTTTTAGAGCCTCTGGAGGTTTCATCATGTTTTTCAAAGCCATATCAACAGATATGTTCATGTAGATTGAAATCCCTAACAATGTATCTTGTTTAGAATTTCTTACTTAGCATTTTAGCACAGACACGTGATATGTATATACATTAGTTTAGTCTGTCGATTCCCTTGACTGGATGACAGTGAGTTCCAGGTTCGAACTCTCCTCCCTTCGTTCATCATCTCAGTTCCAACAGTTCGGTAGTATAGTTACGTTTTACACGTAAGCATGCATGTTTACTTAACAACGTTACGTCAAAGTTTGAGCATATCACTCGTCTGAATACCTAAATATACTTACTTACTTACGCGTGTTACTCCTAATGGAGCATAGGCCGCCGACCAGTATTCTCCAACCCACTCTGTCCTGGGCCTTCTTTTCTAATTCCATCCAGTTCTTGTTCATTTTCTCATGTCTATCTCCAGTTCCCGGCGTAATGTGTTCTTTGGTCTTCCTCTCCTCCTTTGGCCTTCAGAATTCCACGTGAGGGCTTGCCTTTTGACGCAGTTGGGTGCTTTCCTCAATGTGTGTCCTATCCACTTCCAGCGCTTCTTCCTGATTTCTTCCTCCGCTGGGATCTGGTTTGTTCTCTCCCACAGTTCGCTGTTGCTAATAGTGTCCGGCCAATGGATCTGAAGTATTTTGCGTAGACAACTGTTGATAAACACCTGTATTTTCTGGATGATGGCTTTCTTAGTTCTCCAGGTTTCTGCCCCATACAGTAGAAGTGTTTTGACACTTATATTGAAAATTTTGGCCTTGGTGTTGGTTGACAGATAGTTGTTTTGAGTCCCAGATGTTCTTCAGTTGTAAATATACTGCTCTTGCTTTACCAATCCGCGCTTTCACATCTGAATCAGATCCACCATGTTCATCAATGATGCTGCCCAAATATGTAAGGGTTTTTACATCTTCCAAAGTTTCTCCGTCAACCGTGATTGGATTGGTTCATGTTGTGTTGTATCGGAGAATCTTGCTTTTCCCTTTGTGTATATTGAGACCTACTGCTGCTGCACTGGTCTTCTTCTCCTGCATTTGTTTTTGCGATAGGAGGGCCAGATCATCTGTGAAGTTTAGATCGTCCAACTGCATCCTAGATGTCCACTGATTTCTTCAATTGTTGGTCCGCCAACATCGATTGGGAGGTCCGTGGGTGCTGCTTCGATGTTGGGTGGGTTCAGTGGAGCTGTTCGATTCAAGAGTTCTTTGAAGTGTTCTACCCACCTGTTTTGTTGCTCTTCAATGTTGGTGATTACCTCGCCTTCCTTGCTTTTCACTGGTCGTTCTGGTTTGCGGCGATTTCCAGAGAGTTTCTTTGTTATGTCATACAATTGTCTCATGTTTCCTTCTCTTGCAGCCTTTTCCGCCGTCGTTGCTAGATCTTCCACATAGTTACGTTTGTCAGTTCTGATGCTCTTCTTCACTTGCTTGTTTACTTCTGTGTATTCAGCTTGTGCCTTGGCTTTTTCTGCTCTTGTTCGGCTGGTATTGATTGCTGCCTTCTTGTTCCTTCTTTCTTGAATCTTATCCAGTGTATCAACAGTGATCCATTCCTTGTGATGGTGCTTCTTGTGACCCAGGACCTCGTGACATGTTGAAGTGATTGCCTCTTTGATGCCCTTCCAGTTGCTCTCCACAGTAGTTTCTTCTCCATTGAGTAGATCATGAAAGACCTGGAACTTGTTGCTGAGGACTATCTTGAATTTGTTGAGTTTGTTAGTATCCTGAAGAAAGGCCGTATTGAACTTCTGTGATGTTGCCCGCTCCGTTGTGCAGTGCTTCTTGAGTTTCAATTTCATCTTGGCGATCAGCAATTGATGGTCTGATGTTATATCAGCTCCTCTCTTGGTTCTCACGTCCTCCATCGTCCTCCTAAACTTTTTGTTGATGCAGATATGGTCGATTTGGTTTTGTGGTCCGGTGAAGTCCATGTGGTTTTGTGTATGCGTTTATGTGGGAATACAGTTCCGCCTATGACCAGCTTATTGAAGGCAAATAGCTTTGCAAATCTCTCACCATTTTCGTTCCTTTCTCCCAGTTCGTGTCGTCCCATGATGTCTTCATATCCAGTGTTTTCCGTTCAGACCTTGGCATTGAAATCTCCCATCAGAATTGTCAGGTCCTTTGTTGGGCACTTCTCGATGATTGACTGCAGCCTATTGTAGAATTGATCTTTAGCTTCTTCATTGTAGTCGTTGGTAGGCGCATAGCATTTGATGACGTTCATTGAAATGCCCTCTTTCTGTGTTTTGAACGAGGCTTTGATGATCCTTGGTCCATGAGATTCCCATCCTATAAGTGCATTTTGTGTTTGTTTGGACAGCATCAATCTAACTCCTTGTGTATGTGGTGCATTTTCTTCTTCATGGCCGGAGTATAACAGGAGCTCTCCTGTAGTTATTGTTGTCCAACTTGTGTTCAATGTGTTTCACTGATCCCAAGTACCTCTAGGTTGTATCTTCTCATTTCTGCAGCAATTTGGAAGGCTCTCCCGGTGTCCCACATTGTACGAACATTCCATGTACCTAAATAAATGGTTGCTCTGGTTGTCAGAAGGGGCATCGGCCTCGTAACTTCCGAAGGAATTCGGCTTTCATCATGAGGCGTCATAGTTCTTCTAAATGAAGACCTTATGACTCCCAGGGCAGAATTTAAATGGTTTGAATAATTTTTTCTGGTTAGCGTTTTTTTAGCGAATTAGTTTTTTACGGGATGGGGACGCTAACCCCATGCCCAACCCTCCTCCTTTATCCGGGCTTGGGACCGGCAGTAGCCCCCGGAGGGACTCCAGGCGGATTTTAATACCTAAATATAGTAGAATTAAATGAAATTTAGGATTCTTGAACAAAATCTATGCATAGAATAGACGGAATGTAGCTAGCAGTAGAATTCAAGTCTCTCTTCTTTCCCTATGTAAGACTCATCAGCCAAAAGTACCAGGACCGCTCAAATGTAAAGTCTTAATAAAAAGTGAAAGGAAATTTCTTCGCTCGATTCATTTTTTTTCTTATACCAAATGTCAAAATGGACGGAGTTGTTCGAAGTAAAGAGTGGTGTCAGGCAAGGTTGCTTACTCTCAACCTTTCTCTTTCTCATGGTGATCCATAGGATCATGAAGACGTCAACATCCGGCGGGAAGCATGGGATACAGTGGGCAGCTAGGATGCAACTAGACGATCTTGACGTCGCAGATGGTCGGGCCCTTCTATCGTAAATGCGACAACAAATGCAGTAGAAGATGATCAATGTAGAAGCAGCCTCAGCATCAGTAGGTCCCAACATACACAAAGGGAAAAGTAAGATTCTCCGATACAACACAACATGTAACAATCGAATCACACTTGAAGAAGATTTAGAACATGTGAAAACTTTTACATATCTGGGCAACATCGTTGATGAACACGATGGATCTGATGCGGATGGGAATTTGAGGATCGAAAAAGTAAGAGCAGCATATTTACAACTGAAGAACATCTGGGACTCAAAACAACTATCTGTCAACCAACACCAAGGCCAAAATTTTCAATATAAGTGTCAAAACACTTCTACTGTATGGGGTAGGGACTTGGAGAAATACGAAAGCCGTCATCCATAGGATATAAGTGTTTATGAACAGTTGTCTCTGTAAAATAGTTCGGATCGGTTGGCCAGACACTATCAGTAACAACCTAATTTTGGAGAGGACAAACCAGATCCCAGCGGAGGAAGGAATTAGGAAGAAGCGCTGGAAGTGTATACGACACACACATTGAGGAAAGCACCGAACTGCTTCACAACACAAATACTCGTCACTTGGAATCCCCAAAGCCAATGGAAAAGAGGAAGACCAAAGAACACATTACACTGAGAAATGGAAATATACATAAGAAGAATGAACAAAAACTGGATAGAACTAGAAAAGAAAACGCAGAGCAGAGTGGGTTGGAGAATGCTGATGTGCGGCCTATGCTCCATCGGGAGTAACAGGCAATAAGTAAGTAACCGAGTAAATGTGAAAATGGAAATTTTCACTAAAATCATCCATGAGTAGTTACATATGACTTCATGAATTTGATCCTATTTGTTGTTCAATGAATACATGTTATTCATATCAGTAGAAATTATTATTACTTATCTCATAAGTAGTAGTATATTCATTCATTGAATTACCTTTTTTTTCTTTTTTTTTGGATGGCATGGAATGGGGTCTATATAGATCTGTGTACTGGTTGAAATAGCTCATGCCACATGTCCACAATTACCATGTTTTGCTCGTGGTAATGGTTGTCGTACAATTACTGATTTACGTCAACGATTTCAATTATCACGTACAGAAGAACAATTAAAACAATTAGTTGATCAAATGGTTCATAATTCATTAAATTCAGTTACAACAAAATTATATGATAGTTTTCAATATTATACAAATGGTATCCAATAGTAATCATCATCATCATCATCATCATCATTCTATAACTAGAATAAGATTCTAATCCCAGTGACTAAAAGATTCACATTATCTCTTAATTATACAAATGAATAAAGGAAGAAGAAGAAGGGGAAGAAGACAAAGCAATGAAATGAGGGTGGGAGGGGGGCTTGGCAAACATATAAACTATGATGAGGATTGATTGTGAGTATCATTTCGGTTTATTTTCTTCTTTATCAATGTTATTAACAACTGTGATAATTTTCTTTTTATAGAGGGAAATCATTTCAATATGTTGCACAATTTTGATCAGATTTATCTGTCTCCGTGTGTGTGTGAGAGAGAGAGAGAGAGAAGGGGGCAGGAGTTAATTGTGTGTGTTTTATGCTCAATTGTGAATAATTTTACAGGTTATTATCCATTATTTTTGTCTTCTGTTTCACATCCCCACACCCCTATACACACACACACATACAACTGTAAACATAATTGTAATGGTCAATCATGTGAACAGAAGCCTTATGATCACTTTTTTTTATTGGTTTGTCTCTTCCCTATTCCAATTTGTTTTTTTTTTGTGGTTTGGGTTACCCTGGGACGCATATATGGGAATATATTTGCTTTATTGTTCATTTTATTTTTACTATTTCTCTCACCACCACCACCACCGCTACCACCCTCCACTGGTAATAATTATGATGTGTGTTTTTGTGTAAGTTTTGATTCCTCTACAACACCTCTTTCTCTTTGCTTTCATGTTTTCCCTGTACCACCCACCCACCCACCCACTGAAAAATAAAACACTATCACTATACTACTTCATTATGGCAACTAATTGAACAGATCAATACATGTTCTTTATCGTTATGTATGATGTACATGGTTAATGTACAATCATTTTTGATATTTATATATCTATATATAAAGAGAGAAGAATGATATGATTTTACGTATGTTTTATAATTTAATCATGGAATAATAATAATAATATTTTTTCATCTTAATCTCAGATATTGATTGTTTATTTTGTTTTTTTCCTCTTTAAATGTTTTCTCTTTTCTTTTCTTTCTTTTTTTTGTACGTTTTTACGCATTAATTTATTTTCTTTCTAATTGGTTAATAATAATGACGTTTTGGTCCTCCCCTCTCTCTCTCTCTCTGTGTTTTATTCTTTTAATTTATCTCTGAGGGACTTGGTTTACTCTTGTATTGGTTACTAATGGATAATGGATTAATTTATCATGTGTATGCCTCTCTCTCTCTCTGTGTGTGTACGTATGTATGTATGTAAACAATATTATGGTAGAATAAATTAATTTTACACATTGTCTTGAAGTATGCTTTTAATCATTTCAGTAATATGGATTAATCATAATCTACATACATCTAGACAATAGTCGATCGAATCAAATTGTCATGCCATAACATTAGCGTAGCGATATCAAGATGAGTAGTATAAGCGCTAGTAAGAAAAAGTTGGGTATAAACAATATCGTTGGAGAGTATATATATAGGATAAGGAAAGATAAAGAGTGAATGCATTGATGTCATCCAAACCAGTTCTGAACCATCTCATCGAATGTCTGCAACCAGTTTTTATAAACTTGCCCAGACGAGAGTGCTCTCAATTGGCCACGCAATACGAGTGTTGTTTACGAAACTGAGAGGACGAAAAGCGGATGTCCGGCGATTTAACCGGATTAGTGGATATAGAGGATCCATCTAGGGGAGTTGGAAAACTCGAATTCCGAACCAACGATGTACATAAACTCCAGGATCCTAGGGAAACAAATGGCGTATGGACCTATCATTGCCCAACGGTGGACATGGGACTGTATCTCCTTACGGTACTCCACTGTCTTGTGGATTAGACCTTTAGGTTAAAGGCTCTAGGTGTGGCCCCCTAAGTAGACCACGTGCTTCGGTTTAGGCACTTGTGCAGTATTCCAGCCCTCACAAAAATCAAATAATATTTGTGGCGCATATCTTTTTGGTGCCGCCTTGTACCAATGTTTATGTTTGAATATATAAATCTTTCGATTCAAGCATGCAATACTTAATAATTTCAGAGTACGAGCATGTTCTGTGGCGGACTGGAAAGTACGGCAACTGATACAACACATCAACTGCTCGGATACCGACTAACCAGTCTGCATTTACTAATATTTCTCAATACAATTATCAGTGGCCTCAAAGAGTGAGACTGCGTTTCAGTTCGAGCCACTTCTATTATTCCTACAACCCCAACCCAAAGACATTACTTATCGATGTAGGTGATGATTGATTATACGTAATATATATCCCGGCCGCCTAAATCTATGGAGATTCTAAACCGATGCACCACCATTCCCCAAGACTCTACGTTCAATCTCAAAATTGTTCACTTGATAATCCCAACATATGCATCAAACACATGGTCAAATACTAGTAACCTACGAATATAACATTTGACATTAACCGAAATCTTCAAGTAACAAGCTTATGGATGGTGAAACATCAAATATGTAGATTTACCTTATCATGAGGAGGAGAGCGTAGCTCAAATAATCTGTAAAATCCGAATTTACATGACAACTTTTCTGGCACTGGGTGTTGTACGATCCGAAATAAGTAAACCAGCTATCGTAGATGTTTAGACTATATTGACTTGAAAGTCATTAAGACTTTTAAAATCACGTAATATAATTAAATCTGAAACTGTACCATGTTGGAAAACTCCATTTTGTTCTTGTGTTGTAAACTAGATGGCTAATTTCAAAGCTAGTTTTGAAATTCTAACATTCACTAATGTTTACACAGATGACACCGTATCCCATTTGACTAGCCTAACATTTTGCTCAGTTGTTTTCCTTACTTCTCTGTTGTATTCCTTGATTCCCGACCGTTGTTGCTACCTTGACGAGGTGGTCGGGCTTGCCTATCGTGATGAAGCAACCGAGCTATACTGGCTGGAACAACCGTTCCTCAAGGTCCTACCATGTCAGACAGGTCGGTTGAAGAGCGGTAAGACTAGAAGCAACAAACCCAAGGTCCGAAGGCGAAGTCGTACTGCTGACTGTACAGAGGTGTGACAGCAGCAAGGTGTTTCCCTCGGACATCCAGCATGACAGCGATGCTTCCTTCTCACAAGGAGGGGTGGGGTTAGAAAAGGTCGACCCTAAAAATGCACACCTCGCCTTATCCCACGGATATCCGTCTCCGGCGGTAAGGTCTCAACTAGTACGGAGATAACATAAAAATTTCCCATAAAAAGGTCGTGTGTGACCGACCTCAAGCAGTTGTCCCTTGGGCACTGCGGTCACGCTTTCAGGTCACTAAGACCACCTCTAATCCAATTTCCTTTTCAGGTACCTCCAGAAGAACCCTTCCACGGTGTGGGCATCCAGGAAGTGATAACCGCCCTCATACCTCTAACAGCACTGTATTATTCCTATTCCTTGCTTTGGATAAAAATGCATTGAAATTGTATTAATTTCTGACATGCTGATATCTAAAAAGGCATTAAAAACCTTGCAATGCAATCATTCAGTTCAGCGTAACATCACGTGTTCTCAAAGAATGCCAGCAATGTTTTGGAGATAGCAAACGTGTCAGAACGACGATTGAAGAGCTACCGAAACCATTTTATGGACTATTATTGCATATACTCTTACTGAGCAATTACTAGATAACTGGAACACTGTGTTTCTATATTCCGTTTATTGCAAACTTCTGTCCGACCCAAATAATTACTCTACACATTATTCCTACTGCATAGCTAATCAATTATTAACAGTACCCGGTTCAGTAACTTTTCGCCTGTTTGTCTACAACTATGATCTATTTTATGATGCAGTGCTTGCGGTCTAGAATATTTATGCATAAACCCACATGTGCTTGAAATAACAAAAGTTCGGAGGGTGACTTCGCTTCCGGACTCAGGACTGGAAATAGAAAAAAGAGTGCGGATTGGACCAACACGCTCATGTTGATCATTAGTTGATGAGGTAGCCTCCGTATCAAAATACGCTAACGATTTCATTTATACACTAAGAAACGTTCTCGCAATAGGTCAACATATCTTTGATGAAACACGCTGAAATGACTCAGTGTATAAAAGCAAATTCAAACCAATGTTCCGACCTGAAGTAGCTGCTGGTGATGTCCTCCAAAAAGACAATGAATGCTCTGTAATTAAACGATCTAGTTAAGCGAATAGAACACCAAAACAACAAACTGCTATTTTGGACATGTTGAAGATTTCCCAGTGACTTGTTTACACCTGGCCACTTATGGAATTATTTACTATTAACCATTCAGTCAGTAACAACGTAGAACCTCGTACGTACGTACATCAGTTCGAGTTGCCACACCACATTAGCACAGAGATGCAGTTGTCGATTCCAATCCCGTAGTGGTAGAGGTGGTAAGAGTATAAGCAGTAATCGGAAAGATTAGGGTTTGAACATATTATTCAAGGAGTATAATCCAGCGAAATAAATTTGGAAAGAGAATAAGTAAAGGGATATGAGGAATTCAGAAGATCAAGATTTGGGAGAACACAAAGAATAAATGCACCTGCACCATAGCAAACGATTTTGAGCCATGTCATTCAGGGTCTCTAACCATCGGTTGCTATCATCTCGCGGTACCCAACCAGGTAGTCTACACCTACCAACATGTCTCAGTCCACTTGTCAGTGACTTCATGGACTTGTGTCATGTTTTGATCTGGCCGCCACTAGCTTTCTTCCAATCTACTCCTATACAACAAAACATCGCACATCGAGGCAGTCGGTGGTTGGGCATACGTAACACGTGTCCCAGCCATTACAATATATCAATAATTTGACATGTATAATGCAGCCAATTTCATTCAGCAACTAACTTATCTCCTGTATTGAGAACTCAGCGGTCAATAGATTCACCAAATGTAGTCAATGCTAAGAAAGATTTGTATATGGTCAGAAATCTACTATTGTATAACGTCATCCGAAAAAGCATAAAGTATATACATACCTGTAATAAGTATTTAAATCACTCAAACCTAACCAAACAAGGACTCCTTTTTCCGTAATAATATCTCCTAACCACTGATAATACTCAGTCAAACAAATAAAATAGCCAACACAATTAACAACGAATTATCGATATGCTAAGTACTAATATACTGAAGAATAATTAGACTTGGAACATTCTTTTTTGAAAAGGAACAGATCGTTTACTATTTGAAATCATGAACTAATCTTAGCTAGACCGCTACTTAACACCAGGAAGCATTGAATAATTGTTTCGTCCTACTGATATGGAACTATACATCAGAGCGAACCCACAACTCTGTCACAAGAAATCGAATCAAGAATGTGTTTTTTAGTTTGTCTTGAGTGAACGCTTCATCTCTAAACCAACAAGTTGACATTCAATAGTGTACATGTCTAGTTTCAATGTATTGTGAGACCATCGTTGATTGTGATATAATATCAAAACAGAGAAAATATACATACAAGTGTATATTATGTATAAATGTGTTGTTATTAGACTGCATAACCGCTTCACAAACAACCAAAAAACTGGTGAACAAGCCCAGTATACAAATAAACATACATAAAACCAATAAAAGAAGAACAATAGACTAACAAAAAGTCAATAATAGACAGAAAGTAAATCAATTCGTAGTAAATAACAATGATCACAATATTAAAGTAGAAAATATTTATATTTAAACTATTTCCCTATTCCAGACAATGTGGTTTTCACTTCACTACTACGTTTCTCGTCGACGATATTATCATCACTATCATCATCATCATCGTACCAAGATTCAATATGTTCTGCTTCAACATCCACTTGATCATTATTGTTATTCTCTTCCTCTTCCTCCTCCTCGTTGTCGTCGTCATCGTCAACATCATCGTCCAACTCTCCTTCATCTGCTTCCTCTTCTTCGTCTTCTTCCTCATCTCCGATCAACTTGACCGAGTCTAATTCACTATCTCCAGAATCATTTCGATTGTTACTATTCGATCGTAGTGTTGTTGGAGCGATAACAACAGACGGTGAAATAGTTTCCTGTTGTTGTTGTTGTTGTTCTTCAATAGTCGGTATATAATTATTATTATTTATGGTAGTTGTTGAAATTAAATTAGCATGAAACGGTAATTTATCATCAAATGATGATGGTTCCATGGGGATAGGTTTATTTTGCATTTCAGCGTGAAGATCACGATCACCTGGTAACTGTTGAGTTGGATAAGCTGAAGCGGGTAAATTTAAACGTGCTTTTCTATCAGCTTTTAACCATTTTTCTGTGGATAAAGCCTCCTAAAAGAAGTCAATAACAATCGAAACTAATAATCTGAATCTAACAATTCTTTGAAATGAATGTTTTCGCAACATTTTTTGTGTGTGTGTAATGTAACATTCAATGAACAAAGACAATCTGTTAAGATCATCGGGTTAAGATAAGATATATTGTTTACAAATATAAACAATCGAAACTCTGGAATAATCAACACTACATATTAGCTTGTAGTGGAATCCAGGAAGCGTATTTCATCTCATTTGGGACTGGTCGGTAGGATGTACAACATGCATCCCAGTGTTGATGATGTTTAAACTTAAACTTGAACCCAGTGACTATTACTTCAAATACTAGAGCTCACGAGTCCGAAATAGAATGAAACGCGCATCCTGGATTCTACTAATAGCTACAACCCAGATTTTCTACTCAATATCCTTATGACTTTAATGGCAATCTGAACATCATGAATACATATCGAAAAGAGACTGATCAATTGCAGTCTTTAACATCAATAATGGGAAGATTTAAGTGACAAATACAAATGAACTACAAATTAACACATAATTGCTTGAAAAATAAAAAACATGACAACTATAAGTGAATAAGTGAAAAGGTGGGACTTTGAGAAGGTACTAGATGTGAATCCTGCAGTGAACACTAACGCTGGGATGCCAGTACATCCAGTATATAGGACGAAACGCGTGTCCTGGATTTTACTGCTAGCCACATTTGATCTACTCTATTCAGTGATTGGCTTTTAGTATTCCTGTATGGCCTTTAATATAAGCTTTCATTTGACACACTAACTGTTGATGCATATTTTACCATAGAGAAATTGTAATCAGTCAATTATGTACCTGTATTATTGAGTTGTCTGTCGTAAATGCCCTAATTATACACAGATTGTGATTGTCTATTTATGGTGCATTGTAGTTTTGTAATTGATGTATGAGATTTTAAGTAATGAATATAAAAAGTAAATTGGCCTTTTGAGGTTTTTGGCATCCTAATTGGACAGACGGTTTTCATGCATTTATTTAGTTGTGTGTAGGCTGGGACACTGCATGGGTGCCCAGACTGGACCAGGTACTTTTCTTATGGGGCCACACCCGGAGCATTCAACCTAAAGGTCTAATCCATAAGACAGTGAAGTAACATCATCAGATGCAGTCTCATGGTAGTCGGTGACCAACAATAGGTTCATACGCCATTTGTTTGCTTAGGATCCTGGAGACTATATGCACACCATTGGTTTGGAATCAGGGTTTTCCAACTCTCCTAGATAGATACTCTGTATCCATCTGCTTTTCTTCCTCTCAGTTTCGTAAACAACACCCCCTCTTTGAGAATGCAGTGAATAGGACGTCCCTGTCAGTGGCTGTATACACGTGGTCATTTGAGAGGGAGAGTTGGCTCTCCCCACCCTCGACTTTACCAGGACATTCGGGAGCTTGATCAGCAATAGCAAGCTCAATGGGGACAACAGGTAAATTGAAGGTAATCGTTAATGTTATTTATTGTATTTAGTGAACTGTTTATCAATAAACTTAATAACTAATGATCCTATAACATTCGTGTTTGTAAAATCAGTCATATGAGTATAATTGGTTTAATTATGATCTGATTTTGAACAGGTTGCTATGTGAGGACCTTGTTCTAGGATCATTTGAGAGAGAGAGAGAGAGAGAGAGAGTTAAAGTCAATAACTCATCATCTGTACCAATGTTTGTATTTTCACTTCGTATCATAGAAATTACAAGGATTTCTGTTTCCAAGTATAAGCTGTAAGATAGTGAATAGAAAAGAACCAATAAGTCTATAATAAAAATGGGGGGGGAGGAAATGAGAAAGTATCCTTATCAAAGGTGTTTTCTGTACGAACACATACATATATGTATATAGGTGATTGAATGTAAACATACCTCAAGATCTGGAAATAAATTTGGATAATCTTTTGGATTAGCTAAAGAATTAGCAATTTTTGCACTGGCTTTATTTGATTTATCTAACCAATTACGCCATTGTTCAACTATTTCAGGCATATAACTTGGTAAATATGTACGAGAAAAAAATGCAGCTTCAGGGAATCGTTTAGCATTTGTTAACAACTAAGTAAGAATATGATAAAAAGTATAAAAAAACACAAAATTAGTTAAATAATTGGGATAAATTAACAAGTAATTAGTGTAATACATATTCATTAAAGGGAGGGGGTGTTATGCAAGGGACTTTCGCTCACATTTTTAATGTATGAAGGATAGAGAGAAACTGTCCAACTAGGTGCATTGCAACCAAACGATTTGGAATTTTCAAATAACCTACCCACTTCTATCCCATATGTAGTAACAAATCTAGGTGAAGATAGTCAGTGTAGCATCAGCTTTTTCCACAGCAGGCTTCAACATACACTAGAGGAAAGGCAAGATCCTCAAATATGACACAGAGAACACCAACCCAATCACACTTAATGGAAAAGCTCTGGAAGATGTAAAAACGTTCACGTGCCTGGAGAGCACCATCGATGAACAAGGAGGATCCGATGAAGACGTAAAGGAAAGAATTAGCAAGGTAAGGGTAGGATTCCTACAATTGGGGTACATACGGAACTCGACACAACTGTCAACAAATATCAAAGTCAAAATTTTCAATGCGAACATCAAAACAGTTCTGTTGTAGGGAATCGGAACTTGAGAGACTACTAAAACCATCATGAAAAAGATATAGGCATTTATAAACAGTTATCTACGCCAGTTACTTCATATTCGCTAAACGAATACCATCGACAACACACTACTGTGTGAGAGAACAAACCAGCTTCCAACTGAAGTGGAAATTAGGAGAGGACTCTGGAAGTGGACGGGACACACACTGTCTAAACCATCACACTGCATCACGAGGCAACTTGGAATCCTGAAGGCGAAATGAGAAGCGGAAGATCAAGGCACACATTGCGTTGGGAATCGGAAGCACAAACCAAAGAGTTGGATAGCGACTAGAAAAGATTGTTCAGGACAGCATTCAATGGAGAATGCTGGTGGGCGGCCTATGCTTTTTCACGAGGGGTAACAGGCGTAAGTAAGTAGTTGCATTGAAGTAGGAGAAGTAAGATATAAGCCTGTAACCTTATTGTTTCGAAGTTAAGTAACCTATACCATTAATCAATTACTCTTATAGGATGATAATTAATGAATTTATTGGTGTAATCATATGGAATAGATAGAATTATTTGTGTGGTTGAAGGAGAGGCACAATTAAAAGACGTGGATTCAAATTAATCATATGGAGTATGAGCTTCGTAGAAAATCTGAACTACACATTCACTTGAGCTCGAATACACTTACATTGAGGATACCCTGTAGTGTTATATAATAACAGATTCATATCGCAACAACCTATATCATATCATAAACTTTTAATCGACAATGAGCAAGCTAAAATAGAATCTATTCTCAGCCAGTTAAACACAACACAGAACTTAGCATATGTATACACCGGTTCCAATTGCAATGGCTCATTAATACAGCAAGATGGGATAGCCAGGCCAAATCCAAGAGAAGTAGAGTTAGTAATACAATCAAGAAAAGTTATAGAAAACATTAGGCATCTAAGATATATATAAACATATATTAATGAAATACTATAAAGTTTATGAGGAATTTAGAAACTAAGAAAAGACAAGGAATGGATGCACCTGCGCTATTACAAACGATTTTGAGCCATGTCATTCAAAGTCTCTAACCACTGGTTACGATAATCACACGGAACCCAACCACGTAGTCGACATCTACCTACTTAGCTCAGTCCAATAGTCAGTGTCTTTATGAACTGGTTTGATCGTACCTAACTTTCTTCCGACCTACTTAAAACACCAACCAACATTATCTGTTGAGATAGGTGGTGGTGGTAGTGTTTCAACCACCTCTGTTGATGAATATTCTTATGATGATACTTTACAAAGTTCTAGGTCGCATCAATCATGCCAGCAAGTTCAAGTCGATAAACCTTGATTACATTATCACGATATGGAAGCTCGATCATCAAAGTCAGGGCAGTAACTACGGTAGGGTGTGGGAAGGTTTTAAAAGTGTAAAAAAACGCCCCTACCCACACGCGTACGCACACAAAAAAAGCAGAAAACCATAAATAGATTAAATAAAAATGATTACAATGCAAAATAATAATATTAATAATAAACTTACTTCAAGACAACCTTCCAAATCAGTGACAAGAAAACGTGCTAGAAAAGCAATATTATCATTTCCTTTCGTAGCTGCTTCTTTGCCAATCCATTCAAGTAGTTTACGATTTCCTGAACTTGTCGCTAATAACATTAGACTAGCATAATCGTCTGTACGTGATAGATATTCTTCAGCATATTTAAATTTACAAGCCTTACAAGCGGCTTCAGCTAACTGAATACATTTATGAATGTAAAGCAGGAGGGGTTTATTTGTTAATTAAGAATGTAAGGCAATTTATTATTATTAAAGCATGTAATAGCTAATTTTAACAAGAATGTAGGATCTCGGTGTGGAAGCTAATGTTGGGATTCAAGTACATCCAGGTGATGAGTCTCGAATAGGGTCACAATCTATTTACTCTATGTAGAATGAATGGCTCGAATACTTTCCTTGCTAAAAATAGTATTGAAACGTTGAGATTAACGTTTAACTACAAACAATCAACCATAATAATGTGAAGATTTCAATAAAATCATTCTAGGTTCGCATAGTGATAGGCTTCTTTGTTAGTTTGATGGTAGCAGAAATTTGATGGAACTTTTAGTTCTCTCATCGAGTTTTATCATGAGTGTTTATGGTGCATCGTTCCATATCATTTGAAAATATTATTTGAAGAGGTTTGAATAACAATTTTGTTTATATTCATAATTAGATTTTGATCAGTTTTAGTGCCTCAATACAACCATTTTATCATAAGACTTTTATAAACAAGATGGATTGTAACTAGAAGTGAAATCCAGGACATGCATACTCGGTAGTTGGATGTACCTGTATCCCGGTGTTGATAGTAACATTTCGGACACAGTACTTTGCGTTAATTTTCCTGAGGCTCCCAAATGCCCTGGTACGGCCGAGAGTGGGGAGAGTCCGCTCTCCCTCTCCAAATGCTCTCACATGACCATGCGTATATAGCCTCTGCCAGGGAAGTCCTACTCACTGCCTTCACGCACAACGGGTGTTGTTTACGAAAATGGGAGAATGAAAAGCGAATGTCCGGAGCTTTAACCGGATTCCAAACCAATGGTGCACACGGGATACAGGATCCTGAAGGAACAAGTGGCGTATGATTTATTTATTTATTTTAACTCATAGATATTGGTACAAGGAGGCACCAAATACATATGCGCCACACAAATCTCATTCGATATGTGTGAAGGCTGTGATACTGCCCGGGTGCCCGAACCGAAGCAGGCGTATGAACCAATCGTTGGTCACCGGCTTCCATGGGACTGCATTTCGTTACGATGCTACACTGCCTTGTGGATCAGATCTTCAGGTCGAAGGCTCGGGGAGTGGCCCCCTAAGAAAATCACCTACTTCGGTCTGGGCACCCGGGTAATATCACAGCCCTCATACAAATCGAATGAAGAAGTATGGTACATACATAATTGGTGCCTGCTTATACCAATGTTTATGTGTTTAAATAAATAGACAGCAAGTGGGCGAGTCACTTTAGCATTGTTCAAAGGTCGTTCATAAATTATAGTCTCACTACTTTCTGAAATAGACACTACACAAATAGTTATCAATGAGTTGATTGTCTTAAATTTAGGCAAGACATCATTCCACTTCACAAGAAACTAAATCTTATTAGTTTACTTCATGTGATAAATAAGTTTCCGGAGAAGTGAATAAGCAAAAATTGGTGGTAGTCAAAGTAGGGAATGAGACTTGTTATGCTGACAAAGACCACTCTCCCACAGGAATGTAACCATTGTATTTTGTTTAGAGTACAGTTTCAAGTCAAAATTTAGAACCAGCATTTTCATAGGTATTACCGAAATCCCTAGTGAGTTGATGAGTGAGCGCTATTGAAGAGTCCCATATATTCATGCGAAATAGTTGTTCACTACTCCTTGGTTTCCAATGGTTATCTGACTAAACTCAACTCATAATCTGAAATAAAACATTCAACAGTTTCTACAACTCCTGTTTACCAAAAATAGTCTCACAAACTATCAATGTGGAAAATTCTATTACATCGGTTGAATAAATAATTCCGTTGAAAGTCAACTTCAGCAAGACATAATGATATACATCGTTTAGGTGTATATAAATGACACACTACTTAATAAACTAACTAACTAACTTGTTTCCATTTAGCTTCATTTGTTTTAGCATCACCATCCATGGCAATTTGTTGGCATAATTCAAAATCTCCTAATTGTAAAGCTAATTCAAATTTATGATCCATATCTGTAGTGACACGCATAGCTTGTTTTCGATAACCTTGTTTCTCTAAGAATTGAGCAATTTTTGTATATTGATCTTTTGATATATTTGGTAGAATAGCATCAGCAGTTGTAAAATCTCCACGTAACACCGCTGTTTCATATTCTAATACACTGAGTAATAGAGTATAACTAACAATCTATGATTGATCGCCAGAGAGGATATGAAGTGAGGAGAAAGAGAGGTAAATGAAAAATTAATTTATATTTTCCTAAACATTATAAATGTAAATTCACTTCATAGCTAGCCATGACTTAATGTCTCCGTTCTGCATGCTAAATCCCCAGAAATCACTTGGTAAATGCATCATTTTTGGGAATATGAATTTCCACATCCTCCAGAGCTTTTCCATTATAAACATGATTGGGTTGGTGTTCTCCGTATTGTACTTAAGGATTTTGTCTTTTCCCTTGTGTATGTTGAGATCAGTTGTACAAAAGCTGATGCCACACTATCTTCACCTAGATTTGTTACTACATATGGGATAGAAGTGGGTAGGTCATCTGTGAAATCCAAATCATCTAGTTGCATCCAAACTTTCCTACTTCTAATATCTAACTTCATCTTGAAATGTATACTTGTGGTAATGTTGCCTAGGGAACATGATCAGTAAGCTTTATGGATAAAATAACTAGATCCAAGAATGAAACACCGTCAAAACTATTGAAGTAACAGGAATCTTATTAACAATGAGCTATATCGATTCAGAAATTATTTACAAAGTTATTTTAATTCAAATATTAGCTTACATTCTGAAACTGGGGTAAGCACATAGCATAGCAAAAAAACATACCTGTAAATCTCTATCACCTAGAATTAAACGATTTTCTTTTGCTAAATAACCTAATAAATACATTGGACGATCCAATAAAGCTAATGTGAATACTTCACCACCAACAAAATAACATAAACGATTCCCTTGTGTTGTAAATATAAATGCATCACCAAACCAACGACCATTAAGTACTTGACTATTGACTTCACCATTTGGTACAAGCTATTAGAGAAAATAATAATAATAAGGTAGAAATACAATAGAAACAAAACCAATGTAATTGCGGGTTTATTTAGCCCCCAAATGCTCTGATATGGCCGAGAGTGTGGTGGGCCCGCCCTCCCTCTCGAAATGCTCTCACATGGCCACGCGTATATAGCCTCTGCCAGGGAAGTACTACTCACTGCCTTCTCGCACCACAAGTGTTGTTTACGAAAATGAGAGGACGAAAAGCGAATGTCCGGCGTTTTAACCGGATTCTAAACCAATGGTGCACATGGGCTCCAGTATCCAGCGGGAACAAATGGCGTATGAACCTATTGTTGGTCACCGACTACCATGGGACTGCATCTCCTCACGATGCTCCACTGGCTTGTGGATCAGACCTTCAGGTCGAAGGCTCGGGGAGTGGCCCCCTAAGGAAACCACCTGCTTCGGTCTGGGCACCCGGGCAGTATCACAGCCCACACACACACAAATATGGTGTGACGCATATATATTTGGTGCGCTCTTGTACCAATATTTATGTGTTGAAATAAAATAAAAACAAATTCAATGTAATACACGTTATATCAGATGATTAGAAGACCGAAAAAAAACATTAAAGCATTCAATGTCATCTGATAGAACTGAATAAATATGTACTGACAAGACATGAATGAACATTAAACTATGATTATTTCGTATAATATTTTATATACACATTTAACTAATCTGAAATAAAATATTAAAAAAAATAAGTAGTATAGTATGTGCTACTGATGATGACAGATATAAGTAGTATGTGTCATCAATTGAAAGTGAAATGCCTGGAGGTAGAAGGTTAAGAAGATCAAAGAAAAGAGAATAAGAACAAAGAATGATTGCTGTGGAAATGAAGGAACAATCAAGTCAGAGACGATAAACATTTTGCAGAATGAAGTATTTACTGTATGGTTCTTAGATTTTACTAAGATATTCTATAATTTTGTATTCAAATACATTCGAATGTCCCTATTTGTATTCTCGTTTACTATAGTAGTGATTTGGTTTGAAGGTTATATTAACCGTTCAATTCAGACCACTTGTAGGCAGCATGAATTCAAAACCTGTAACACCAGAAATATTGATGGAACTATAGACAAGTTTGAGTGACTCTTATGCTAATGTTGACAATTTTTTGGATATAGATCATGTGGTTAGGATTTAGGATTAAGGTCTCAAATTTATGGTTAAGATTTGGTGTCTATGGTTAGAATTTAAGATTAGAGAGCAATGTTTTTGAGGTTCAGAGTTAAGGTTCAGATTAGGACGTAAAGCACATGATTACAGTTAGAATTAGGATGAAGATTCAGGATTTTGATTTAAGAACGAGATTAGATTTTCTGGTTAGTCTAATTTTAGTCCCAGTCCTAAATCCTAACCCCTGAACATCAATTGTAATTGCCTAATGATGCTTTCATTATTAAAACTAACCAGCTATGTTTGATAAACACTACTCTTTTCTTATATACGTGCTGTGGTCTTGAGGTTACTTGTTCGTTCCTGATTCTAGTAACCAACAGTCTGATGCGTTGTTATTTATTTATTTATGTATTTTAACACAGATATTGGTACAAGGAGGCACCAAATACATATGGGCCATACAGATCTCATTTGATATGTGTGAGGGCTGTGATACTACCCGGGTGCCCAAACCGAAGCAGGTGGTTTTCTTAGGGAGCCAACCCGGAGCCTTCGACCTAAAGGTCTGATCCACAAGGCAGTGTAGCATCGTAAGGAGATGTAGTCCCATGGTAGTCGGTGACCAACAATAGGTTCATATGCCATTTGTCCCTTCAGGGTACTGAAGCTCATGTACACCATTGGTTTGTAATCAGGGTATTCCAACTCCCCTAGGTGAATCCTCCATATCCACCAACCCGGTTAAAGCGCCGGACATTCGCTTTTCGTCCTCTCAATTTCGTAGACAACTCTTAATTTAATCGCTTTTTATAAAAACCACTATAGATGAATAAAAATGATAAGCAGGATAAACGCAAACTTGGAGACATATAACGTTTACGGTCTTAATTTGCTCATTTTCATATTTTCACCAAATTCAAACCATACTATTATAAGCAGAGATGAATGGTGATTTGCAGCGGAATCCAGAATGTGCGTTTACTTCTATTTTGAGCTCATCAGTTGCATGTACTTGTATCACAGAGTTGATGCTCACTCCAGGAGTTGAACTCATTACCTTTGTCTTCGAACACTATCGCGTTATCCACTCGACTACAGAGTCTACATAGCCATAAGCTTGTGCAACGGGGTGAACTATATATATATATATGAAATTTATATTCAAACATCTTGAAAAACACAAATCCAGTGAAGAAACACTTCTTTTCAATAAAAGAAAGTATTAAATAATACAATCTTAGTAAGAACGTAACTAAGCAAGGTTTATTTTATTAAAAATGTACATCTTACTACTAATGAGTAGTGTAGTATTTAGAATCAGGAGACAATAGGGTTATCATCGGCTTCTACTTAACACTATGGTTAACACTTTTTCAAACCGTTAAGTTTAGTTATTTATAGTATTTCACACAATAGTAATGAATATTCATGCAGAAAAAGCATCCTTGATCCTTTACATCTGGGTTTTCCATTGAGTGCTAACATCATTAAATGATGTATGGGATAGAAGTCGTTGTGATGACACGTGTAGAATGTGTTCAATTCAATGAAATCGGTACTTTAAGATAAGAATGATTATATATTTATCACCACATGAGCAATTGCCAAAGCACAGGTTGTTGTTGTTGTACCTTATTACTGCTTACATCATGTCGAAAACAAATTAGAGAGATTATTCAGAGACAACAATGACGTCATGAAGTTATAAAAAAAGAAGCTATCAGCTTAGAATAAAACTGAAACATTGACGTTTTGATAGTGCCAAAAAGAGTCTAGTTCAACATGAACCACGTTGACGTTTAATACATACAGATTAGTTCATATTGATATATCACATCAATAGCACTCACATAACTAATCAAATAAGTGAAATTCTCGACTCTTTACAACAAACGATGAATGGAGCCGCACACTTCTATTCTTATCCTAGCTAGTATAGCAAGTCAGGGTGGATGGTCATTGGATACATAGGTAACAAATTGGTCAACACTCCGACTAATGTAGGCTCATAATTTCATCAATCGATTTACGCCTAATCTAGGAGTTATTCACTTGGTGATTCTACCATACTTTTTCTGGTAACACGTTGAAGACATCTATAGTTAAGTATGAGCAAGCTAAGTGCGTATATTCAACCTCAAAAGACCATATTTCACAGTTGTAAATTAATAAAGAGCAAACTATTGAACAGGATAAATGATCTTTGATAAGCAAGTGAGCACAGCTTGATTGAATCCAACAGGTGGAATTGTAGTAGTTCCTCTGTTATTACACACCAACGCGAGTTATCCGAACCTTTGGACAGACTTTAAGAACTCAGACAGCCTGTGACTGCCAAGTCATTTTTACCTTCTTAATAATTGTTATAACTCTTGTCTTCTTACGGTTAATGACCCAGCTATTCCTATTGCTTAGTATTCTCGGACACCGATTCACTCGACAAGTCCCCAAATCAGAACACGGTTGAACAGGAAAAAGATTATATTCCAAATAGCAAGTCAGAAGCATAATGGGGAAAAACGTCAGTATATTTATAGTTTTTTACATAAGAAGATTCCAGAATATTCTCCGACTATCGACTGGTGCTGATTGGATAAGAATCAGCCAATCAGCGTGCAGCAAAGCAATCATGCATTGAGCATGCTTTAATCTAGTCTATGTCCCACTAACACCTCCCCTCTGAGCAGATTCGTAGGATGTACTCACAAAGCGTTCCACTTGGCCATTTGATTGGGGATGGTATGGAGGTGTTCGGATGTGCTGGATTCCGTTCTGCCGACAAAATTGTGAGAAGATTTCGGACGTAAACTGTGTTCCGTTGTCACTAACTATCAATTCCGGGATTCCAAAACGACTGAATAGTTGACGTAGTTTACTGACTGTGCAGCTTGCAGTCGGGTGTTTCATGAGAAAAATTTCTGGCCACTTGCTATATGCATCAACCACCAAAAGGTAAGTTTGTCCATGAAGTGGACCAGCAAAGTCCAAATGTATACGCTGCCACGGTGACTGTGGTATTGGCCATGATTGCAGCTCTGCTTTTCGCGGTGCTTTTGTTGCTAATGCACATTTGGTACACGAACGGGATAGCTTCTCCAGTTGGGTGTCTAAATGCGGCCAGTATACATAACTTCGTGCTAGTGCTTTCATGCGATTTATTCCAGGATGTCCTGCATGCAATTGTTCAAGCACTGCTGGTTGTAGCTTCTTGGGAATTATGACACGTTCGGCAAACAGCAGACAGTCATCGATGATTGAAAGAGAGAGTCTTCGCTGGTAAAACTGTTGAAGGTCTGTGGAATAGATTTTCGAGGGCCACCCTTCTAGGTGGAACTTTCTAACTTCTTGTAGTGTTGGGTCTCGAAGCGTTTCTTCCCTGACTTCATCTGACGACACTGGAGTGTTTCGAATGGCATCTGCCATTATACTTCGTATTTCTGGGTCTACTGCTGTGGAGGCAATGATTATATCCTCTGGTCCAGGATGTTGAACTCCAATTAATCGGGAGAGAGCGTCAGCTTGACCGATAGTATTTGTTGACTGATACTTGATATTAAAATCATAACTCAGGAGCATTGTTGCCCAGCGCTGTAGTCTATTAGCCGTATAGACAGGGATTCCTTTCTTAGAACCGAAGATTGCAATCAAAGGTTTGTGATCTGTCAGTAGAGTAAATGTACGACCATAGAGCATTTTATGAAATCTTTTGACTGCGAAAATGATTGCAAGAGCTTCCTTTTCAATTTGGCTGTAGTTTCGCTCGGCTGGAGTAAGTGATCTAGCAGCATGGGCAATTGTCTTCTCTGATTTATCCGGAAACACGTGAGATATCACTGCTCCAACTCCATGACTAGAGGCATCAGATGCAACAACAATTTCCAAGCTGGGATCGAAGTGCGTCAAAAGAATCTTTGAGCTGAGCATTGATTTGACTCTGTCAAAAGATGCTTGACATTCTGCTGACCACTGCCAAGGTTTATCTTTCGATAGTAATTCATTTAGGGGACCTCTCACTCGGTGCATTTCAGGCAAGAATGTGCTGTAATGACTGATTAACCCCAAGAAGGATCTTAATGAAGAAACATCAGTTGGTGCAGGCATCTTCTGAATGGCTTCGATGTTGGCAGGGTCTGGTCGGCGACCGTTCTTATCTAAGATAAAACCAAGGTATTTGATCGAATGCATGAAGAAGATACATTTTTCCTCACGTAGTCGGAAACCATACTCCAACACTCGGTTAAGGACTTGGTGTAGTCGATCAGAAAGTTCACTGTCAGTTGAACCCATAACTATGATATCATCTAGATAAGCTGCTGTACCAGGTATACCTGTTAGCATCGTATCCATTATTTGCTGAAAGATGGCAGGTGCGGTCTTGATGCCAAATGGTAGACGGGTGTATTGAAATAACCCTCGATGAGTATTAATGGTCAGAAGCTCTCTACTATCTTCATCTACTTCCACTTGGAGATAAGCATCGGAGAAGTCTATTTTCGCGAAACATGTCCCACCATTAAGCTTGGCAAACAGGTCTTCCGGAACTGGTAAGGGATATTGATATACATCTAACGCAGCATTTAAACCGGTCGAGAAATCGGCACATATGCGTATAGTCCCATTGGCCTTCTTAATCACTACAATCGGTGCGGCCCATGCAGAGTAGTTAACTGGTCGGATTACACCAGCCTGCTGCAAGCGATTAAGTTCCTGGTCGACTAGCTCAAGAGCAGCATATGGCACAGGACGTCTCGGGCGAAAAATAGGTATGGCATCTGGTTTCACTGGTAAGTGCGCTTTCATCTTGGTACAGTGGCCAAGGCTATTCTGAAAAACAGAGGCAAACTTTCTTTTCAGTTTTTCTAGTAACCGTTCACCTGTCTTCTTTGGAAGTAATGGGGTGTCCAATGATGAACACGATACGTTACAGACACTGTTAATTGGTATATCCATTATTCCAAGTTTGTCTAGCATATCTAGACCAAGAAGATCAAGGTTCGGCCGTTCTGTTAGGTAACATATTCCTGTACAGTTAGTTCCATTGAAGGAAAATTCACACTGTAATTCACCAACCAGTTTTAGCACACCACCTGATGCGTTTTTAGCCGTTTTCTTAGATGGCTTCATTGGCGGTTTACCCAGCAAGTTATACGTTTCTCTAGACACTAACGTGATATCTGATGCCGTGTCAATTTGAAGACGAGCTGATATGCCGTTTATCTGGATGGTAACATACTTTCTCCGAATGTCATAGTTTGTTTGAAAAGCAGCTACCAGAGAAAGAGATTTAGACTCGGCTGATTTCACATGTCGAGGACGTTTATGCTTCTTCTTAGGCTGAGACGTACGCTTCGGTGGACAATGACCTTCTTTATGTCCACGTTTGTTGCACTCCTGACATTTATGCTTCTTGAATGGACAGAATCGTGCATAATGCCAATCACCGCATAACCAGCATGCAGTCCTTGGTTTGTTACGAGTTGTTACCGGCTTCTGAACTTTTAACCTAGTAATAGTATTTACACTACCGCAGGTTAATTTAGGATTTACCTGTTCAATCAACTCGTTGTCGTGTCTGATGCTTTGTAGACGCTTACACTCATCTGTCAATGTTCTGAGTGTGACGTTTGGGTCTTGATCCAGTCGAGCTAAAAGTCTCGTCCTGATCTCAGCATCTTGTGGTGACTGAAGAGCTTTGATGAATATTAAGCATTTAAATTGGTCATCAGTCAACGAGCGTAACTTGAAACGTTCACATTCTCTGTTGACAATGTCTGCTAGAACACCATATTCATCAGCTTCGCGTTTCACCAAATTTAGACACCGATATCGAATACTAAACAACGAGGATGACTCGCCGAATATCTCTGACAACTGAAATACCGTCTCCTCGAAACTGAGCTCTCGAGGTAACTTTGGCAATATATGGTCAGCAAAACGTGCATGTTCATTGCTTCCCAACTTACGTACCAACAATCGGGTCTTCCACGCATCGTCTTGGTTACAGAATTCTGTTCTAAATGTATCTTCCCAACGTTTGAACCACGTGAGAAAAGTATTTCCACTTTCGGGATCATAGATGAATTCTGGGATGCTGCTAGCAACTGCCTCACAAGACGTACTTAAAATAGCATGTGAACCCGAGCTGTGAATGTTGAGCTGTTGAGTCAGGGTCTCTAACAACCGCATTTGTGCATCAAGTTGTGCTTGCTGTTGTTGTAGTATTCGGTTAAGCTGGTCATCTGATGTGGGCATCTTGAATTTGTTTTCCTTTTTCCCCGTCGCCACTGTTATAACTCTTGTCTTCTTACGGTTAATGACCCAGCTATTCCTATTGCTTAGTATTCTCGGACACCGATTCACTCGACAAGTCCCCAAATCAGAACACGGTTGAACAGGAAAAAGATTATATTCCAAATAGCAAGTCAGAAGCATAATGGGGAAAAACGTCAGTATATTTATAGTTTTTTACATAAGAAGATTCCAGAATATTCTCCGACTATCGACTGGTGCTGATTGGATAAGAATCAGCCAATCAGCGTGCAGCAAAGCAATCATGCATTGAGCATGCTTTAATCTAGTCTATGTCCCACTAACAATAATCTTACTCACTTCATAGAGAATTGTGACCTTCAGCATGTATATGCCCTATATTTATGTCCTTATAATTCAACAACAATATGTCTCGTGTGTGCTCGTGTGCGTATGTCTGTATTCAAACACCATCTTCTATCTTAACATAGAGCACACGATGTCGAGTCACATAGACTAGTGACTACATTGCAACTTGGTCGACAGAATTCGACGTGTGCTAAGAAGAACCTGATATACATGATATTGGTCACTACCCAGTGATTCATCGATTGTAAATATATTTCAGTCCTACAAGACTTCAGTTAGGGCTCGGATAGCTCCGTCGTAACGTCTCTGACTGCGAAGATGAGTGACTGAATCCGCTAGAGAGTATCAGTTCCCCCAAGATTACACATATGCCTTGCTGACGAGTGCCAAATAGCATGAAATCTTTGTCGAGTAGAGTCCCCTGTGGACTATATTCAACCATCACCTTACACCTGTTTCCAATGTCTGGCTCCTTGTCGTACTATGCTTTATCTATTTTGCATTATATTAGCGCTTGTAATGAGAAATATCTTGAATAGGCAAATTTGCCTTGTCTACACATGTTATCTCTTCGTTTGTCTACGTCATTACCGATTTGATCCTAATAGAGTTTAACAATGGGGGAGGGTTAAAGCATAAACGTAATTTTACAATCTTTATATTCACAAATCAAATAGATTTCACTTACTTGAAAAGCTTTTTCATATCCATCTATATCTTCATGGTTATTATTATTGATTGTTGGCAAATTAGAATCTGGTACAGCATCAGCTGAATAACGTAATATGTAAAATGTATCATTTGTACATAATGCTACTAATTGACCAGATTCATTCCAATAAACACCTTTTGGATTATTATCAATCCGTCGAATAATTCGACCAGTTAACCAATCATAAAATGTTAAACCAGTTAATGAACGTACACCTAATAAATGTCCACCAAATATTTGTTCCGCACCATAATCTAATTTAAATGTACGAACCTCTTTCATTTGTTTGTAAACCTTAGTAGAAAAGATAATATTACACACTTCAGTCAAGAAGATGATGATGATATTGAATTCGGAAATATGATTCATAATAATATAATACAATATTTCTTTAATCAGTATAGGGTTGTGAAAATTACTAAGTTATTGATTGAGATCATGAACCGATTGATGTTACACCATCATTGAAAACCTCAAAGCATTGGACGGCCGTTTTATCCTATTGTGAGACTCCTCAGCAGTGCGCATCCACGATTCCGCTCGTAAAATTTCAACCCAGAGCCTTCAATCTCACGCGCGAACGCTTAACCTCTGGACGACTGAGCCGGTCGGCATCCAATGCTGTTAATGTATAACCTCAACCATCTTCCATTGTACTGAGGTAGATACTTGTCTCTCCTTGCAAAAAATATAAGCTCCACTGGTCACGGTTTCTCACTAGAACTTCGACAATTCCCTCAGGAAGCTAGTCACTAGTGAGCACATAGTAATCATAAATTCCCTGAAATCTTAGATCTCGTGTAGACTGTTCGCCAGGCAATGCTACGTATTCGGCTTCAATTAATTTTGGACTTATACAAATCCAGTCTACAAGGCTGTGTTAATCCAAGAATTTGATTACTAGTACCTCGTACATAATCCAGATTCGAACTATAGTCTAATTCAAATTTTCATTACTTGGAAGCGAAAATAACCCAGGCGAGTTTTACCCTTTTTCCCTTTTCTGGTTTATTTACTATGCTTTTAGCACTTCTTAACTTAGATTTTTTCTCCGTTAGACTGGTTGTATATATTTCATACGAGCCACTCCTAAGACTTTCTGGTAGAAGAAATATTTAATACTTTTGTACTACATCATACTATTAAGAAAAAGTGTAAGTAACGCAGTTAGTTGCTAGGAAACGGGTACTAGGTAAGGATGGTAAATCAACTGATGAAGTAGTGAAACTTAATCAGTTAAAATGGCTGGGATACGTGTTACGTATGCTCAACCACCGACTGCCCCGACATGCGATGTTTTATGGTGTAGGAGTAGGTTGTAAGAAAGCTAGGGACGGCCCGGCCAAAACATAGCACAAGTACATGAAGTCACTGACAAGTGGACTGAGACATGTTGGTAGGTGTAGACTACCTGGTTGGGGACCGCGAGATGATAGCAACCGATGGTTAGAGACCCTGAATGACATGGCTCGAAATCGTTTGCAGTGGCGCAGGTGAATTCACTCTTTGTGTTCTCCCAAATCTCAATCTTCTGAGTTCATGTCCCTTTTTCCTCTTTCCAAATTTATTTCACTGGATTATACTCCTTGAATAACATCTTCAAACTCTAATCTTTCCGATTACTGCTTATACTCTGGCTGGTCGCAATCACTCATTGTCCCAATATGTACGAAGGGATCAAAATCATCCTGTGACAACCATAGAGGGATTATTTCAACTAATATAGCATCTAAAATACTAGCCTCAATAATTATCGGGCGCCTAACTAAGACTCGTTAACTGCAGACACGTGAAAATCAGGCTGGCTTCAGACCTGGTCGTGGCTGCATCGACCACATATTCACCATTCGTCAGGTTCTAGAACATAGGCATACTTATCGGCGTCCGACAATGGTGGTTTTCCTTGACTTGAAAGCAGTATTTGACTCTGTAGACCGAGAGGTTCTGAGGCAGTGTCTGTCATTGAAAGGTGTACCTCAGAAGTACATAAACCTTGTGAAGGCTCTTTACTCGAACACTACTAGTCAAGTCAGAGCTTATGGCGAACTGTCATCTGCTTTTGCAACCTCAAGTGGTGTCCGTCAAGGCTGTCCACTTTCTCCATTTCTGTTTAACTTCATCATAGACTTATTGATGGAAATAACATTCTCGTCGACTGAGTTCTCGGGTATTGATCTCCTACCAGGAGGTCCACTTATCGACTTAGAATACGCAGATGACATAGTCCTGTTTGGTGAAGACGCTGACAAAATGCAGAGTCTTTTGGTAGCACTAAGCAACAATGCCAGAATGTTTGGAATACGCTTCTCTCCCTCTAAATGCAAGTTGTTGCTTCAGGATTGGTCTGCCTCAACACCTGAACTAAGGATAGGGAGTGAAGTAGTCGAACGCGTTGATGACTTCGCTTATCTTAGAAGTCTGATCAGCCCAAATAGGTTGGTGTCTGACGAAATCTCAGCACGGATTCGAAAAGCTCGTTTGGCTTTTGCCAACTTACGTCACCTATGGCGAAGGCGAGATATCCGTCTATCAATTAAGGGACGAGTAAACTGAGCGGCAGTTCGTTGCCCTACTTTACGGCTGCGAAACGTGGCCATTAAGAGTAGAAGATACTCGTAAGATACTAGTATTTGACCACAGATGTCTTAGAAATGTTGCTCGCATCTGCTGGGATCACCGGACAAGTAATTGTCAGGTTGGACGCAGGTTATTAGGGAACGATGATAAATCAGTTAATGGCATTGTGAATCTTTATCGACTGAGATGGTTGGGCCACGTGTTACGTATGCCTGAACACCGATTACCACGACGCGCAATGCTGACTAGTGTTGGTGATGGTTGGGAGGAAGTTAAAGGTGGCCAAACCAAAACGTGGCATCAGTACTTGAAGTCACTAACTTCTAGCCAGAGCCACATAGGTAGATGCAAACTACTTGGTTGGGGTCCATGTGACTATCGTAACCAATGATTGGAGACTGTGTGACATGGCTCAGAATCGGCCACAATGGTGTAGGTGTATACACTCTCTGTCTTCCCTTAAACTATGAGACCAAAATTATTTTATATCTTTCTTTCTATGAACTAATTCTTTCTTCCTGTATTATATCCTAATATGCAATCTTTTACCATACATTCCTACCACTGAAGTGACTACTTCTATGAATTCGTTCATCTTGTTGTGCTAATGAAGTGTGGCAACTTGGATCGATGCATATATGTGCCTGGTCCTACGTTGTAATTGACTGACTTTTTCAGATTGAGAAAAAGGTTTACATTAAAATGAAGGACTACATTTTAAAAGCAAATTATTGATATATTTAACAATAAAACAATTATTATATACCTTAACAACAGCATTACTCTCACGAACAGCATAAACTCCAGCATCGAATTGACACCATACAAATTCTAATCCTTGACCAAATGTTTTATTTCTTAATGCCATAGCAGTGTAAACTATGTACTCGCCATCACCGTAAACAACCACATAACGTCCGTTAGCGTTATGTTCAATAATTTGTGGATATATTTCACATGTACCCATATCTTTGAAAGTAACTGGAAGACGTTCACCATCCTGGAATTGAAAATAAATTCGATGAGAAGTAATATAATAATAATTCAAAATATATTGAGAATTTCCATCATAAATGCTGTGCATGAGATGTTCATTGATAGTAAAAGAAGATTCATTAATCAGAGTCCTAGTTACAATTCCTCTACTCTGAGTGTACTATTTCATTCATAAACTAGTATCCTAAGCTTTGATGAATGATACAACTCAACTGACAAAATTAACCTCGAGGGGAGTGTAGCTCCCTAAAAGAAACCACCTGCTTCGGTTTGGACAGCCGGGCAGTATCCTAGTCCTCAAACAAATTGAATGATTTATGTGGCGCATATCTATTTGGTGCCTGTTTGTACCTATGTTTATATGTTTAAATAAATAAACCTCGAGACGAGGCCAAGATAATCTTAGCTCTCATTGATTCCCCGACGTGTGTACTTTGTTCTGACTGATCTTGAGTTTGGACAAGAGGACACACCAGGCAAGCTTCTACTATCAATGTATTAGGCGTTCGATATCTTTATCTCGAGCACGTATCAGAAATACTACAATCCAATTATTTAGTAATCATATAGTATAAATAATAATAGTCCATCAAAATAATTCCAAAAGTGTTCAATGTATTCAATACGCGTTCGGTTATAACAAGAAATACATATCTCACTGTAATAAAATTAGGTTAACTGTCATTTGTTTGCACAACTATATGAATCATTATTTGAAATAGTTAAAGATGATGTTACGACCTATAAGTGGTGTAGCTTGTTTGTACACAACAATTCCAGGTTTATAACGTCCCCAATGTATACAGACTAATATGTACATATACAATTACAAAGGCAGTTTTTCAGTTCCTTCATATTAAGAGAACAATTTTCCCCATAAAAATCTATTTATCCACCTGAATCATTTCACTTCCATCCCCACTGAAGTTCAATGATCGTAAATTAGCTTGAACTAGCTCTGAATGTCTAGCACAAACCAATTTTCCAGATGCATCCATAGACATGGCAGGTTCATCTCGACCCAAAGATATAGCAACAGTACCTTCATCATAACCAATACCAACTATTTGTTTACCACGCTGACACGTCATAGTCCAGACACGTTCTAAGCCATAATTTAATGTTGACTCTAAACGATAAGTGTTAGCGTGCCAAAATCGTACAGTGCCATCTTCAGATCCGGTAAGAATTATTGGCAATTCAGGATGGAATAAAACAGAGCTAAAAAGACAGATACAAAAGAAAGGGAACTAGTCACCAACAAACACGTAACTGCACTCCTAGTAATACAATAATACAATTTAGTAGAAAGATTATTCAAAAGAATAACGGAGTATGAACCGTGTCAAATAGGATATATTAATTTCTAAAGGAAGGGTACACTGAGTGTTCAATTTAATAGTAAACATCTCTATATATAAATACAGTTTGCAGATAGATTTTGCTGTAAACCATTTATCAGAAATATGGACGAGTAGCTAAAACTTTATTAGTCTTGATAACATACTGAAACTTATTATGACAGAGTTGAACTAGTATGCTAGGCGATACAAAACACAGGGTGAACAGGTACTATTTAATGTCATATTAGACAATCGCTGCTAAATAATTCGACTGAGAAATCCTCAGAAGATGAGTTAATGTGCACTTGAGACGCTCGAACTTATAAGCATCTTAGATATTTCTTTACCAAGCATATATATAGTTATTTTTAGGAATGAAGTTACGCATGAGAAATCTATAATTGACTACCTGATATTTTGAGCATGACCTTCGAGAGTTTGAACACATGCTTTTGTTTGATAATCCCATATTTTCACAGTTCTATCATCTGATCCACTAGCCAAATAAGGTTTATCACCAGATGTGGAATAATCTACACAATTGACTCCTCTCTCATGACCTTCTAAAGTGAAGTTTGGAGTACCTGAGCCTAGGCTCCACACTTTGACTGTATGATCCAAAGAAGCACTAGCAAACGTGTTATTATCCTTTGGATTGAATGCTATATGCATAACATAATGATTGTGACCCTCAAACACCTAAAATAACGAAATGATAAACACATATCAATGTGAAACACAAATATGATTACTCAAAAATTTGACTTGTACAAGATAGTTCTTGTTAACAAACTTCAACCGCTTCATCTACTGTACTAGTTGTAAAGGAAACAAACGAACATTCTAACATTTCGTTAAATAAGGCAGATGTACCTTGGGTTATGTGGTAATGCAACAGCGATGTATTTTCCTTTCTAGGTACTACAAGAATACGTTAACAGCCCCAATAGTAGTAGTAGAATGGTACGAGTGAAACAGAAAAGATACATATCCTGTTTGCCAAGCGTTATATTTATTTTTTGTTGATTTAATTGCCTTCAATATTGCCTGCTATTACCAACATTACTACAACAATTTCTACATCTTTTCACTCCATACCTGTTGCCAGTCAAATGAGACTAGGAAATACGACTCTCGATCCCTTCAAATCACATTGATAAACATATACTAGACTCCTCTATGTATAAAAGTCACGTCAAACAGGTAGCAAGCTAATAGCTCACAAATTCATGTATTTCTGAGAAATACACAAGAAATGTAAGTGCAATTATTTATCAAACTTTAGTTGACAAATGTAATGAGCTAGTATGACTCACTCCACTAGTTTTCAGATTTACTGGACAGTTCGAACAGACTTACAAATGTAGGAACATTATTAAGCCTTAAAGTAGAAAACCCTTTTCCAACTGAACACCACGCGATATTCTGCTTTATATCAGTTAAGACTAAGCAATGGAAACTATGGCATAATATTACAGTTACAATTTATATATATATAACGAGCAAATACTGTAGTGAATGAGAACATAGGTGGGAACAATCGAATGTATTAGAATGCAAATTACAGAACATCTTAGTAAAATCTAAGAACTATACAGTAAATACTTCATCTGCACAATGCCAATCAATTATCTCAAACTTGACCGTTCCTTTAGCAAATGTCAATCAATCATTTCAGACTTCACTATTCTTTCGCTACCACACCAATTATTCTTTGTTCTCGTTCTTTTTTATTTGATCTTCTTAACCTTCTGCCTCCGGACACTTCACTTTCTATTGACGATACATACTACTTATATCTGTCGATACCAGTACAATACAACTGCCCTACTGTCGTTGGTCTCAAGCTATGTGATCTACTGAATGACAAGAATAAGTTCACACATTGCTATCCAACAGTAGCTGCTAACTTGTGGTGGCGGTTAGGCTCTCATATCGTGATGACCAATCAATCCACAATGATTGGAACGCTCGTTGGTTTACGTCTTACAGGGACATAAAGGTCAGCTGGGGAACGCCAAAACTAAAAGCAATCAGTTCACGATTCGACAGGTAAGTCGTACTACAGACTACACTGGGGTGCGACGGCAGTAAAACATTTCCCTCAAATAATCACTATTTACAGCTATGCAATCTTCTTATAATGGATGGAGGAATCGTAAAAGGTCGGCTTTCAAAATAACACATTTCACTTTACTGCATGGATTTCCATCACGGGCGTTTCTGAAAATTCGGAGTATAGAGACTTAGTTGTCAATCATTAAGTTACAAATTCAATTCTTGTTCCATAAACTTCATACTGAACTGTAGTATGCTATTTTGAATCCCAAACAATAAGTGTAATTTATCGACAAGAATTGATCAAGAGTAAGATTATTGACTAACTTAATTTAATAATCGTTCGACTATACTTAAACAATTCAATTTATTAATTATTTTTGTATGTTATCCTTTTTTGTGATAGTCTATGTTGTATATTCGTTTAGCATGAAATCCGCTCTTGAGTTGTGATTATTTAGATGTTTCAATACTCTCTGAAAAATCCATAAAACATCTTTTGTGGTCACAGGTCAGGCTTGTTTTCCTTTAGTCCTAATAGTTGAGTGCTTACTTAGGGCGGGCCAGGGCCACAGTATTTAAGAGTAGTTGCGTCGCATTCACGAACTATGTTGTCTTGCGTTGATACCAGTGTTTGCGTAGCGACTAGAAGTTTACATCGTGTTATTAAATCGATCTTTTCCATAGTCCTAATTGTGTTTACTTACTCCACGCTTTCTAAACCATCATACACGTATTAGAATCGTGAAAAATACAGTTGTGGAGTGGTGGACAATAACAATATCGTCCTGCATCTCATACCCACGTAAGTGAAGTAGGTTTAAATCTGTGAAAAACAATTTAGTCTACTGAATTACATCTCCAATTACCCATTTTACCCTGTATTAAATTGTTCAACAAATCAATTAACAAGACACAATGTTTGCTAGATAAATTTAAAACATACCTGAGCGCATGTCCAGTTATTTTCCCAATCCCATAAACGTATAAGCATATCATCTGAACATGTAAGGATAAATGGTTGAGTAGGATGCACAGCAATAGATCGTATATAATCAGAATGTGCTTCTATTTGTTGAATTCGTTCAAGAGTATTGTAATTGAAAACTCGCAACTGTAGTTAGAAGTATGAAGAAAATAGTATAAGTGACACAGCTAAAATGAAAAACCTGACAAAGTGCGAAGTTTGCAATGACAAAAAGCACTCAAAAGCATTTAAAATTTATGAATGTTATCAATTAGTCAGTCATTGACAAAGCATGATTTGGAACAAACGTACACTAGTTCAAGTCATCAAATTCAGCACAGCAAAGAGAAAACAAAAAGTCCGTAATCATAGTAGTGTTCATGTTGATAAGAGAACCTGCCCGGAGAGAACACATGAAATCAATGGGCAAGAAGTATGATAAAATATTTGAAACACCAAAACTCAGGAGAAAATGAATACACATCTGTACCGTAATAAAATCTAATACTAAAATCTCCGACTACAAATGATGATTATCTGCAGATGACAGTCAAAGAATGAACTCTCAGTAAAAACCTGAACATACGAACTAAACGAGAGAAAAGAATCTGGTGAAATCCATCGTTACCATTTATGATCCACTATAGAACTAGACACTACTACGTCGATTCACATCGCTTAAAATTATGACAAGTCGAAAACAAAAAGCATTCAGAAGTTAGAAATATAGTTATGTATGGTAATTAATTAATTGAATTAATTAAATGAAACTATTATCACGATAATAAGAATACAAGTGAAACAGGCGGCCCGTCTCCTGTTGACTGAATTGCGAATTTTGAAACTTTGTGGCGTAAATAATTTTGCTATCTTATGCGGCAAGAATGGTTGCTGAATGAGGGAAAGGAACGGATCATTTTGCAAACAATAAGCCTTAAGCTGAATGAGGAACCAGCACACTCAAAGCATAAAACCGAAAAAAGGTGAACCAAGCTACTGCATTGCTTTCGGTTGCATACATTAACCCCACTAACTTGTCAGTCAGAAAATAATAACGATTTTGCTATTATTGACCATGGTATCATGATTAAAGACTTATTTGAAACCCACCTGCATATCATCAGAGCCTGTAACTATCCAGTTTTTGCGAGCAACAAATTTCGCAGCGCGAACAGGGTTTGTACAAACTTCGATAGTTTTAATCAACTGCTGAGCCTCGATATTCCATATATGCACATTTCCATTATACAGTGCAGCACAAATCCATGGTTCTGTTGAATGTAAATCCACGGATTTAACTCGATCAGATCTTGATAGAAGCTTTCTTTTAATATCAAGCTTCATTGGCATTCTTCAATATCGGAAATAATCCTTAAATTAAAGTACACGTTGGAGCCAGATCAAGAACCCGCTTTACGAGAGAAAACCCCAACTGGAATGTTTAAACAACATCAACAAGGACTGGTTAGAGAGGAATAAACATACTTTTACTACCCCAGCCTTAGTACCTAGAGACAGAGGACTATTTATGTTTGTCTTCTGACACCTAACTATGCGAAGACAAACTATAACGCTACGAGTTAAAATGTGTAGTAACACTAGTAAAATGACGGGTTATTGTGAGGAATCTCGTCACTACAAAACTATGGTGTTTGAATGAACTAATGATACCTTTGTACCTGTTGAATGCTTGATTTCGAATTCTAAATACAATACATTCGTTTGTGCCTGTGTCTTCTTAATTCAATTGCGTTAATCCTGGAATTCCTAGTTCATACGATAATTAGAATACCATATTGGCGTCGCGATGGAGCCTGCAATGGAAAAATTAGACATTCATTCAACTCCTGAAGCTTTTGAGGATTACTTGGAAAGATTCGAAATCTGGAGCATGACCAAGAAAGATGTTAAAGGTGATAAAATTGTGGCACATTTTCTGACATTCATTGGGAGAGAAGCGTACATCTTATTAAAAACTTTGGCATATCCAGAAAAACCTATCTCACTCCCTTATGCAACTCTTAGAGAGCTATTATTAAGTCATGTAAAATGCACCAGTTTTGAATGCCGTGAAAAGGCAAAGTTTCATAAGATGGTTCGTCAAAATGACCAAAAGGCTCGGGAATTCATCCTTGAATTACAGAAACAAGCTGCCAAGTGTAATTTCGGTGATCAACTTCATGTGCAACTGAGAGATCGATTAATTGCAGGAATTAGCATACCGAGTTTGGAAAGAGAGCTGTTAAAAATGCCACTGTTACTTTCAAGATGCTAGAACTGCATGTATTAACTACGAAGCAGTCAATGAACTTGATATCCAGTCGATGAAGGTTTCTAATACTTTGCTTAGTCGTCGTGATGAACTACAATCTCAGGGTCAATCAAACTTGCGTTCATTTAACAGTGATTCCTGTTCTCGTGTAAATATGAAAGGTGTTTCAACGAGGAATTACAAAGCAAATCACAAAGGTGAGATGAAGTTTGGTAAATGTTTATCATGTGGAAAGTTTCATACTCGCAATTCATGTGTATTTCGCAATGCTAAATGTTTTAAATGTGGTAAGGTAGGACACATTCAGTCAGCATGCAAAGCTACTGTCCATTTTGCTTCAAGCTGTACTAAATCTTGTAATTTAAATTTCAATAATTCGGATGTTTCTAGTGATCATTTATCTTTGTCTACTATTTCGAAAGGTAATGTTCATATTCAGAAGCGACTATATACATCGCTTGGTTCATTTCATGACTTTATTCTGGACACAGGCAGTATAGAGTCCATTATTTCACTCAAGAACTCGAAATCCTAACGTTGTAATACGACCCACTGAAGTATCAATATTAAGGATTACTGGACACAGACTGACCATACGAGGATGTTGTGAATTGCTAATCAGAGATGATAATTCTTCATACATACCTTGTGAATTTGTGGTTAGCAAAACAGGACTGTCAATACTGGGTTTAAGGAATTTCAAAAGGCTTGAAGTGTTGACTTTCCTAGTTTCTAAAGAAAATTCCGACACTTTACTTAAAGATTTGATAGTTACGTGTGTGAAATGAAAATCCAGTCTATAAAACTTCAAGTACAGGGTGATCCAGTCTTTATTAAAAGACGAATAGTTCCTTATGGTCTTCAAGAAACAGTATATAAGACATTAAACGATTTGTGTGCGAAAGGCATAATTGAACCGATTCAGTCTCCAGCATGGGGCACCCCTATTTTTACGCCACTGAAGTCGGACGCCAAAACCCCTAGAATATGTGGTGACTATAGATTAACATTGAACTCCCGTTTGTTGAGACAAACGTGTACGATTGTAGAGGCAGAAGATGTTTCAAACTGACTTCATGGTTCTAAAGTGTTCTCGAAAGTTGACCTAGAATATGCTTATCTTCAAATCCCTTTAGATCAATCTTCATCTATTTTGACAACAATTAACACTCCTTTTGGTCTGTTTAAATACAACTTCCTTCCATGTGGTCTAAGTTGTGCTCCAGCCATATTTCAGAAAGTCATGAATGAGGTAGTTAGTGATCTTGAAGGTGTTGAAGTTTATCAAGATGATCTCATTGTTCATGGTTCTAATAAGGTAGTTCATGACCAGAGACTTATTGCTTTATCGCGTCGTTTAATTGAGAGGAGTATTACAGTGAATCTGTAGTGGCATTGAACAATAACCGCACAATCCACAAAGCTGAACACGAGACTACTTAGAAAATAGATATTCAATATTTAACGCGGATAAATACCTAACGATGGAGAAGGCGCGAAGAATAAATTGAATGGACTGGAGTTGATCGAGTGGCATGGCTCGGCCATGCAGGCGTGGTCTCTGGCGAATGTTATCTTATATCTTCTATTCATATTAAATATATTGTTCATTCTCTAGCCTAACCTTGTTCTACATCATGTATTGGTAATTGATACGATACAGTGAGTTGGCGTAGTCGATGGTGTGACTTCCACGTAAGATCTTATAGATTAGGCAGTTATATCATGACGAATCTACAATTTTGGGATTAGGTCTATTATTGGAGCAGTACTAATATCATAGTAGACCATAATTCTACATTGGTGAGCCCGACACAACTGTACTTGATCCGCATACTCTACACAATTTTTTGCTTCTTAACCGTATATTCTTTTCCGTTTTGTGGAGTATTCTGATGCACCCTTGGTTACGCACCTAGTTGTGAAACGCGGTCATCACAGGCTCAAGGTCACGCGTTTGGTCGATTTTGTTAAAGAGTCCAACTTCTAGCAAGTTCACCCTTTTACATATATGCATTACAAAAGAGTATTTTTTTGTTGTTTTCATGGTTTTTCGTGCACAAGATATCTACACTATGTCTATTCTCTTCCAGAATACCAATCCGTTCTGGAGACCAAGCACTTATATGGAACCGAACAATTATCAATTACATTTATGTATTTCCATTTTGTATCTTATTATTTTATGTAGGCAGTGGAGCAGTTCTTCAGGTTTGCTTGATTTTCACCATTACCTTTGAAGTAGATTCTTCTTTACTTTTTACTTGAGGGCGACTCAAGAGGCAGGTGAGTAAACACCTGATAGCCGGTCTGAGCACGGAAAAATCGTACCTCACCAACATGGTGTTGGGTAGCCCGCTCGCGGCACTTCCTCAGATATTCTTATTCCACATTCTCACACTTTCTCTTGAAAGCACGCAGCAAACCGTCGGCGATAGTTGTAGAAGAAATCACATGCCACAAAATAAGATGACAAGCTAGTAAATGAAGAGACATCCATGGACTATCGTTGACAGCGTCAGTCGTCACTGATTGTAAGTCAAATAGTGAGCGAGTTGATAATTTTCCCTTGGGATGAGAAATAGAACCAAGGTGTTTTCGATAGTTAGGTTAATCGAACCGACGTTCCTACGGAAGTCGATTCTAGGGGGAAGCTAATGTAACAGCTTAGGTTGGTTGGTTAAGAGTTGACCCCAAACAACCAAGCATATGCCAAAACAGTATTGTTCAAGTATTCATTCACTTCCTTGTTTTGTATAAGCGTTATATTCCCTATTATCTTATATTGAATGTTGAGAGCCTTTGTTTGTCTGAACAGATAATCCCACGCTCCACTGTGACCGCGCTAAGATCGAAATAAATACCTATTCACTACTTGTCTGGTTTCTTCTATCAATAGCACGAGGGTTACTTTAGGGCACGAAAAATCCAAATAAGTGTTCATTTTGTGTATCTAGTTTCGAATGTCTCGGATACCTAGTTGGTGGTAATAGTTTTAGACCAGATATGAAACGACTAGCTCCACTGACAAATGCACCGTCTCCATAAAGTCTTACGGAACTACGTTCACAAGTGGGTGCTCTTCAATACTACTCCCGTTTTATTCCTAATTTTTCTTGCCGTGCAAATTGTTTATTTAATATTCTGACATCCAATTTATTCAGACGGGATGAGGAACATGAGTCATGCTTACACAGTCTACTAACGTTTCTTCAAAGTGATGCTGTTCTTCGAACGTACTCCCATAATGTACATTCTGTGCTTATGACTGATGCAGCACCTGTGGGTATTGGCGCAGTTTTGGAGCAGGAAGGTAGAATAGTTATTTGTGTTTCACGCAAACTTACTGTTACTGAACAAGGATATTCATAGACTCAGCGGGAAGCATTAGCTCTGTTTTGGGCTGTTAAAAGACTTCATAAACATTTATTCGGAAAGAAATTCACTATAGTTACTAATCATGAAGCTTTAAAGTTTATTTATCATTCCGAAAAATCCTTAGCACGTTCCTCAGCTGCTGTGGTTCAGCGATAGTGCATTGCTTTGAGTGCATATGACTATACGGTTCAGCACAGAAATGCCAAACAGATTCAACCTGTTGATTACATTTTTCGACAGTCATTACAAGATCGACCTGTAAATACTTCATACTGTTTGTTAGTGCAACCTTTACCAGTGAGACGTTCAGATCTCATTAGAGAAACTCGTAGATATTTTGGGTGTATACTCAGTGCTATAAGGAAAGGTTGGAATGCTAATTTGAAACGTAGATTTCCTATCTATTTTTCAAAGCGGGATGAGCTATCTACTACTCCTGATGGTATTCTGTGTTTAAATGATCGTGTTGTCATTCCTCCTTCATTGCGTAAATCTGTTCTTGAAGATCTTCATAGTGGTCATTTAGGTTGTAGTGACTCACGTTTATCACGAGAACACGACTGGTTTAATAAAAACAATTATTATTATAACCAACTGTACCAGTGTTTGTTTTAACGTGCTTTTGTTTGACTGTGCTAATGACAGCTATTTTGTGCTTCCATTCCTTCACTTACACTTCGATTGTAACTTCGCGCGAATT